ACAAAGAGCAGAGGGAAGGTGTGAGGACAGAGGGGCCGGTCATCCTGTTAATAGACGCAACTGTGCAGAGTAATCATTCAACAGGGAGCAGATCTACACAAACATGGGTCGGCAAACATTCCACACATACCTCCTGCAGCTCCATGGCTCTGACACTCTTTTATTTGATGGACACGCTCACATGCACCGGCATAAAAACATCCCATCCATTCCTTTTGTATTATCTGTGCTTTACTCTGTCTCTGCAGCCCCCAGGGAGGTTTCTCTCTCTCTCTAAATCTATTCCAGGATGCAGCCTCTCTTGACCAGACCAGCAGATTTATACAGAGACTCAACAACACATGCAGACAACTTGCTGCCGCTAAAATACAGCCTAATGTAACTTTCAGTCTGGAGCTTTTCTGATCCTGTATGTATGTTTGTTCTAGTCCTCGAAGTTTGCTTGTTTGTCTCTCAGAAGGATTTCTGAAACAGTGATGAACAGACTTCTTTGTAGTTTGACCAGGACACACACTAACCTCTTAAACTGCCCACATGTGGGCCATTATCTACAAAGAGACACGTGCAGAGGCCATGCATTATTCAAACACACAGAACAGCGCTTTAAACTGTTGTGCATATTAGCTGGACAATAACAAGCTGACTGTACAATGGAGACAACATTTCAAATAATCACAAGGTATGTTTCTCTACTACCAGTAAGTTAACTCACCTATCATATGGTCTCAAATGCCCCCTACTATTTTGAGGCCATATGATGGTTGATTTAACTTAGTAGTACAGCATCCACATTTACTCCTACTATAGAGATTTGGCTATTTAACTTATATCGACACCCTTCCAACTTCTATAGTGAGCAGCATGGAGAAAGAGAATTAGAACCAACAAGCCTTTGGTCACCAGCAATATTGCTGCGTTCAAGTTGTACTCGGAAGTCAGAATTTTCGAGCTCCGGGTTCAAAATTCCTCCGGAACGCCCCCCTGAAGTCGGATTTCTGACTTGGAAAGTTGGACAATCCTCACCAAACCTGATTTGATGACAATGTCATAATCCAAGATGGCAGCGCAGTGCATCAAACAGTAAAGAGTAACAGTGAAAGCTCTCGTAATGTTTTATTTATTAGCACTTCTGTTTTGTTTTTGTGAAATGAAGTAAATGGTATATGTTGTACTGCCCAATGTCTAACTGTAAACACGGTGCTATGGTGTTTGTAAGAGTAAATTACTGTGTTATTTGTTGTTTACAACTGTATAGCTAACAACTGACAACAACTAACAACAGCTGACAACAACTAACAACAGCTGACAACAGCTGACAATTGTTAATACAACTGACAATGGCTAACGACAGCTGACAGTAGTTATCCATCTTGGTTTTCTGATTTGTTTACCAGAACACCGTCATCTCGGGTGTAGCGTCATTCCCAGCTCTGACATTTGACTTCCGAGGTAACTGGAATGCAGCATCAGAACCAACAACCCTTTGGTCACCAGCAATAAGTATTGATTTTTTTGTTTGTTTGTTTTTGCCTCTTGTTTTGTTTTTGGTTGTGTGTTCTTTTTAGTTTGTAAATGGGTGGGTAATGGAAGGGGGTTTGTAATTTTGCTTTCACATTACTGAAAATAAAATATTCAAAAAAAACAAACAAACAAACAAAAAAACCCTACGATCAAAACATGAAGGAGGACATAGAAAGAAGGGCAGCAAGAGCCAGTATACCATCAGTGTTTTGTCTAGTTATGTCCACATCACTTCAGGGGAGTTTAAAAGTTAACTCTGGTGAACAAGCACAACCATCCTCCATGCTGGGAGCCAAGGGAGTGCTGAGTTGTTCACTCTACCTCCCCCACTCTAATGAGGGAAGAGAAAAGAGGGAGGAAACAGAGCATGTAGAGAGATAAGAGGACAAGGAATACAGAGCCAGGATAAGAAGCCTGTTTGGGCTGAAACTCACCTCTGCTGGGTTATCCTCCATGCTCCATGTCCCCCTACCCCCCTACTTGCATGAGAAAAGAGGGAGAGAGGGAGAAAACAATAGGTGAATAGTCTATTTTCAACTTTTTTGTTTGTAATTTTTTTTACTGTCTTTTGCAAACTGTCACATACCAATGTTTAATGAAAGTTTTTACTTTGAACAACATATATTCATTTAATGGTAAATCCCAACTGCAGCTTGATTCCTTTAATACACTGTATCTCATCAATACATTAAATCCAATATCCACTCATTTTGGGTGCTTAAAGTGGGAATGACTCTTAATTATTTCTCCTGTATGTGAAAACAGAAGACCATTCTTGTTCGCAGTAGTGCTAGGATATACTCCAGGAATGCAAGAACCAGCATGTGTGTGATGGCCGAAGCTGCCCAAGGGTAAAGCCACCCCAGCTGCACTCACCTCATGAGTTAACACCACCACTAGTTGCTATTTTAATTCACAGTCAATCACACAATACATTCATGTGTATTGATTGATTGATTTATTTGGATCCCCATTAGCCATGGCATGGCCAAAGCTATTCTTCCTGGGGTCCATTAAACAATCTTACAATGTATCAATGCAAGAAACATCACATACAACACAATCCCTGCTTGTATAAGAAAAAAACAAACAGATATACAAACAGAAATACAAACAGATACACAACACAACAACACATTGACAATACAAGACAGCTCCCAGTCAGCAGCACTACACAATCTCCACATATAACACCAAAATAGGTCTACATACACCATGTACACTGTTCACACCATCAAACCCCAACTTTTTTTTAGCCCCTTGATGTCCCATCTGATTCCAGAATCAAACAGTGTAGACAGCACTCAAACTCAAAACAGTATATAGTTTGTTCAGTTTAGGTTTATTCTGTGTGTTTGTGTTTGTGTTTGAGCTTAGGTGCACACATTACCTGGCTGTGGGGGATGGTATTTGTTGATCTTACACTTCCTGGTTTGTTAAAAGGTGTGGCCATGAGTGGACAAGACTCTTATACAGAAGTTTGCATACTGGAGCAGACTATGTGCTCCAAAATCAAGGGGGGATTAAGATTTAGATAGCTTTGCTTTGAGTTTAGATTAACTGCGAACTGAGGGAAAAAATTAGAAAGTTAGCACAAAGCCTGAATGAAACACAGTGGCTGGACAAAATCCTGGAGACCATCGGGGGTCGAGAGTTTACAGCTTCATGCTACTTCTGTCCGTGGGGGTCCTGAAAAGAGGTGTAAGAGGTGGAGGAGGGGAGAAGAGGAAAGATGAAAGAAAGCTGCTCAGTGTGAAACAACATGTATTTGATAGAGAACGGCAGACAGAAATAAAGAAAAGAGAGATGAGAGAGATTCAAATCAATACTAGAAACAAATGTTTGTCAGAGCACACGATGGATCTATAAGAGGGATTTAACTCCTCACCTTTGCCCTCAGACTTGAAAAGTGTCTTCTGTGCTGATGTTAACTGTAACATTCTGCAGCACATATACATTATTCACTGAACTTAGAGGATCATTACAGGTATCATGAAATAAACACAACAGTAGATTAGCCTTATTTATTCTGTCTGATACGTCTGTTTGGTGACATTGACGCAAAATCTTTGAATGATCAATAATATAGAAGTTGGACTGTTTCCATCCTGCTTAGATAAGCACCATATCTCCCTCTGCACAGAGTCTTATCAAAAAAAGAAAACTAAATCATGAGACCCTCCTGTGCTGAAAACTGTTGTGATGCCATTAAATCTCTTGCTTCTTAATCTTCTATTTAGGAGTAAATAAAGTTAAGAGACAACAACAAACAAACAGTGTTTTGCAAACAAGTTAGTGTTGCGCAAGTCTACTGAACTCTGAACAGGCTTCAAAATGAGCATTGCACACACCCTTACACTGCCCCCTAGTGTTTCAGTTGCTGCAACAAATAAAGAGCTTTGTGTGTTTTTCAGTTTGTGTCAGTGTGTGTGTGTACCCCACAGTTTCTGATGAGCTGTCTAAAAGAGATTTTAAGAAATTTAGCCAAATTTTTTAAAGAGAAGAGGTGAAAAGTGACAGAGTTTTGACTCAGGGCTGAGCCATGATTGAGGTAATGAGAAAAACCTCATAGTTATAGTGCCACCTAGAGACCAGTCAGTGTTGTTTGTCCTCAAGATTGTCATGTTTTTGCTACAAAACTCTACGCAGTAATGAAAAAGACAGAAAAAAAATGATTACAAATATTATGGATCCAACAGTGAGCATGTATGACCTCTGATACAGACTGTGGAAAGTTCACAGCAGACACCAACAAAAGAAGTCCATCTGTGGTACATTCACACCCCTGTATAACATGATGTTTAAACCCAAGGACCTCGACTGTTTCAACAGGGTTCAGTCTCATGAATCAGGAACAGCTGCATGTGTCATTTCTGCACCCTAAAACGAGCTCACGAAGAATGATACCCTCCGATGTAAGACCATGTGCACATCTTTATAGACATACAGCCAACACCAACACACACACACACACACACACACACACACACACACACACACACACACACACACACACACACACACACACACACACACACACACTGCTTTGCACTGTGTAAGTTATGGTAAACATATTTGTAAGAGGAGAGGACTTTCCCCTGCAGAGAATGGCAGCCAACGCTGAACCTGCCGCCTGGATATATAGAGAATTTACATGTCCTCGACCTTTTGACATATATGGGATTTCAAATCATGTGTAGATGTCCCGGACATCTGTCTGTGCATGTGACTCACAGTCACTGCCTACACAGATCAAACTACTATGTGGTTGTATTTCTGTCTACTCTGGCTGAAAATAAGAGTCAGAGTCAATTAAAAGCTTATGCCAATGATGTTTTAAATGCAACAGTCAACTGATGCAGGCAAATTTGTTGTTTGCTGTAGGTTTTTGATTTCTGGCTTTCTAAAAGTGAACTTGGAAGCATTTCTCGTCATTTTGCCTCAGATAAAAAGTGAGAAAAACACAATAATGTGCATTATAAAACAGCATAAAGATGAACTTTTAATTTTGTGGATTTGAATACACAACATAGACCCGAGTCACAGTGCTTCATTTATTGTCTGTTGAAACACATATACAACATATGCATAAGACATCTTTATTATGAACTTTTATTTACAAAAATAGGTATAAAATTTAATGTATGTGAACAAATATTTAGTTCTAAGTCCACATTTTTAATTTAGACTTAAAGATCCCCTGGTACAATATTAAAAACCATGTAATTCAGAGACCTGCTTGTAGACCAGCTACTTCATCATGTCTAAAAATATTTGTCCTTGGAATAGAATAAATCTCTTGGGATATTTGTTCACACGCTTCACATTTCATTCACATTCTCATGATTTGCTAAATACATTTTTAACTTAAGTTTCCAGAACAAATCTCCTGTTAAAGAAGTTATCTCAACAGCAATACACGTGTTCAGGTCATCTGCAGATGATCCTGAATATATACATACCTCTACAGGTAATACTGTAGCACCATGGGAATGGAAGTGGGTTTGTCCAGTCTAATTTAAACTAATAAAAAGACAACAGAGAAAATCACAGTGCCAGGAATACAAACAGAATTTTACAGTCGAGTTTAACCATCAGAGATCATGATGTGTCTTTTAACCATCAAAACTTTCTGAAAGTTGCTCCTGACTGAGTTTAAAACAATACAAATCCGTCAGTAAGTCATTCGAAAAATCACGACTGCTTGTCACAAGTCTCAAGCCTGCTCTGTTGAGGTTATATTCATCTACAGCTTCAATTTATTGATGCACATTTTTACTTTTTTTCACACAAAAGAAAAACTATAGAGAGAACCACATGAGAAATTACCTCAGAGTGCCTCAAAAATATGTAAACCTAAATTTTCTGTAAAAAAAACCCAAAACAAAACAAAAAATTACGTTTTTCAATTAGGCTCAGCATCAATAGAAAAAACCCTGTCATTGATAATGTCTTGTTTGAAAAAAAAAAAAAAAGATGCAAAAATTTGAATAGATGCACAAATATTGATAATGGCTGGTTCCTTTTTGTGTCATCCTGAAAATGTAAAGGTGCAATGAGTGGGTAAATTTTCACTGCTGTAAAAAGCAGTCCCCTCATTAAACATGAGCCAAAACAGATGGCTTCATAACAGGCCACATGGTGGCAGCATTTGATTCATTTTTGCACCTGCAGTTAAACTATGGACTTTATGAAACCTGCATTATGTCAAGTGGCCAGTAGGGGGCAAGTTACCAAAAACAACTTATTTATTCACAATTAAGAGGATTAAAAAACAAAAAGGTTTTCAGTTCAGTTTCTTTGCACTAACCAATTCCACCAATTACGTACAATCTATGATATAAACCCAGCGTGTTAGTACCTACATATTATACTGATGCAAAACAAACATAATCAAACAAACAGGGCCAAAGGTACAACCTTTGTCCTTTTTAGTTGTCGGTTGAAACATCTTTCCCATTTTGACAATCATCATCCATGGAAATACAGTATAGTTTAGTTCCTGAGTGTTTTATTGGCCTGGAGAGTGTGCTCTATATTTATGGAGCTGTAGCTTTTAACCTTGTGCCTCCTTTACAGCTATCATTCCCTCCATCCTTTAAACATATCCATCACCACAATAAAAAAAAAACACAGAATGAGAATAAAAACATCTTAAAGCATTTTAAAGTGCCAGCTCACAGGAGTCCATGGTCGAGACCGTCCATAACATCAACACAGGCACAGAGTGATGGTCCTGGCCCCTCAGTGTTACTGTGACTGTGGTTGAACTGAGACTATGTGAGGAGTGCTGTTCTCGGTGTAAGCAGGGGGCATATCATCAGGTTTCAATCCCAGCTGGTGAACACAGAGAATAACACAATGAAGAGTTTGAATTCAAATACAGACTGAAGTGAGTGTTATAGATCATTGATGTGTTTTATAGGTGCACTTTTTACCTCACTATATGCAGGTGGTGGTCCTGAGTATGGAGATGTGCCATATTGTGGTGGCATCTGGACCGCCTGGCTGTATCGAGGTACTCTTGGAAGGTCTTCATCGTCTTGCGACAAGTTTCGTGGAAAAGGGATGAAGTAAACGGAATGGGGATGGGGGTTCTGTGCAGCATTTCTCTGAGCTGCAATCTCAATCTGCTCGTCCCGTATGCGACTACACACCCTGCAGAAGGTGGTGCAGAATATGATGATGAGCCCAAAGCCCATGATGCCCATGAAGATCCTTGAAAAAGGAAGAAGAGCATGAAGAAGGTGAGCATGGGTGCAATCAGAGGAAAAGAGAGATTTAACTGGTTTGGATGTGAGGAGGAGATGAGGATGGTATCATTAGATAACCTGTGATAATTTCTGATCCAGAAAGATAATAACAGTTATTTTCTTCTTAGTTTTTTGCTCATCACTAATCAAACATTGCAGGCGGGTCGAAAAATGACTTAAAATACACACCAGTGGGAAGATAATGTTCTTACTGTAAAATAGGGAGAGATTCAAAAGCCATCCTTTAAACCAATGTAGTGAAACTCCAGATGAACCAGAATAGGGGTGAAGTCAAAGTCACAGCAGAAACCTGTAGGGGAAAACAGACAATGCTGAATTTGTACGATCTAAAAGAAGACTTCAGCCCTCTTCGACTGCTTCACTTCATAGACTTCAAACATGTTTGAAGGGTGGACGACTTCAAGGTGGGCCTCTTCTCCCCCATGCATCAACAGGAAAATAAACTTTGAACTTAAGCCTCATAAATGCTTGAGACACTGAGATTATTTTACTGCCCATCTCTACAGGTGGGCAGAAATAGAATGGTCTCACAAAAGTACTCCTTACTGAAAAACAGCTCATCCAGTGACCTCATATGGTTTTACAATCTTCTATTATGGTGCTTCACTGGTCGCTGATATTATGCAATGATTTACTGATCAGATTTTCCACTCTGCTTGATCACCTACAAAGTTCTCAGTGATAATGGATGTATAAAGAGGTCAGAGGCTCTGATTTCACTGACACTGATACAGATGAGAAAATTCAACTTCTCAGGTGCAAAAATCACCTAAAAGATGCAAAGTTACAAGACTTAAAATGGCTTTTAAAAGCGGTGTTTGGAAGATTTTTTAGCAGGTTTACAGAAAAATATCTCGATTAATAGAGGAAACAGTGACATTCAGAAGAGCCTCAGATGCGGTCATTCACTCTGACTTTGAAGAGGTTTTTCCTCTTAAACCAAATCACAGCAGAAAAGATGTAACTTTCACCGTGACAAATTTTCACATCACTTGATCTCAGGATTAAAAACTTGTGATTTTTTTAATGTCACGTTATGAAAAAGGAACAAATTTGTATCAGAACTGACTGTCTTTCATCTATGGGTGATGTTTTCAGATATAACAACAAATCTGTACTTATCAGGAAGCTTAAACTCTACACATGTTGTCAGATTGTACATCATTCATGATTTCTAAATAATAAATGGATCATAAGACAAATGGGAGCAAAATCAAGGTTCACAGAAGTCACATGAGAGAGGAGGTCAGAATTCACAACACATGATCGGTGAGCACAGGTTTGAACAGGAGGCCAAGTGTGCAAATACTAACTAAACAAACAAACAGCCCCTCGTACGTTTCATCTTTGTTGTAATATTGGGAAATAAATGTGAATAAATGTGAAATAGAACAAATTTTTATTCTCTTACCGTGAGTTCAGGGACGTCTCTCCTCAGGTGTTGGTGCGAGGAAAAACTCACAGGAGCAGAGTTCAGTTTCTATTGTGGGTGTGGCGATAAGGGGGAGGTTTATGTGTTTTCTGAGTGTGTGTGTGTGCGTGTACATGAGTCACACACTGTATAAAACCCTACAAGAACATCAGCCCCAAGACTATGAAACAACCTTTGTTTGATAAGCAACATCTCAAAGTTTGTGCTTACCTTATACACAATTGATCATTTGTAAGATTGTATTGCCATCCATCTGTATGCATGTGTGTGATGTCAGCTTGATCACAATGTGTTTTATTAACATGTGCTAAAGGTCTGCCACATGGATTTATGGCAGTGCTGTAAGACTTAAAGTAACAGGTACCTTACTTCAAAAAACCTCAGCTGAAAAAAGGGGCCATAACAAAGCTGTATGTTCTGGAGAGAGAAAAGGCAACCATGAACAGCTTTTCCTGAGGTCCACTTTTGATCCAGTATATTTTAAAGGACAGTGGGTTGATAGGAAACCAGAATAATAGGGTCTGCAGGGGGCAACCACAGACCTTATAACCACTGGGTGTGGTGTTGGTGATGCCACAGTTTTCTCACAACTGGTTCCAGTGTGCCTGCCCGTCAGTAAAGTCAGCCATGCCTCTGATTTTTCAATCTTGTACCCCAAATAACTTTGAAACACACCTGTTAAAAGAAAAGGTCCCTCCCTGTACCTTGTTTGCAGGGGGAGCTCTAAGCTAATCAGACCAAAGCTGTTTTTTTGACCCAGGCTGTAAATTAGTTTATTTTTGTTACACACACAGTCTCAAGTGGGCACACGGAGAACTGCAAGTTTTTGCACTTCCGCATTAGCTTCATATTTTCAGATTGGAAGTTGCCCACAGTCGAGGACTGCAGCCACTGATCTTGGGCTAAATGCTAAACAAAACCTACATCCCAAGATCATTTATTGTTTACATGACCACAAAGTTTAAACTGATGTTTAAGAGCCTAAAAGCCGCAGGTCCTAAATGTGAATTCATGACAATTCATTCCATTTGAAATCTCAAAATTTGTTAAATATTTAAAAAAAATGACTCTTCACTCCTTCAGTGTCCACCTCAGACAAGGACACATCAGTTATTTACTGTTGATGGTGTCTACTCTCTTTTCTCCCACATGCATCAACAGGGAAATAAACTTTGAACTTAAGCCCCATAAATGCCTGAGACACCGAGATTATTTTATTGCCCATCTCTGGAAACATAATGGACCTACTTAAGCTCAAGAACACAGCTCGTCCAGTAACCTCATATTGTTTTACAATCTTTTATCATTGTGCCGCACTGGTTTCTGATATTATGCAATGACTTGATGATCTTATTTTTCCACTCTGCTTGACCACCTACCAAATTATCAGTGGTAGATAAACACGTGTTTCATAAACTTATATATATATATATATATATGTTTAAAAAAATTGTAAATGTTGGTCCTTTATTGCCAAAAGTCATATAAAATGAGAATAAATCCCTCCTCGTAAACATCACAGAGTGGTATCTGTGCATCAGTATGTTTGATCCTCCTACCTCAGAAGAAGTGCACATCATATTGGAAATGAAAGATTCTGCAGCAGGTCATGAAGAAATAAAGAATAGTCTTTATAGAAGGTAACTACTTACATTGTTGAGACCCTAACCAATGTTTTATCTTTGTCTCTCAAGGCTGGAGTTGTACATCAAAATCACACCACTGTTCGAATCAGGCGATCCTCATAAATTCACTAACTACTGTCCAATATCTGCCATGCCTTGTTTTTCTTAAGTCCTTGAAAAACTTGCATATTCAAGAATTAAATAACATTTGAATGAAAATAACGTAATGTACAGCCATCAATATGGTTGATCAATAGAAATGACCCTTTTGCAGCTAGTTTATAAAATTTCTGCAAACCTAGACAATAAAAAAACATCTCAGCATTTCTGAAACTTGATATTAGCCTATGACATCATATCCTTTTTGCAAAAATACTAAAATATGATTCCATGGTGTCTTCTTTAGTTGGCTGGAGAGTTACTTAAATGACAGAGAACTGTGTGTATCTGAAAATGGTCAAAACTCAATCCGAGCCAAGCTAATACATGGGGTACCTCAGGGTTTAATTTTTTTTAATCTTTGGACCTCTGTTGTTCCTGATAATAATAATAACATAAATAAACTACCCAAAGTCTGTGAGTATACTTACATGCATTATCTGTTGATGATACTTCTCGTTTTTCTTATTGGTTTCAGAGGGACAAACTCTCTTAATATAAATATAAATAAATCTTTATTACAGTTTAGTTTATCCTTTCATTATGTACTGTCACATTGCATGAGCAACCACTTGACCTAATTCTTTAACTATTTTGTTAATCCAACTGAAATTTTGAGAATTATTAATTTTTCTAAAAGATGTAACCCATCTGATCCTCTTTCAGAAAGTGCAAAACTTTTATCAGTCTTAAATGTGGACATTTATCAGACCTGTGTGTTGAAGTACAACTGCGTACACTTAACACAAGACCTGCCCAGTCCTCATCAGACATTCATTCATATAACACAAGAAGCTCTCTACTCTCCATCTTTACTAACAGCATCTTCATCATCATCATCTTTCAAAAAGTATTAAAAAAGTTTACTCACATGAAGTTTGCAAGACCGTTTGTCTTGTACACATCTATGTTATTGCTCTTTTTTTAAACTGATCTGTATTGCTGCTTCATTCATCTCTTGTATATTCTTGAGGGGAGGCATCTTCATGAACTGTTCGGGCCTTCTAACCTCCCCTGCACAATGTTTGAGCATTCACAAATTTTTGTTTGCTGAGATTTTATGATGTGCAAATAAACTAAACTTGTTATCACATACAGGGATTGATGTAAAGCTTTATAGATGTAGTTTTGATTCCATCATTATACATTCTCATTAAGTCTGGGTTTTCTGACTTCAATAAGAGAATTCATAAATAAGCTACCAAGAAGAACCAGTGGTCCCAAAAATCATATCTATCCCTGAGACTACAGACAGTGCTAAGAGTGAATTCATTATGATGTTTTGAGTAACACCACACTTGCTTTCTCTGAAGGGAACTTTCAAGATTTTTCTAAATAAGTTTCTGGGTTTGATAAAAGGAGTGATCTGGTGCCAAAATCATAGAAAAAACTATCAGATGTGAAGAAAATGTAAGTATTTGTACAAATCTACACAATGTTGATATTTTTGCTCTCTGTAAAAAACAAACAAACACATTTCTTAGAGCAGATAGAAAACACTGCACTCATATTACTACCACCTCAGGTAAAAGAAAAAAAAAAAAACACATCCCTGCAAACAACACAAACTTTTTACAACCACAACCATGCCTTCAGCCCTTTACCACAAGATTGTTTTCTCAGCAAAATCTTTAACTACTCAGATCTGGTCAAATATGAGGGTACCCATTTAAGTTGGCACAGGCACACAATTTTATGAATCACAAGTCCGAAATTTTGATCACTAAGTCGGATCAGCCAGCTTTGGTTAATTGATTAAGTGCAGTAATGATCCGGGGTCTTCATCCTATCTCTGTTTTTTATTTATTTTTTTTATTTCTCTTTTTCAGGAGATGCTGATGTTTAAACTTGTGATTCACCTTAAAGCTGTAAGTCTCGAGACTGACTCACACATCTTTGATAATTTGTGCCGTACCAGCAAATTCACATGAGACAATTCTGCTGATCCTGTCGCTACAAGTCTTCATGCACAGTTTTGCGGCTGCGTTTGTCCAGCCAGGCCTGCAGCAGAGGGAAGTTGGCGTCCGTCCAGCGAATGTTATCCTCAATGGTCTCGTAAGCCTGTCGGATACATCTCATCTCTGAGCCCGTCTCCTCAGTCAGGGAGCCAAAGAAGCTTCTCACCTGCACACACATTAGTGAGACACACTGAAAAAAACTATTTCATAACTTGTATGACTTCGATTCATTTATCTACTTAATACACAGGTAAATTTTCTACTATTGTCAAGTGAGATTTCAGATAAACAACCAAGAAAAAAAGGAAGAGGATCATCATCACCTAAAAAGTGGATTTTCTCATTGTTAAAGACGCAAACTGTTTATTGGACACATAATCTTGCATACCTCGTCTAACATCTCCCTGGTAGAGTACTGGTTGGTCACCCCGGTCACTAAGAATGATATGGTGCTGGAGCCCAGATCAAATCTTTGGTAAAAACACAGACACAAGACAGCATGTTAAGAATAACAGTTTTTCTAAGAAGATAGTTTAGTGACTCCCTATGAATCATAAACACATCAACAAGACATCATTAAGACAGATGATTAAAATACTTACAAAGTTGATATGACTTGGAGTTATTTAAAACCTGAGATAACTCGATTCTACAAACATTTTACTTACTTTCTGTATTCTGAAATGTATTTAAAATTTGGTTAGTCTTGCTTGTAGGCGTGCACCTAACTTACACAGGCTACAGACCTCACAGCTGTCTTTGCTTTGATTCCAATCTTTGACATTTGCTGCATGTTCTCCTCCATACAATAACTGTAAGTCTTCACTGTCCCATAGATAAATACATGAATTTAAAGAGTTTATTTTGTGTATTAAAGCATGTCGGAGCTGACTTACTTCTTGATCATAATGTGCCAGTTGGCTCTCATGTAGTCCCAGGCCAGTTTGTATCCATGAGGGTTCTTGCTGATAGAAACGATCACATCCGGGAGATCCTGAGTCTTCATCACTTCACCATGGAGGCTCTGCTCCATCATCCTGCAGACAGGAGAAATGTAAAAGAAAAAAGGCAGAGAGAGAGCAAACAAGAGGAGAGAGAAGTGAAAGAGATCAGATAGGAGGTCAGAAGGAATGCAACAAAGGAGGAAAGAAAATGGAAAAGTAAAAATGTACCCACCACTGGATCTTGTCCTTCAGTGGACTGAATGCCATGGCAGTCTTCATGCGGCTCTTTACAGACATCTGCAGCCAAGTGCGGTACTTCTCAAAGAGAAAGTCCCACCCCTCAGGTGAACGCGCTCCAATAATAAACACTGCCATAGTGATGTCCACAGGAAGGCTAAAATCAACAACAACAACAGAGAATGAATCGCTCTGAACATATGCTTATAAAAGTCAAAATTCAAATACTACTGCATAAACAGAGATCTGTAAGTGATCTAGACCTCATGGTGCCATCAGAGTCCTTCCACTGGTCAAAGAGCTGAGTGGCTTTGGTTAAACAGGGAGTGTAATTCCTGACGCAGGAAAACAGCAGCAGGTAGCTCCTCAGCACTCGCTCAGACACTGATCCAGAGTCAGTCCACTCCTGACGATCAATCAGCCCCCGGAACAAATCCACGATATATCCCTGAGAAACACATGAAGGGAAATTATCAATCAATGGAAGGTTTTTTGTGTATCCTGTGTGTCTTGTAATCCCAAATGAAATTGGTAATGTGGAATCTAGCTTCTTGATGAAGGATTTGGGGAGATATATTGGAATTGTTTTAAATAGATCGAGTAAAATATAATTTTTATGGCGTATATTCTGCCAAGGAGTGAAATACGCAGGGTTTTCCAGGACCGGATGTTTGATATTAATTTTGTAATTCATGGAAAATAATTTTCATCGGATAAAAGTGAGTCTTTCTTAGAAATATCTACTCCAAGATATTTAAATTTGTCTACTACTATATTGAAAGGGAATAGTAAATTTTGTGTTTGAAGGCCGGCTTCACTAACCTTCATCTGGTTCTCCAGAGCTGCCATGTCTCTCTTCTCCATCAGTTTGTAGAGAGGTACAAGTTCCCCAAAGCCCTGAGTCACAGCCATGATCTCAGTCTCTTTGGACAGGTACAGGGACAGGTCTAGAGCCGTGTCCAGCCTCACCTTCCCAACACTGAAACACACACAGCAGGCTTCCAATCAACACATTTCAAAACTAGCTGAAGCAAAAAGTGGACAGCATTTTAACCATATGGTCTGTAATGGGGTTCAGATTCCGTCAATTAAACTGCAGGACAGACCTGACCAGCTGGAAGACATTGTGAATGAGGCTGGCTCGGTCGTTGCCGCTCAGTGCTGTGTGGTTGTGCTGCAGCAGTTTGATGATGGAGTTCCAGCCTTCACCTGCGTAGTGGACCATGTAGTATCCGCTCATGTCCACATTGAACTTCACCCAGTCCACTTCCTTGGGCAGGAACAGTACATCTATGTGGGGGAGAGAGAAATGTGATGTTTACTCATCTGTGTACAAAATAAAAAATGTCAAAACAGCAAACCAAGACTCAGTGTCTTCACATCTAGAGATACACTCACCTGTCTTAGATTTCAGCAGGAAGCGGTGGATGGTGCTCGATTCACTGGTCATGTAGGTCAAAGGGATCTCCCACAGGAATCTATCATAACCAGAGTAAAAAGTCAGAAAAATCAAAAGACAACAAGTATTTCAAAACAAGCTAACATTTACTTAAATCAGAGATAGCTTTGGATAGTATGTGCAGTATTTATAAAAGAATCTGCCAACCTTCAACTCCACTGTCTGGTTAAGTCAAAAAGAAATCTACGATTCAAATTCAGGGACACAGACTTGAGCAAAGAGGGAAAATATAACTTTGAAATTTGTACCCTTCAGTGAGAGAGGGATCATCTGTCTTCAGGTACCGCTCCTGACTGAGTCTGACCTCTCGACCTCTGACCTCCACGGTGACCAGTGGGAAGCCTTCCTGCAGCGTCCAGGTGTCCATGATGGCCCGGACATCCAGCTCATCACCAGAGAACCACTTCTGTGTTTGTAAAAACACACATCATACTCAAGGAACACGTAGAGGTCAATTTGGTATGTGGATATTTTAGATATGATTTATTCAGGTCAACAGTTTGTGATTTGATTCAAACTCTCGAGGGTGATATGAGGCTGCTGTGTTGAGTAATTGGTCTCATGATTAGATTAGACATTTATGGAAAGTGAGTAAGAATTGGTGGAAGGAGGATATGGTTCTTACTGTAATCTCATACCATAACTACTCTTTATCTCTGCATAACACTTCAGACTTGCATCATCATCATCATCGTTATCACCATTATATGAAATGATCTGACATATTTTTATTATTGCGTCATGCATATAGAATATGCCCGGCCCAAGAGGCTTATAGGACGCCATTTATTTACACACCAAAACCAAAGACCAAAGTAGACATGGAGATTACAAAACTATCTTACAGAAATAAACTGTTCTGATGTTTCCTACATGTGTTGAAAACAAAAGAGACTAGTTTGTGTTATAGTTAAACAACTATGTCAACTTCTCATCATCAGTGCTCCAAAAACATGTCCGGACTTCAGACCAGCATTTCATCCATCAAAGGAGTTCACTGGCTTTGATTTATTAAGAGCAGCTCTCACCTCTTCTAGAGTAATGTCGTAGTTCAAAAGTACATTTGACAAATAATTTTACCCATTCACATTTCTTTCTAAATATTTTTTAAATCACATGCTTGTCTGAGAAAAATCCAATTTACCTGGTATATGATATCCTGAGTATCAATCAGGAAAGTCTTGCTCCTACTTTTTTCTATCTACTAGAAGTTACAAGTTTTAAGATTTCCCCCATGAATCACTTTTTACAGCACCAGGGATGTTTCTTGAAATTGATTCAAATAGGGTGACCATGCATCCTCTTTTACTCAGACATGTCCCCTTTATGGGGGGCTGTCTGGCCTGAGTTTATAAAATCCTCCAAATGTCCAGAGTTTTGTATGGAAGTTTTGAGTTTGTGTACGGTGGACAAACTGAGTTAAAAGCATGTAAAAACACTCGACCTGACCCGAAAAACCCTTAAAATTTTGCGTGCGACTCTGCCCTGTGTAGAAGTGTCCTCTTTTTAGGGGTTGAGAATATGGTCTAATTATTTAATTCAAATCAATGATTAGTGATTCCAGGCCAGCCCTGCCAAAAATTATTCAGAAATCCTCCTTTTTTAACACATCATTTTACTGTGACCTATAAATTAATCAAATTTAAAGTGTTGAGTTGGAACCACTGTAAATGCATGAAAACCATTTTATATGTGATGGTGTATAATATCAGATTTCTAAGTTATTCTTTGTCTTTCCACTTACGGAGGCTCCAGACTGCAGGTTCTGTTTAGAGCAGTGCTCTTTATGTTTCCTTCCCCCTTCAGTCACATCATCTGTCTTGCAGATCTGTTAGAGAACCGCAGAGAATCATAACAACAGAGATAGACACAATTACACCTGACATAATTTTAAATAATAACTAAAAAAACATGTTTTCATAAATACTGAGACAGGGTTCAGGGAAAGGACCAGTACTCTGCTCTAACCTTAGTTAGCTCCATTAACAGACAAATTTATCACCTTTTCATTGAAATGAGTGATGTTTTTAAAAATTAGTATTATAAAAGTGAACATATCAAGCTATTATAGTTACACTCACATCAGTCAGGCTCTCCCACAGGTGGCTGTTGACAGTGTTTTGGTAGCTGTAGCGCTTCAGGTATCGTATGATGCCGATCTCAAAGACCTCAGGAGTCAGGAAGTCTCGCAGCATATTCAGAATACATGCTCCCTAAGAAAAAATCACATCACAAGGTGATTTTTTTTCCCCTGTTAATTTTGTATAAATAAAAAATTAGAATACATGGAAATCACTCAAAGTTTTCTTTAGCTGATGGCAGTGGGAGACTGACCTTGTCATAAGACACATCATCAAACATCTCCTGGATCTGTGTGGGGTTTTCTACAGGGGTGGAGACTGGGTGGGAGGAGCTGAGGGAGTCTACCTCCATGGCCTCAAAACATTTCCCCAAGAAGAAGTCATCCTAAAAGAGAGTGTGTTTACAGCAAACAGGTCATCATTGTGTAAGATATAAACTACTGACTAAAAATATACATCAGTTTCATCCCAGTGTTGAAAAATCCAGTAATTTATTCTAAATCAATTCATCTTTAGTTTGATGTTGTGTAGGAACTTTTTTTAGTACTTATACTGCCCTCTAAATTTCACTTAGAGAGAGACAGATTGGAAAAAGAGGAAGAGTACGAGTACAAAGTCCATTGTCTGTGCTCAGCTCTTACCACTTGCAGCTCTGGGTAGGTGACATCCAGGGAAACAAACTCCATGAACTTAGCAAAACCCTCATTGAGCCAGAGGTCATTCCACCACTCCATCGTCACCAGGTTTCCAAACCACTGGAAAGACAGAAGAGCAGGTCAGAAAAGCTCCATATGTAAAAAATATGAATACTTTCTGCTTACAGCTGGATGGTAAACCTTGGATTTAACAAATTATCAACATTTGTAAGTGAGCTACCTGGTGTGCGAGCTCGTGGGCGATGACTTTGGTGATACCCAGTTTGTCTGAAGCTGAAGACCTGTCAGGGTCAAAGAGGAGGCCGGTCTCTCTGTAAGTAGTCAGACCCCAGTTTTCCATGGCACCAGATTGGAAATCAGGGATAGCAGCCAGGTCTGCAGGAAACACAGAGGAAATAAATATGTCCAGTTTGGTACATTCACCTCACCTGCCGTCCCATTGTTTTTTCCGTTTTCACATTGGTAGCATTAGTGGCAGCCATTACAGTCAAATCCCTGAATAATAATAATGCATTTCCACTAACCTTGTTTGGGCAGAGGGTAAGGAATATCAAAATAGTCGTCATAGAAGTCCAACAACTTGACAGCAGCATCCAAAGCAAAGGCTGTCTGGTCGATCTTCTCAGGTACAGCGTAGATTGAAATCTGAGGGAAATTACAGGAAAGAGCAGAACAAAAATGAAACCCAAAACAAGTGAATTAGTGAATTTGAGCAGCTGCACATAGAATGGCCAGCACCTGATTTTCATCTCCTTACCTTGACACCGTGCTGAGTGGTCTTGCTAACAGACAGAAAGTCCGACACAATGTAAGCCACCAGGTAAGTGCTCATTTTGACCGTGGTGTCAAAGTGATCCTCGAGTAAACCGCCCGGCAACTCCACCGTCTTCACCTGAGGGACAAGTGTAGACAGAATTCGATGTTGTTAACCAGTTTATCTGTAATAATTCCTCACTTGGACTTAATTTAACCTCATAATAAATTAATGTATACCTTTGGCATGTTGGATATGGCTATGTGGCGTGGCTCTCGTATAATCTGTATGGTGAAGTTGGCTTTGAAGGCAGGCTCATCAAAACATGGGAAGGCTCCACGAGCAAAGGTGGCTTCAAACTGTGTTGAGGCCATAACCCTGATAATGAAAATGAATACAAGTTTTACTCTGGATGGACGGACACCATAATCCCCTGTTGTTTTCCCCCATAGTAGGTTTGCCTACAGAATCAGTGATATCACATAAAACAGCATCCATTTCTTTTCTCCTTTGAGGCCTCGATTCATTGTAATTCTGGTCCAGCAAGTTTATAATCCTGAATAACTGAATGATTTGTTACTCTTGCGCTTACCGGACCTCTCCACTGCTGGTGCGGTAACTGCTTTTATAAAAACCGTGGTAGCTGTCAGACAGGTTGGCAGCAAACCCTAGAAGAACTTCATATCTCCTCCCTCTGGTCAGCACAGAGTCGGACAGCAGGGCGAGCTGGTGGGAACGAGGATACTCCAACACCTGAAGGGATCTGGCTCCTTCAGGTGCAAGAAGCAGGGCATTGGATATCTGCATCTGCTTTGCATGGAGAACGATGGTGCTGGTGTCTTCATGCACTTCCAGCTGGATCCGAACAAGACCAGTAAAGTCGAGGGTGGTGAGGTTGGGGTGGATGGACAGGTCATAGTGGAGGGGGGAGATGGTTTTGGGGAGTCTCATGTGGTTCCAGGGGAAAGGCTGGCCGTTGGTGGCTATGGGGACATCCTGGGCTTGGTTTTGAGTGGGAAGCTGAGCTCCTGATGAGGGAGAGAAGGGAGAGAAGAGGAGGAGCAGCAGGAAAGGAGCTGGGAACATGGCGTCAAGGAAAACAGGAGGCCCTCTCACCTGTAGCACACAAGCACAAAACATAAGAATGCCCACTAATACTATAGTTATATGTCTTTGGTCCAAGTGTGTGATTCCTCTTGATGTCTTAAAAGAGACCTGATTTCTATCAAACAAACAGACCACGTGCAACAACAAAATGACAACGACCTAAGTTGAGTACGATCGTAACATCGATAACTCAATTAGCAGGAACAATGAAGCGTTTTATCTTTTACGACATCTATTTTGTTTAAAACATTTTACGGTTCTGATCATTTCAAACTTACCAAAACGTCTTTCGCCCTCCGTTTACTTCGACAAGTGCAGAAGTGAAAGCGAAACAGAAAAGGTAAGAGTTGCATGCTGGGAGTTTCCAACGGGAATGTTGAGTGACTCGTACATATTCTAATTTAGTGTTGTCGATAATACTTTCAAATATGCTAACTAAATTCACCTCTGAACGTCTGTGAAATCCTGGGACGTGTTGTCATGGTTGCTGCTTCTACGGGAAGCCCGAAGTAAATAAAACACGAACACCCTGCAAAAGAGGAATACACGACCGACATATTTTCTCCATAACTGTAAAAATCCGCGTTAATAATGACAGAAATGTATGAGAGCAAGACAGCTAATATTTTAAGGGGGAAAAACAGAACTACAGACAGGAAGTTCCGTGTTGTTGACGGTGGCTGCTGCTTATTCACCACTAGAGGGCGCCATCGTTTCTTATTTTCTGTCCTTGAGGCCCATGTGGTCTTCTTCTGTCAAATGATAGTCGAGTTTCAGTGTTCTATCCACGAACAAGAAGGCTTAAAAAACCTGTCTTCTTTTATCATTAAAAAAAAATTAGAAACTAAAGATGTGCGGTGTAACAAACTAACAAAAACATTTTAAAATTATTTTTACCACTTATTTGTCATTTTTGCTTCATGTACATTTTATATGTAGGGGAGACCGGGGCTTGTTGTCACACTTTTTACACTCTTATATATTACTTGGAATCAATACATCATATATAAACAAAATATGAACCAGATGAAAGACCAAAGTCTCAGGTATATATTTCATATTCATGTCATTTTCATATCTTGTGTCAGTGCAGAGTTATAAGCAGTCAAATAGACAGTGTGATCATGTGACATGTTGCCCCACCATCGGGTAAGCTGTCTCACTACATGGGGTAAGATGTCACAGTGGATTTTGCAGCTAATAAAACAAGGAAAAAAATATTGTTGCTCAAATTTTTTTTTACTTGAAAGTGAACATCAAAGTCAGACACAGAAAAAGTTCATCATTGAGCTTGAATAAGTCATTGATCAAACATTAGCATAAAATATTATGTTACATGCACTGGAGTTTGGAGAGCTGTCTGACTCTGTGTTTCGACTGGGGTGAATGTTTTGCAGTACCAAGCCAAGGTATGGTAGTTGACATTAAAGTCCTTTATTGTACCCCAGATTGATTTATTAGCTCGGGTCACCTGTCTGACTGCCCTCAGTATCACGTCAGGTACTGCACTGTCATGTTCTGTTTTCCTTTTGAAATTCCTGACCATGTCTTCTCACTTTCTCCTCTAATTTAAACCACTCTTTTCTCTGTAAAGATAAAGTCAAAGTTTCAATATGACAACTGCTGATAGTTTGACTCTCTTTGTTAATTTTAATCCCTTTTAAACATGTGACAACTAACCCCAAAATGACTGAGACATGTTGCCCCAAACTACCATGTTTGCTAATCAAAGCTCTAGTTTAAAGTTAGCTTCAAACAGAACAATGACTGAGATATGACAGGATGCCTTAATCTCTCCTCTAACAAGCCCACATGTATCACTGCTAGGATTTTTATCTGGTAGAAGCTTATTTTAAAATATATAAAGTTAATTTTCTTTACTTTGGGTTGTGCGAAATGGTTAGTTAGCACTCATCTTAGCTCACAATGTGCTCTTCTCTTCTCAGACAGGACACGACCCCTGGCCATGTAAAGGAAGAAAACTAGTATTCCACTTTTGGTGGCAAAGATAATTGCAATGTGACATTTTACCCATGTGACAACAAGCCCCTGTCTCCCCTATTTAAAGTTGATCACAAAACAGAGCATCAAAATAAACTTTTCCCTCCATAGGGGAAAGAAAAAGTGTACAGTTTTCTTGTGTCAACTGAAGGCAGTGGGGAACTCTTTATATGATCTTTTTTTTACTCTCCTGTTCTCAAGACTTAAACAACTTTCATGTTCAACCACAAATGAAGTTCAAAGCCACCCAAAGATTGTGTTCAGGTGGTATGCGCATTTAATTTAAAGTGACTATTTTGTTTCTTTCTTAAAATTATGTCAATTATATCGTTTTGCTTTTTTATTTAATTCTAGCAAGTTATCTTATTTATTCGTTGTCTTATCCATTTTTAAATCATAGCCTCATTCAAGAAACCTTGGGGATTCAAAGTGTATACTAAAGCAGATACTGAGCATGGTGTTATACAAATATATAAGGATTAATGACTATGTGAGAGAAAACAATGATAATACATGGATTGACACCCCCTCGTAAAAATACACACAGGGATAAAGTCCATCCCATCTGCAAACATTAATGAGTAAACTTTACAGTGACTCTATTCCTCTCTTCTGGAAGGTCATATAAAGAGCTGCACTGAAGTTACAGCCAGCATTTCAGAGTTGCTCACAAAAGTAACACAAAGCAATCAGAGGAAGCTCGCTGTTAGGCTCAGGTGAAAGGGAAAGGTCATTTTATAGTTTAGAGAATTTCTGTGAGGAAGAATGATAAAGAAGGTGCTGATTGGGGCTCTGTGTGGTGCAGCTGTTCTGACTGTGGGGATCCTCATCGGTAACTATGGGATCACAAAGAGCTCGGCGCCGTCCTGGGTGAAGGATGTGGCGAAGGATGTGGATGAGAGTTTCATCAAGAAGTTCCTGGATGAGGTGGACAACATGCAGATTCAGGAGAACCTCAGGTGAGTTAATGAATCATAAAACTTGGATTTTGACGGATTCTCTCTCACACATTTCACTAGTTTTTATTTTTAATTTTTTAATTTTATGTAATTCAAAACACACAGACTGGAAACTAAACCAAAATTATTCATTGAACAGTCATACAGCTTTTGTGTTTCATTATTCACAAATGTATGAGGTCCAATAGGAATCACTTTGCATTCTGGTAATGTTCTATGCCTTTAATCCAAGACAGAAAAATATAAAAACCTACTTCTCAAACCTTTATTCATCCTCCTTTTCCTCTTCAGGGAGTTAACCAAAGTGCCCCACATGGCCACCTCACCTGGAGATGAGCAGACGGTAGAATATGTGCTTAAAAGATGGACTGACCCAAACTCTGGACTGGATGATGCCTGGAGAGAGGATTATATGGTCTACCTGTCCTTCCCAGACCCCAAAAATCCTAATAAGGTCACTGTAGGTCAGTCAAATGTTTAAGCTCAAATCTGCATGTTTTTAATGTGTAAAAGTAAGGGGTAAAGCTCCAAGAATAGTCTTTTATCAAAGGTTGTTGGCATCCTGCATCTCCATCTAAGCAAATTAATGGATAAGGTGACATGTAGCAAGATGGTCCAATTCAGTTGATTTAGACTTTTTGAAACTGAAGCCATGAATCAGTTGTCTTTTGATGTCCCGCTTTAAAAGCTTCAATAAAACTAGACTGAAACAATGCTAAAAACCCAAGCAGCTCACTGTACCGAATCCAAATTCAGTAAAAACTTTACTTCTTTTTTTATGATATATCATCCTATATTTAAGCCAACTCCCAAAGAAAATTGCAACAATACTAGAGATGTTTGTATTTCACATATTCACCAGCAGACAATTGACCATCAGCTTTGTTTTCAGTGGACCCATCTGAAACTGTTCTGCACACTGTCAGAGAAAAAGAGAAGAATTATACTCCAGACCAACTCGATCCTCAGGTGGTCCAGCCGTATGCTGCATACTCGCCCCCTGGACATGTAAAGGTAAAAAGAATTGCATTGAAGCATTAAAAGATCTCTTTAAGGTGTCACACTCACTTCTGCAGGGAGCTCTAGTGAATCTGTTATGTGCTACATACCTACGAATTCATGTTTTACAAAAGTAAGTGGCAAACTTCTGTTGTAAAAACAACACTTGCACAACATTTGTTTGACCTATCAGCTTTTTTTTATAGTGATAGTGTCATGCACCATAAAGAAGCTATTATTATGTCACAGAAGATCCAGTTTTTTATTGCATAGGAACAGCGAGATACAAGGGCAAATAAATACATAAGAAATTTGTGTTTATAGGAGGTCGTGTTGATATGAAGCATACATAAAAACTAAAAAGTGGGTCACTGACTATATAAAAATCACATGATGGTCACATCCCTGTTTCATGCAACAAAATGTTACCTGTAACAACCTTTGGGACTCTTTCCTCAACTTTTATATTGTCTAACAGTGAGCACAAAACAGATACTTTTTCAGGGTCTAAGATCTGTGGAGGATATACAGTTAATTACTGTTGATGATCTAAGAAAGGACATGCTTAATAAATGCATGATTTCAGTAAAGCTAAATGTAAGAAGATCTGAACTTTGTTGAAGTTTGAGCTTATACAGTATATGCATACAAGGTTAAAACTTTCTGAGGAATTTGCATGTGTGACCCTGGCTCCATTATTTCTGGGTCATGTCTCAACAGTTATCTGGTGTTTTGCCTAAATTATCTTAACAGGCGGGTTCTAGTTGAACAACATTTGCCTTGAAAACCAAGGTCAGAACAAAATGTAAACAAATTTAACAGCAATACACTGTCTTAAGCTAACTTATCACTTAAAGAAGACGAAGTTAAATTACTGAACACAGTACTTAATAGAGAAATACCTTGTCTTTTGATACGCTAACTCTCCATGGTCTAGCTTCACTTAATATTTCAGCTTGTTACTTTACGATCTAAAATTTCTGCTTAATTTAATTTTTTTTTTTACTGAGAGCACTGAACTTATGAGTACTTTTCCACCCTGCCATAAAACCATCTCACCTAAAACACTCTCAAACATGAGTTCATTTGATGAGCTTAAAAGACAATAAAATGTTGTTATAAAACTATTACTGATGCACCATTATGAGACAAATCTTTTTTTTACGTCTTTATGAACTGAGACATTATGAAATATGCTGTCTTCACGAAACAACAGGACACTTTCAATGTTATCAGTACCTGTGAACATCTCGAGGAGATAAAAGGGCTTGTGATAAAAGAGGAGACTGTATCAAGAATAAACTAGACAATGCACTACAGCATTCTATTGGTGTCGAGTTTGAAGTCACACCATGAAAAAAGCATTAAATTCGTTCCTAAAGAGTGGCTGGATGATATTTAAGAGAGTTGTAAGAAAATATACGAGAAAATCAGAATGAAAAGTAATACCCTGTGTGATCTGTGAGAGGCACCATACCCTAAAATACAACAGATTCATGTGAAATTCTGAGAGTACAAAACTGTACATAACTTACAACACCATACATCATATGATAACAAACAGGACACATATGATATGATACGTTACAATACAATATGATAAAATAGGACACAATGCAACATAATATGATACTTAATCATATGATATAGTAGGATAGGATATAATCCTGCAGGATACGCAACACTTCTCAAGGATACAACACAATGAAAAAGGACTCTGATATGATAGGATACAAAGTGACACAATAGAATATGACAGGATATAATAGATATGATTGAGTTTGGTGCAGCATGAGTAGATGTTATCCGTCTAACACTGAGAGCATTTCTTAATGATTTTTCTTTCGCTGGTTCAAGGGTAAACTAGTGTTCGCCAACCAGGGGAAACTAACTGACTACCAGGAGCTGAATAAAACACTGGACCTCAGAGGAACCATCGCTATCACCAGATATGGTGGCGCAGGAAGAGCTGATAAAGTGAGTATGTCTTATTCAATGGAAGAAATGTAGTCTTTTGTATCATCCTGTTTTTCTTGTTTGTCTGATTATGTTTTCTAAAATGATCAGAAATAAACTGTCCAGAAGTGACAGAACTCATAAAGGGGCAGTAAAACTGAGAGTGTTTTGCTTAATGTTTGGAAGACAAAAACTTAAGAGTTTCTCTGGTTTACTGTCCAACATATCAGGGCAAGACAAGACCTTCTAGGGCATATGTTTTTCTTTTTTACACCGCAGGACTGAATATGAGCTTTAAAGGACATAAAAGTAATAAAAACACCAAGAAATATTTGTTATTCTTGAGACAGTTTTCAAATTTAGGTCCATTTATTGCCTAAATTTATTTATTTATTTGTTTATTGCTACCCATGGCTTCTAGCAAAGAATTACAAGAAAAACAACAATCCTCTGCGTTAAATACTCCGCACAACACAAAAGTCTTTCAGTAAATCATAAAGGTGTTTATTTTGAAGTTGAGTACAGCATGCAAACAATGTTGCCACAGCTAAAATGCCATGAGAGGATCACATATCAGAGGAGCATACATTTTTGCTTAACTTTATCAAAGTGCAGCATTATTCAACCATGAACTGTCACACGTCTTGTCCAGGCCATCAATGCAGAACCCTTTGGTGTCCTCGGCGTGCTTGTCTACACAGACCCTCTGGAGATGAATGATGGTCTAACATCTGACATCAATGAGACATATCCACACTCCTGGTACTTGCCGCCCTCTGGTGTAGAAAGGGGTTCCTATAGCACTCACTATGGAGACTTACGCACACCCTACCTGGCTGCCAAAGGTAATTGGTGACTTGTGTAAAATTGATTCACAATTCATCGCACAGTTGTGTTGGTCCATTTTATTGTGTGTTAAAAAATTGTACTTTGAATTAATTCACAGAGGAAACCTACAGAATCCCAGTTGAGGACATCACCGGGATCCCTCCTATTCCTATCCAACCAATCGGATTTGAGGATGCCCGCGCATTGATTTGGTTTGTGATTAGACAAATCCTGATAAAGCTTTAGATGGTTGTTTATGAACCAGCTCTTCATTGTTTTTCCATTTGTGTATTAGTGAGCTTGGTGGAAAAGCAGCACTTACCTCATGGCAGGGAGGATTGGGTTGTACCTACAACATTGGAGGCCCAGGGTTCAAAGAAACATCCGCTTTCAACAACAGGTAAGCCACTACAAGATTAAGATGTTAAATGCACTGCAGAATGTCCTATTATTATTCATTGGGATCACCTGTGTAATCCTTAGCATATAAAAACTCATTTACCAAATCAGAGAAGTTCAACTAATTTGCCAAGCTTGCAAGAAACCTACAGTGACTATTAAACATAAGGGCACAGAGTCGCTTTAAAGTGAAACACACACATATATATCTGAAGTTGTGTTCATGTTTCAGTGATGTGAAACTGGACATCTACAACTACGGAGAGGTGAAGAGCTCTGCTAATGTCATGGGCATCATCAGAGGAAGTGTTGAACCAGGTGAGACCTGTCACCAAGGTCAAATCCTCTTTTAGATTTCAGCACCTTTTTTTTTTTTTTTGCTCATGATTACTCTGCGGCTGTCCCTGTGTTTGTACTCAGATAGGTATGTGATCTACGGGAACCACAGGGATAGCTGGGTTCATGGTGCCATTGACCCCAGCAGCGGGACATCAGTTATGCTGGAGCTGACAAGAGTGCTGGGCCGGATGGTTAAACAAGGTGAGGAGAGCGACAGCTGAATGAATTACTGATTCTTTTACTCATTGTGCTGGATAAAGATTTAATACCTGTTTCTTTCCGTGTGGCAGGAAATTGGAGGCCTCGGAGGTCAATTATCTTTGGAAGCTGGGGAGCCGAGGAGTTTGGCCTCATCGGGTCGGCAGAATACACAGAGGTGATTTGCTATGACCTGATATGACAGACATGTTCATTATCAAGCAATATTTCTTCCATTTGTACCATTACTATTTCTACTCTGTGGGAAGCAATTATAGTTTTTAGAAGTTGTTAACATCTTTTCATGAACTTAAAAATGGAAAAAACACTGACTTTAATTGGTCTTTTCCTCAGCAATACTTCACCAAGCTCAGTGAACGCACCATTGCTTATATCAACGTGGATATAGCTGTGTTTGGTAAGTAACACCAATCCTTTCACTGAGAAGTTAATGAAAATGTTTTGCACTTCATTTAACAACTCAGAAAAGTCACAAAAGCCTATAATATCACCATGAAAATTTCAGCTCAGACCACTTTTCAGACACCAGTAGCAACATGCTAATCTAGTTCTCCATACTCTAAATCAGACATTAAGACCTAAATGGATTTTCTCAGTTTTGCGATGTAATTTTAGGCTAATTTACTGATGAATGCTGCTTCTTGAAGATTTATACATTTGTTCTAATGCTTATCAACAATCCCATTTTCAGCCAATGCCACACTCAGGGCGTCAGGAATGCCGTCAGTACAGAGTGTCATCTTCCAAGCTGCAAGACAGGTAAATTCTTAAAAATGACCGGTGCTAGTTCAGTGTTTTGTCTCAGGAGTGTGACTTTGACATAAATACTGTCCACAAACCGCCATGATGAGACTGTGTTTGTTCTCCAGGTACCTGCACCCGGAACTGACTTGACTGTATACGACAACTGGATGAAATTTTCCAACCGGACAAGCCCGACAAATGAACTCATTCCCAAGTATTGAACAACACCTTTTTAGCGCCTTTAGGTTACCAATTCTAAACAACTTAACTCTGCCAGATTGCACCATTGTCACATTTCTTCAAAGTCTATATGGTTCAGGAGAAACCCCAGGTCTGTCATTGTACTGAAATAAACTGCTCCTGGTTTTCTTTCTTCTCTACCAGGATGGGATACCTGACAGGAGCAGGAAGTGATTATGCTCCCTTTGTCCATTACCTGGGGATCACTTCTATTGACATGTCATACACATACGACAGGGTATGAAAGAAGTCTGCTGCCACTGTTTTTGAATTCTGTCTGGTCACAGTATGAAAGCTTTGTGTGGGAACAGGAAATGCTATTTGGGTCTCACCTGTAACACAGTTTGATTTCCACTAACGTTAGCGGGCACCAAAATGCCGCTTTAACCAGGACAGTAGCGCATCAACATGCATTTTCACTGGGTTCAAGGCAAATTCTTCCTCTTTGCTAATTGGATTTATATTCATATTGTTGCACTCTGTTGTCCTGCTTCACTGTTCATGTCTCATGTTGTAAATGATTTATGACTCAAGAAAGAGATTTTCATGTCAGTGCAGATCATAGACTGTGTAAAAGAAGTGAACTGATGTTTTTAAGGCTCAACTTTAGCACTTAAAAGTTACCGGCTTGTTTTATTGGGATCATAAACGACCACGAATGGAAGACAGGATGGACACATAATGGATTTATGACCATAAAGTTACAGGTAAATGTGTATTGTATTCATAAATCAACTGAAGAGCTTCCTCATCTTCTCATTTGTGGCTCACACTATTTTCTAAGTGTCTGAGTAGCCCCCCTGTGGCTCTTTGCAGGTATCAGACACTCTTGCATTGACTTAGATTTAAAAACCAAGAGACCATGTCCACTTCTTATACACAGTCTATGGTGTGAACATGTTTGTCAAGTACTCGTGACACATTGAACATATTTTGACTGCCCAATCATGATGTTTTTTTCATTAGAGTAAAACAAAGGCTCGGATTTACCCTGCATACCACACAGCGTACGACACCTTTGACTACGCCTCAAAGTTCATTGATCCAGGTAAAAGGATGTCTTTACTGTGGCCCTGAAGGTCAACAGCACAAACATTTAAAGAGGACAATAAATAAATAAATGTTTTGTAAAACATGAAAAACATTTAATCAAAAATAAAGAATATTTTCATCAAACCCATAATAAAATTGCAAAACATGAAAATATTTTATATAAACTTCAAAAATATTATGTGATTTTTTTAATCACAAAAATAATTTGTAATAAAAAAAATTGGAAAACAAAATAATTTGTCGCATTTTGTAGCTACTAAAGCTTATTAATATTTTCCAATCAGTATAATATTTTTACAGGCTTCAATAAAAAATATGCTTTCAGAATTTAATCCAAAATAATTTTTATTATCAACGTTTATTTTTGTCTTTAAAATTTGTTTGTAACTGCAAAATATTGCAGGCCATCATACTTTAAAAAAAATATTTTTATGTTGAAGAAATGTGTTGACACTTCCAAAAATTAAACTGCATTTCTTAAAAATGTTTTTTTGTTTTTATAATATTTTTCAGTGTTTTCCAAAATATTTTTGGAAGTTATTAGAATCTATTTGTGTTTTCTAAAATAAATTTTGGATTTATGCAAAATATTTTGTTATTATGTCAGATATTTGCAGGTTTTATGTTCTAATTTTTTTATTTGTTGAAATGTTTTTGATTTATTTTAGAATTGCCCCTTCTCTAGCAATTTTCCTTGCTATTGCCTTGGGAATCATGCATGGACTGAGAAACGCATATTTACTGCTCCTGACATTTGCCATCATTGCACACTACAGACTTGAGTTTTTGTCCGATCATTGGGGAAAATAAAACTTGAGTATTAAAACCTTTTAGTTCCCTCCCTAAACAGTTTTTCATCATCTCATGTAACACCTTCTTCTCTCAGGGTTTCACAGTCACCAGGCCGTTGCCAGGACAGCAGGAAACATCCTGATCCGATTGGCTGACAGCTTGGTGGTGCCGTTCAACTGTGGTGACTACTCTGAGATTCTGAGGGCCTACCTCAACACAGCAGTGACCCTGTATAAGACCCAACTGCAAGCTAGAAATATCTCCATGGGTAAGAACAGGATACAAAGCTCTGTCTCCAAGGCTTTAACTTGTGTGCATCCATCCTGGGTCAAGGTAGCTGATCTGACAACTTGATTATGAAGACTGAATATGATTTTTTTGGGCTTCTGCAGTAGACTAAATGCCCACTGTAGCAGGGATACCCTCAGGAGATAATGCTAAAAATATTGAACAGCACCACAGAAGCAGAATCTGTTTACCTACAATGATTAGAGAGGCTGAAATCTGTTACTGAAAAGCCAAATGGATGATTTGTTTCAGAACCGCTAGAACAGGCTGTGGCCAATTTTGAGAAAGCAGCATCTGATCTGGACAAGATGATCCGCAATTCAGACCTGGCAAATGAAACGTAAGAACACACACTCACATACAATACTTAAAACCCTTTTGTAAATAGTTTTATAAGGAACTGAAAGCCCAAAAGACCCAAACCTTTCTCTTTGTCTCTCTTGTCTTTAGACCGCTGAAAGTCAGAAGAATCAACGACCAGCTCATGCTGCTGGACCGAGCTTTCCTAAACCCTCTCGCCTTCCCAGATAAATATGCATTCAGGTAACAGGTCCTGAAAGCTTTTTGTAAAAAGTGAAAAGTAAAAACAAACAAAAAAAAAATTCAATATGACAAACAATTATTCTTCCTACTTTGGTTTCAGATGGACTTTCTCCATCTGTTTAACTGATCAGCTGCCTGTTATTGATAAATCGCCTGTTATTTCCTTGTGTGATTGACAGGCATGTCATCTGGGCTTCAAGCAGCGCCGGACAGCCAACGTTTCCCGGTCTGGCTGATGCTTATAAAAAAGCTACATTGTCAGGACAAGCCAGTGACTGGGCTCAAGTGCACTACCACCTGTCTGTCGTGAGCCAGGCCATCGAGGGCGCTGCCAGCACACTGATTGATGTCATTTAGCTGAAGAAGAGGAAGGACAAACTGCTGTAACTCAGGGACTTTTTTTTAATGAAATGCAGGGACTTGCAGCCTATGAGGACGGAACAGATGAGACTGTAAATGGATGACCTTCAGTGAGGAGGCTCAATGAGCCCGGCTCCTCACCAAGCATTAACATAAATGATGTCCTCTGTATTTTTCACGCACATTAAATATTTAGATGTGATCTTTTTTGTCTCATTGAAATGCTCCATTAACAATGAACCAAGATCATGTCTGCTTCTGCACTTTGAGTTTTTCTGCAGATAAAAGTCTTTTTGCATTTAATAAAATACTATAAATACTACAGTGAGTGAAAATACTTAATTCAGCAATCCCTATTAAAATTATATTAAGGTCATTAAGGTTCATACCTGGTAAAGCTCATGTAATGTATTCTTAGCTCTTCTAATGTGCTGAAAAAAGCTTCATTAGAGAACCAATGACCAGCTCTATGTTAATGTTGATTGGATGTCTTACACCCCGTTTTAGTAATATCCTCATCAGAAACTAATTGAGGAGCAGAACCGTTTAAATTTCCCACTTTTACATTTTTAGCTGGGATCTAAATTTGAAAAATGAAGTCTAAATAAACTTCTGATGCATGGGAGTTTATTCCTGAATAATGCTTATGATTTATATTTTTTTTCAATGCAAGGATTATATTTCTATTAAAGACATTTCAAAAAAATCATTATAGATTTCTGTGAGGTTTGTGACTGAGACCAAAAGCAGATGTGCATGTCTCTCATATCCGCACATTTGGCCTGAGGTCCACTTTAGTCTAACTTCATGATAACTTCATAATAATACGACCATTTGTTCATTTTTCTGTCTGTATGCTTTTGTTTACTCTCTCCCTTTTATTCCTAGAAGTGAAACAATGCATTTTGAAATGCTAATTCCAGATTAATATTCAGTACCCTAGTTGTTCTTTTTGTTTTTTTCTTTTACATGAGTCAATTTCAACCACAAAATGTTGCATAAATATTCACCAGAGTGCAACACATGAGTGTTGGATGTTGCTGTGTGTTTTTTTCCCTAAATTTTCCAATATTTTTCCCCTCTCTTCTCTTTCTCTCTTTTTTTTGTAATACATTCAAAATAAAAACATTTCAGTTCAGTTCAACTTTTGACCCTGGGAAAACAGAGTGAATCAAAAAGTATGGATGCACATCCACTTAGCACAGTATCTCATTGATTAGACATAGTGCCTGGAGCAAGACTGAGTCATGGTCACTGGGTGATTATGACTTGCTAATTCATCTGATCATTACACAATCTGTGCTAGTGATCTCATCTGACAGGTTTTCTGAGCTGTTGCTATCTGTGTGGAAATAGGAGGGCAAACTTAACTGTTGTTAATTTACATTCACAAGAACTGAAGCAAGCCTAGATCGAGGTTATCCTCTCGTTCAATTAGGCAGTTCAATAATACAAAGAGGGGTAAAGTTCATATTAAAAGATCATGCAAAGTTATCTCACATATAAGCTACACTTTGATATTCAAGTGCTCCATTAGATCTAGAAACAATCTTAGTCATCTCTGCTCCAGATCCAGGTGCAAAAGGATGCAATTTATCTGATGCCTTAAGCCTGTAGGCCTACAGTGAATTGCAGTTGGTTGCCTGTAGGCAGGCCTTACTGTCTGCAGCTGCAAGTACTGGCTGCTGCCACTAGGAGTCACAAAATGCCATGAGACACATTTATGGGCCATGTCAGCATTTAGGATTACAAGTTCAGTATCACAAAAGCCACTAGCAGCAGTGGATAAAAAGTCAAATCTGCCCTCTAAAAAGGTGATATATTTCCATGAAATAATTCTGTGCGTAACACAGTTCAGCATGTAAACAGAAATGTATAATGTATAAACGTGAGACAGAGAGTTGGAAAAGAAGTAAGACTCATAAATACTATTCTAGGATCCTACTTTTCCCCCGTTCAGACTCTGGTGTAGCCACAGGTCTCTTAGGGTGGTTTTATCCTGGTTTACGTTTATGGCGTTAGTCACACCCTTACGAGCTGCTGCAGAAGCCCAACTTAGTGTAAATGAATAACAGCCCGTTTGTGTGGGTTGAGTTCATTGAGTTCATGTAATTTTAACCTTTATATGCTATAAAAAAGGTGGGCTCTAGACTATTCTTAATCTCAGGAGACACTGCTTCAAAGATGGGTCCCATAAAGTTAAATTTATCAGCTGTGGATGGTTTGAAAGGTGCATGTCCAAACTGCAAAATGCATCATTGCTGTTTCATAAAACAAATGTGAAAATTGTGATATGATGAAGGCAAAGACTGGTTGGTGAAAAATCCACAGATGTCTTGCAGTATTTTTAGCAGTGAAGTATTTACAGAGGATGGATTCCTTTTTCAGCAGTGCTCTACTTGACATTCATACAGTTTGACATCAATATTTGCAGAACTGCCCAGAACAACCAAAGTCTGTCTGTTTTAAGCCGCTGAGCAGTTTCACTAGTGAAGTAGGAGACGGGGAGGAAGACTTTTAAATCTTGAATGTTTCTTCCTGGCTGATTTTTTAGAGCTACAGAAGTGGAATTTGAATTTAGTCTCTGATTTTTGTGACCGCCGTGACTAGCTATGTCTGTATTTATTATATGTTTAATTACATATGCTTTTAGTATCCTGTGATCATTTCTGGCAATGGACTTTGGTCTCACATGTGTCACTGATTTCTTCTTTTTCAAACACATGCGTGCGCAAAATGAGAAGCTTATGTGTTGCAAACTTTTGATAAACAACTTACGTTAAGGGCAATTAGATGAAACTTATATTCTGAACACTCTTAATATTATTATTAGCTGTATTTTCATCTCCTCTGCTTTTATCACTCCCACTGTTGTCTCAGAAAATAAAAAAATGAACTGTAAAGAATTAAGTTTGTGCCAATTCAAGAGTCTTCTGTGCAAAAACCAGTGATTTTTCTTTGTTAATTTTGTCTTTTAAATGTTAAAGCTGTGTATTCTGATGCAAATTGTCACCCTGCATCATTTAGACTCTAAAATGTGTCACTAATTATAAAACTCTGTCATGATTAATGTAAAAATGCTGTTTCAGTAGAGTGTGGTTTATTAGTTTGATTGAGACATTACGGATTACTATGATCATCATTTCACTGATGTTCGTGTTTGTTTTTGCAGCTCACAGAATGGCATCACTGTTAATTTAAAGTTACAGTGAGAAGTTTTTGAAGCAGACTCAAACGAACAGTGATGTGTCCTTAGGATGTATAAAAGCAATAGAGACATGATTGACTATGTCTACGTTGTGTTGTTAAGAGCCTGAAATTGCTGTGAGGGGTTAGTTATATACTCAAGGAGCTTTTACTTTCCCCTAATATTCACAACAAGGGCTGAATTCCACTGTAAAAGATAACAGAAGAGGTTTTGGGTTTTTTTGCAAAATAATATAAGGACAAACCAAAATAAGATAATAATGACTACTTTGTTGAAAGAGGGTGCTTGGGGGAGGGGGAGCTTTAAGTTTGTCTTGTTGCTAAAAAGTAAAAAAAAAATGACAGGAGCTTTAAAAAAAAGGCAACAAACAATAACCAGGTGCTACTCGCCAGTCGCAGAGTTTATTCTTTTAAATATACATAGACTTTTTTCCCCCCGTATTAAATACCCATCCACCCTTCCCTCCCTCACTCCCTTTCCTTCCCTCACTCCCAGTTCTTTGCTTTCTCGATTCCCCACCTCCAAAGAGAAAGCTCGTCTGGCTGAAAAACACACTCTACTTTGTGCAGCATATTGCTTTTTAAGACATTTGCGAAAAAACATAAATTAAAAACTACTACAGCTTGTTGTTTTTTTCATTTTCTGCTCCAACACTGGTCTGTTCTGAGCAGAATCTAAAAAGAAAATCCTTTTTTTTTTTTTTTTTTTTTTTTTTAAAAGAAATCAGCACAGTGTCCCTCAGTCTGGCTACATAAAATTGACTGGATTCCCCTGTTTTCATGGCATGGTATGACCCTCCTGGCATAAAGTGAACACAGTGGTATGTACCATGATTTGTGAAACTGTGGGAAGTGAAATTATTCTTCATCAGATGTCCTGAGTTTGGTCAAATCATACAAGCATCTTTCTTGTGAACCTGGTTTTAAACAACAAAAACATTTTATTCAAAATGACTAATTCTTTTCAGCCTTCACCTTCACGAGTGTTTGTGTCTCAGTTCCTCAACTTCAGACGGTGTGCAATGTGCTAAATGTTTATGGACTTTTGTCAATTAATGTTTATGGATGTAACTGGTCCGATGAAATGAACGAAGCTGCAGGCAGAGTGAAGGACAGTGTGATACGGCACTAGAGGAAAATTCAGGTGTTTTAGTCACAAGGCATGCATGTTAGCACTGAAGAGTCGACACCAGAAGTGTTTCAGTTGTGAAGTGTGTAGTATGTGCTGTGTGCAAGTCTTGTCAGTTTATTTTGGTGTGTGTCTGTGTTTGTGCAATTTTATTTTTGAACAGAATTAGAAGATGTAAAAGTCCTGCTTCTGACTGCACGCATATTTCTCAAAACTGTCATATTTTCACTTTTTTTTTTTTTTTATAAATGAGAACAAATGCACAGAAGCAGGACTGATACTCTACCTAACACTGTACTAAATGTGCAGGTGTGTGTCACATGTGCATGTGGTGCGTCTCATCAAGTCTCATCAAGTTTTGCGTCCATCATTTTTGCAGTCAGTCTTTTTCCCTTCCTCCTTTTTAGGAAGCACAGGAGGGGCTGCACTGATGTTGGAGAAGGTCAAATGGTTCAAGCTGGGGTCACACACGGGGGGAGTATTTGGGGTTTCTTGGCACCTCGGTGAAAGATTTCAGCTCATAAGGGATCCCCGTGTCCACTTCGATGGATTTGCGGGAGAATAGCAGCCGAATATCATTGTGCAAGTAGATCTTCCCAGATTTGGAGCTCTGGAATCTGAGAAATGGAACCAAAATATTTACATTTTTAACCACACCTTGTTTAATTATCAATGCATTTACTTCGTACCACTTTGCCAACAAGATCACCAAAGCTCCTCACAGCAGTCTTTAAACTTTGACACTATTATTGCAACTCTATGACACTTTTCCTCACAGTCAAACAAAATGTAAGAACAAAAGCTTGTTCAGACAGCTGGAAACTCAGCCATACCTGAGATGTATCAGGTAGCAAAGAATCTTCTTCCTGTCTAGCACTACACCCCCTGGTGATGCCTCGCTCCTCCCCTCAGCCCCTTCCTCTACGGGCACCAGAAAGATACGGTGGCGCAGGAAGGTCATGTGATTGACGGGCATGTCGCTGAAGTTGTAGGTCACCAGGAACATCTTCACCACAGTTTTGTTGGGATTAAATAAGGTCTGAGGACAAATGGAAACATATTTTAAAAAGGAACATTAGACTGCATTAAACCTTTTCTTAAACTCAAATGACAAAAACGTGTCCTCTTTTAACACAACACTCATGAATTCAACATAATTCTACCTCATTATGTCAAATCACTGTAGTAACAGAGATTACAACTCAGAGTTAACCTGTTTTTCTCCAGATCAGAGTGAGATGCTGAGGAAATTATGAGAACCTACCACTTGTATGGTCCCTGCTTTGGGTATACTATATCCTTTCTTTCCAAGAGGCTCGAGGGATATCACCCCCTGTGAGGGAGACAGAGAGAGACATGGCATTCACAATAACTGTAATGAATATTCTTGTGTTTCCTCCACCTACTGTGAACTTTCATGCCAAAACCTGGCTGTGGGTTGGATGCTTAAACTTACACTTTAACTATAAGGTGGCAGTTGTTTGACAGCAGTATTGTAATAGGTAATCTTAGACATGTCTGCCCCTGTAAAGCTAACCTAATCAACCCAGCAAAAACAAAATCAATAATATACAATGACTTATTCCAAAGTAGAAAGTTTTTTTTGTTACAAAGGAAGCCACACAATGAATCATACAGTGGTGAGAGGTAATTTTAAGTTCAAATAACTGAGTTCAATGAGGTTTGACATTCACCAATTATAGCACACAATAAGTCAGCATAAACATGAGGCGAAGAACAAAGAAACTAACAACAGCTGGTTTCCAAACGGTCCAGGGTAACAGCAAACACAGTTCAACATGTCTAAAAAAACAGGGTTTAAACTCACATATTAAAGCTAGTCCCATCTAAAGATAGATAATTTTCTAGTATATAATCAATATGTGATGAATATGTGGTATTAAGTGATGTTGTTGACAGATGTAGAAAAAGGCTTCATTGAAAACATTTGGGTTTTGTACATCTGGTTCTGAAGACGTGAGCAGACATCAACCTTCTTGACGCCAATCCTGTATTTGTTTTGGGTAGTTGCTCGGATCTCTTTGAGCTCTTTCTAGGAGTGATTTATTGTAATTCTAGAAAACAAACAACCTCCCATGTGAAACAAACAGCGTCTGTTTTTTGTTTGGTTCATTGTTTGTGTATTTGTGCAAAATATTGTGTACTTTTGTACAAACTAAGGCGAATACAAACAAAGGACACTGACCAGGAATGGCGAGGGCGCGCTGTGCTCTGAGATGTCATAGTATGTAACCTGCACGGGCAGAGTGACGTGCTGAGGGCAATAGGAGCCACTGGCGCCAATCTCCGCCGTGAAGCCTTCGATCCTTCCCGACGGGGAGAATCGTCCCTTCAGTATGGACTCCTGTGACACAAAATGGAGAAAAGAGGGAAGTTAGTCATTTATATAAATATCATCATACTTTACTTAGTGCCTGTTCAGGAAAGGGTTAACATTTGGAATGTCCATACTTTTCCATACCCTACTTTTTAGAATTATTTTTGGAAATACCTACTTTTCTATTTTAGAAAAGGGTATTTTATAACTGTGGTAATATAGTCTGTTAACATAAATATTTTTCCATTCTTTATTTTTCATTTTCCGTACTTTTAAAGACCTGGAAATTGATCAAATTACTTCCATACTTTTCATACTTGCGTAGGAACCCTGTCACTGCTGTGCGGAGATTTGAGAATACAGAACCCCACAGTCACTGTAAAATATTAAAGGGGCCATATTTCATGTATTTAAATTACCATATGAGCCAAGAAAGCATCGTACACAATAATACAGTGAGCAGTAAAAGCCAAGATAGTGATATTTTGAAAGTGTGAACTGACATTATGACACCATAACCAGGCTTAACAATTTCATAAACCACAGGTGCTCTTTGAAAAAGGATATGAATATATTCTATAACACTGTGGATATCAAATAATTGGGTCTTTTGGGCTGAGGTATGTAGGATGTCTCTGACAGTAATAGTCACAACAACTAAATGATGCTATGAAATCAGCAACTGAGAGAAAGACTATAACCTTTGATGTATAATTTACTCCGGACAAAATAAGCCTTTAGTCAAAGTCATCACAGATTTGAGTAAAAGCTGCTGTGTTTGAAAACTGGGGCTCAGCCTGTTCGCCTGATGTAAATTAAACTCTGGGTTTGCATCTTGATTTCTCAGCACACCCGTTTTAAACTGATGCCATATTTGCTTCGAGTATCTCCGGAAGTTATCAAAAATCTTTCACGTTTTTACCTCAAAGTTGCCGAGAAGTGCTCTACTGATGGATGATGACGGCCAGCTGGAACGCGTGGAGTGGCTGCTGTCTGTGTGTCTCCCGCTGCGCAGCTGCCGACTGAATACGACCACAAACACACACAGAACAGACCGTTGGTTAGTGGTTAAGATGACACTAATTTTGTCTTAACTGGCATGTCACATGCCTCTGAGTGTGTCTGAGTATTCAAGTCCAGACAAAGTACCCTTTAATTTAGGTTAAAATGCAACCTACGCTGACTCCCACCTTCTTTCACTGTGTTGACTCTGTTGCAGTCAACATCCAGATGTGTACATGCACTTACAAACTCTGACTCAGTGCACCTGCTGGAGTTTACATTCTTCTTCCTGTATCCCTTTCAAAGCCACTTTTATAATCATGAGTGAATGACTTTGCCTGAAATGGATGGAGCACTCACCTTTTAAGCCGGAGCCCACTTTTGAGTCTTCTCCCTGATCTCGTGCAGTCTGTGGCAGTCTGAACAAAAAGAGCAAGAAATTAAAGTAACCATCATTTAACATCCTGAATTTTGTTTGCACTTCATTTCTATACAGATATAGTTTGTATGTTTTATTGCTTATTCTGGGTGTCCTCTTACTTACTGAACACTGGCTGTTGGACGTTGCATCAGACACAAAAAAGTTCCCCATTTCCTGACTACTATTCATCATGAGGGCTAGCAATCTGTCAGGTGACTCATCACTAGCCAAACTCACACTACCTGCTGGCCACTTGCTAACAGCGAATCCATCACACATGGTTAGCTTACTGGTACAAGCTAACCCTTGGATACACTGGCTTTCTAGCCGTAGAGCTCTTCGTCAGCTTGTCATCTCATTGTAACAATTACTTAAAACCATAGAAAGCATTTTAGACTACTACTCTTTCTTGCTGTTTTGTGTCTTTTTACTTTTTCTAGTTTTTATTTCCAGATGAAGTCAAGACCCTCTTCTTTTCTTTAGTTCTATCGTCAACTGACTTCTCTGTCCTTAAATCTTCAAGTCCTCCCTTAATAAATCTGCCTGTGCTCCCTCGTACATACACTAAACAACTGTAGTCACAGAGATACCACCACTGAATGAAGCCGAACTAGTGACCTGATGAACCCTATTGTCCCCCTGAGTGAACTCATTTTCCAGCCTCCCAGTGTTCAAAAATAGTCAGTTACCTTCCAGAATCTTTTATTTTTTAACAGGATGTATGCATATACGTGTGTGTGTGCATGTGCGTGTGTGTGTACATGTGTGAGAGACAGAGCACACTCGTGTGAGGGAACAATGGAGCCTCCCTCAATGGGCTTTATTCTCGAGCTACTCTGCCTTTTCCAGCATGGTGCGATAATGAACCGGCCTTCACTTCATTCTTTCACTTTTATTCCTTCTCTTAGTTTCCCTTTATTTATGCATCAGCCTCCTTTCTGACGCTGTCAAGGCTCAAAGATGTCTTACCATCAAACACTTTCTCTGAACAGCTATTCTTTTTACAGAACTTAAAGCTTTAGGAGCCTCAGTATACGGTGGACTCAAAGTTTTTAGCTGTAAAAGGACAGTATTAGCATACAAATGTGCTCATGCTGTATGCCTAAATAAAAATACCAAAGCTTCCCTTCTGAGGTAGTAATTTAGGGTTGGAAAACTGTGTAATCTGAACATAAAAAAGACAACTGACAACTCCCTAACGGTTATTTCTTTTAAACATTTAACTGATGTAGTCAAAGACTCAAGGGTACATTTTTGTGGGTCATAAATTTTAGACTTTTTGCTGCTTAGAAAAATAAAATCAAAGAAGCTAACTGAGTTTCTGCTACTAAAAGTGCAAAGTTTGGTTAAAGTCAATGTGATCAATGTCATCTTTACCATCTGTGCTACGCTAACTTGTAAATTAGCTGGAGCTGCTATGTTGCAATCAATGTAAAAAAAGAACAAATGTGAACTATTTGCCAGTGCAGTAGAACATTTCTGGTAGCGGTGTGTGTCTGTGTATGCTGGTAATGGTGCTAACCTTGGGTCGGTCCCATGCAGAGGGCAGCAGATGGTTCCAGTAAGGTGCAGCTTTAGCATCAGTGCTGCGACATGAAGCCGGGCCCAGTCCTGTAGCCAGCAGTGACAGCCTGCTCCTCTTTGATGTTGAGGGTCCCTCATCTTCTGAACATGAGTCCCCCGTGTCGCTCGGGGATAGTAGCCTTTTCTTGGCCGGCCAGTGGCCTCCAGAGGAGAGACGGTGGCTGTTACTGCTGGGAGTTTTCTCCCAGAAAGCCAGGCCATTAGAGGGAGAGGATGCAGCCTGGGTGGCACTTCTCTCGGGTGGGGAGGATTCTAGTCCAACGTCCCATTCGGTGGCCTCCCCTGGCTCCTGCAACTCTGTGTGGTGTGGAGGGGAGAAAGGGCCTGGGGGGCTGGTGGGGCTAGCAGGGTTGGGAGTCTCATAAGTGGACACTTCATATAAGTGAGGACTGGGCTGACCTCCAGATGAGCCGTTACTATAACTTTCATTTGAATATGTGGGTGTGCGGCCCCCATTGGGAGTTTCAGTTCTGGCTGAGCTCCCAGGGGAATAACCCTGGTCGGAGAGGTGACCATGTGGGTCACACATTGGGGGGGATTTGGGCGAGAGAGGAGCAAATACATCAGGAACGGGCCTGTCATGATTGTGCTGCGTAGGGCGTCGGGAAGGGTTGTGGATTGGGGAGAGGGAAGGAGACCTGGGTGACAGTCCCCCCTCAGAGTCTCTGTGCTCTAGCTGTGTGCAAGAATAAACAGAACCAACCCCACCAGGGCCTGCTACTAACCCAACCCCAACACCTTGAGCTGGGGCAGGCCCACAAAGGACCCCTCCTTCTAATATATCCTGGTCTGAGCAGTCACCCAGGTGGGGTCGCTTAGGAGTCACTTGGGGCTCCTCTAGCCCTCTTTTCACAGCCAACCGGACTGGTCTCTGTGCAGTATCAGTGTGGGATTCTGTGGAGGTAGAAAATCCCCCCAACTGGGAGAAAATGGAGAGCTGATAGACCTTTTGAAGCCGCAACTCCTCTTGGCCAAAGTGCCTGGGCGCCCCTGGTCTGACCCCGGGGTCCAGTCCCTGTGTTGGGGTTGTGGGTGGAGGCAGGTCCCCCTCCTGGGCTGGGAGTTCTAATGGAGCCTTTTTGTGGGCTAGTTCCACGTGGATGTGCCGCATGGTGACTTTGCTGTAGGGTAAGAGTCCTGACTAACTTTTTACGCAACAAGGTCTGGTTGTTCCTCACAAGTGTCAGGAGGCAGAGCAAGACGTCCTATAGATCCTGCTGGGAAGTTGACAAACGGGATTCAGGAAGCTGAGCTGCACAGCACCTGAGAGGACAGAACAGTTTTTTTTCAGGATGGATTTCCATTAAGTGATTAACAATAACCATAATAATTAAAAATGTTAATCCTTTTTTATTGTGACTGTAGGGAACTCCACTGATTGTTAGTTTAGAAACACTTCCCTCCATGTAAACTAAGATGACACTTTTATCACAACTTTATGAACTAATGGTGGAATTTATCAAAGTTAAGACAACCTTTTCCGACCTCAGACAGCATTACTGTCATTAAATCAGGGGTGAACTCAAGTGCTTACATTCATCATAGAGTTTAGTTCAACATAAAGAGCTGTTTTCCTTCCTGTTTGAATGGTCAAGGTCAAAAGCAGCTTTAATAGCTCTGAGGGGACACTTCAATCCAAGCAATTTAGGCAAGGCAAAAGCTAAACTCTCCAAGTTAACAGAATCAGATCCAAATCTCACCTCTGTGCTCGTCCTTGTCTACTTCTGCCCGTGTGGACAACTTGCATATGGCCCAACATCTGGAGGTTGTGTTCAAAATAGCCGACTAACGAAACCAATCCATCTCCATGGCAGCTGCCATGAAACCACGCCAACATCCCAAGATAGGAAATCGAAACAATAAGGACTCCAAGAGGAGCAGGAGTGGAGGTGGTGGGAATGGGAGCTACAGCCTGAGGAAACAATGAAAGACAATGTAGGTGATTTATTAGTAAAATAAATAAATAAATGGCAATATGACAGATTTGCTTCTCATTTAGGATTTGAAGTTAGGAAAGTGTTGTTTTTTTATATAGTGTATTATGTTTATATGCTTGTGTAAAGTTTTTTCAGTGAGTGTTTTTAAGAAATTAGAAGCAACAAACTATTAATTGCATTCTACTTGATTATTTAAGAAAGATGTTTGATACAAACTGATCTGCAGCCAACAACTGGAGGGCTTATCCTCACCTGAAGATGGAGTGTCAGTGATGCAGGAGGTCGTGAAGAGGAAATGTCTCTAAACCTGAGTTGTAGGTAACTCTATAGGGGATCCATTTCTGGTAGACTGAAAAGCAGACACACCCTCCTTGGTCACCTGGGCGTGGGGTGTGAAACAGCTGTGGCGTCATGGCAGAGTCATTCCACCCAGAATTCCTGATGAGACAGAGACAGAAAGAAGCAAATCAGTGCTCAGTCTTTTGCGTTTGTCTCATCACTTCATGAAAACACAATACAAAAACATGAATAACAAAAGGTGGACTCAAAGAAATTAGAGAGGTACATCTGAAAAAAAAAACCTCTTATTTTGTTTTATTTTTTATAACCTTAAACCCCATTTTGATTTAAAAAAACCCACACACTCTTAGTAGCGGATCAAACACCATAGAGGATCAAACATCGGGGCCCCCAGGAAGTTGATATTTAGGGTTCTAGCCTGGCACTAACTGCTGCAAGGCCAAGAGAAGCAGGACGTTTACCGACCCACTTGGACCAGAACTTGGGAATGTTAAAAGAGAGGGGGGAGTCACAGTGAGCTGTTGTTATGGCAACCAGTAGCCCAAGGATAACAGCTCCTTTGTGCTTGGCCACAAAGAGGGAGAAAGAGAGGCAGCGCTACAGAAGAGAGGATGGACGGTGGGGGGTGTTGGGGGGGGGGCAGGGACAGATCTGCAAAGATGCTCCTCCAAGAAAATAACTTCAAACAGAAAAATATGGCTGTGCTCCATGAGGTGTGAACACCCGGCCAAAAACGTCCATAAAAAAGGGCCTTTGTGGTGTTAACCTAAAGCAGGCAAAAGAATCCACTTGAAGTGCTAACAAATTAAATCCCAGGCTTGAATTTTTTTTATTTGACAGTTGGAGGAGTTTATTAAAAAGCCAAGAAAGCTAATCTGACAAACACCCAGCTGGCAACCATGTAAAGAAGAGAAGAAGAGAAATGCTGTCAGTTCCTATTTAGAAAGACATGATAGTAACTGGTTACTTCACTTAGTTTGTAATTCTCTTTAAATCAACATGACGAAAGTTCAGCGACGCATGAAGAGACCCATTATGAGCACAGAGGCGCTGACGTATGCGTACAGAACAAGTAAGAGGAAGGAAAATACCTCTGAGAAAGAGGAAACAGATTATGAAAGTTGCTCATACAGTGGGTGATTTCAATACACTTGTAATGTGTACGCTGGTGAAAGTGCACAGAGTGTTGAATACTGTAAAAGTAGGTAACTAATCCAGAGGGGCACTGCCTGTATTCAACATAATCAATCAAATGTGTTGAAATTGCCTGGCTGATGGTGCTGAGATGACTGAGTATTGAGTTTTGTTTTCTTTTCCATCCATATGAGACAATGCACTCTTCAACTTCATCAAAAACCGGGTAGACATCTGCCAGCCATGGTAAAGTGATCCAGATCAAAAAACAATGGTTGTAGCCTCAGTGATGTCAACCCTTGGTTCCTGAAGCAGAGTTTTGGAGCCCCTGTACACCAGATGCCATCCTGGAAATGCTTACTCAACCTAACTTTTTAGTACTTACACAATGGCGTCATCTCCCAAGACCCAAGGTTGGTGCTTGTTTGATCCCAACAGACTCTACAAAACCTCCTTTAAGCATTATAACAGATGTAGTCTAACTGCTATAAAATAAATCCCACCATATTGTTTCCCTAACACTGCAAACAAAGATTCACATGATGATTCAAGGAACGAGTGAACAAAGCCTTTATCACCTGTAATTACACACATGACATATGGTCCCTTAGCTTTCATACCACAATGCTTTTGGGAAAACCCAGATTGAGGAGGTTTTCCAAAGTGCCTCCTACAAGTTTTGGAAAAGCTATAATTTTACACAAGCACACAAATAGGAATGGTAAATAATAATTTGAATCTTTATACTGAAAAGATAAATCTGGGTAAACTGCATGCTACTTTAGCTGTATGCCATATAATAGCCACTGCAAAAAACTTAGTGTTTTCTTTCCTGCATTAGGCTTCTATTAAGAAAAGGAATCATAAAAAAGACTCTTAAAATTTATATTAGAGACTCTGTTTGCTGGGAGCGACATTTGTAAAGAAGAATGTGTCAGTTAGGATTTGATTTATTGAGCATTTGATTGTTACACTGATATTTCTCAGGACACTGCAGTCTTAGTCAAACAGGTATATCTGGTAAATATCATTACCAAGTAACAACAGATAGACAGCACGTCCTCTACAGAGGTCATCAGATAACACCACTGATCACAAGTGATCACCTCGACCTGTTTGTACACCCTGCAGGCAGGTGGAGTCTCCATGAGGGTGAGCACCCAGAGGCAGGAAAACGGGGAGTGGGGGATGGGTTAAGTATGAGAGAGGAGTCAGCATTGAGTATTAATAGTCCTTGCCTATACCAGAGCTCACTGGAAGTACCAAAGGTTCTCTGCAAGTTCCCACTGGATTTCTGACCTTATTCTGAACCAGCTGAGCCAGAGGCTGGCAGAGACCGCCCAACTCTTTCCAGGTTTGATCCAGGAGCCTAGAAAGGAGTAGAAACACCTTGGCTTTACCCCAAGAAAGGATTCAGGTTTTTGTGTGTCTGTGTCAGCTCAAAATGAAAACTTCAGAACTCTACTTCTGTATCTCTGTACATTGAAGTGGTTTCAATACACTCGCACCTGCCCTCAACCAGTGCCAACAACCAAACACCAGTTCTGAAACAGTTATTCCATATTCGGACCATTTTACTCCTCTGCTAGCTTAAAACATTCATTGATAAAGTGCATAGAGTATAAAATAAAAAATTCATTTGCAAACAATAGCTCATACCTCAAAATCACACTTCACACCGCACTGACAGAATGCTGCTTAGGATGACAGTGAGGGTTTGCAGGCAAGGTGCAACCTGCATCTGCAGCATCTCTTGATGTGCAGCAGCGAGCAATCAGTCAGAGGAGAAAGAAGGAGAGTGGAAATGAGGAGATGACAGACAAAGGAATGAGAGACGCCCTACAACACTGAAACTGCTAGACTGAGACGGGGAGAAAAAGAGGAGGAGCAGAGGGATGGGGGAAACAGGAAGAAACAACATTCCGGTAGGAAACCTTGAGGAGGGCATGAATACATCACGAGCAGGTGGAACTACCCAGTGTGGTGTGAGGACAGACTTAAATCTTTGTGGGTATAGTACATGTTGTGTCAATAAACTGTGCTAAATGGCAACCCTTTCGGTGTATCAGTGAACCATTTCAAATTACACTAACTCCCAGCTAATTCACAGAAAAAGCTTCATAAAGCATGTTTGCACAATAAAGTGAACAAAATTCATCCCTGTATGTTAGTGGTCAGTATTTGCTAAGAAAAAAATAAAAATAATAGACAACAATCTTTTCACTATGGTCTTGTTTGCTTTTGTATTTCTTAAAAAAAACTCGTTATAGCAGCTTTAAAATCAATACTATCTGTTTTGTCATGGACTGTACAGACCTGAGGGGTCTTTGGTTTGTCTAAAAGTTAAAGGTTAGCAGAAGGGGTGTGGCATCAACCCTCCACCAGCCAGTTCACTTCTGTGCATGTGTTGGATACAAATAAATCATAAGTGCAATATAAAAATGTTTGGCTTCCCATTTTTATGATGGGAGAACAATGGGAGGAGAAAAAGGCGTGCCATTTAAATATCCACGCAGAGATTTTTAGACTGGTCAGCCATCTCAAACAACAAATATCAAATGCAGAATTTAGACTTCAGATAGGTCTAACAAACTGCATCATTTAACACTTGCTGTCTCACTCAGTTATATAGAAGGACTTGGGTCACAAGGTTCATCCCCCCACCCCCACCCCTGACTGGAGGCATGCTCTCTGTGGAGCTGAAACATTTTGTTCAGTGAATGGTCACATCCTTCAAGGAGGATATTTGACTTCTGATGTGTGTTAAAATATGTGCAAGTCAGTGTTTTCCTTTAGGCCAGGGAGGACTGTGGAGTCAAGAGGTCAAAGGCCGGAAGTCTTGGGTCAGATGACTTATGGACAGCAGAAGTGGCGTTTAATTTTAACACGAAGAGGTGGTTCTGAAGGCTAACACACAAGTGAACCAAGTGTTGATCACCATGTAGTAAATGACCAATAAATATCCTGGGTTACTAGTTCCAAGAAGAGCCATCTGGAAACTTCCTTGACCGGGACACTCAGTTATTGGAGTGACAACTAAAGAGTCCATGAGTACAGAAAACATCTGCAAAGCAGGCCAATGTCCACTTAAGACCTCGTGGCTCCCTGTAAACTCTGAAGAGCTGCTCATGGGTTGACTGAAACATTCACACAAACAGAGGTTTAAACAAGCTCATCATTGAGAGGTATGCTGATGGCCCTGACCTAGAAACCCGCTCTCAGTGAAATGTATGGGAGTGAAGAGGGTAGAGTTCACAGCCAGCAGCGATCCTCGGAAAAAAACCCTGACATTTGGCCCGGGCACATTCAATCACAACACACTAGTGCCACATGCCAAATACAAACACACACATACAGAAACCCTGATCTTTGAAACTAACAACACACTGAAACCGAAAAAACAAATCGCTGCTGCGTCTTATTCTTCCTTCCTGAACGCTCTTATTTGCACTCCACCTTTGAGAAATTGTTTATGGAGGAAAACAGCTGCTCTGTTCACAGCTGTATGCATTTATGAGGACTTGCCTACTCCCTTTACAGATGCTCTTCTTCTGCTATAATACAAATATTCAGTTTATGTTACACAGTACTTCTCTGGTATGTAGACTGCACATGCATTTAAAACAAGTGGCTCTTCAGGGAAATTCCTTGCATTTTCAACATGTTTCCCTGCCCTCAAGTGTACTTCAAACTTAGCTTCAAAAAACTGTGAATCAGTTAAATACCTGAGATGATGGCAAAAAGCTAAGCCTTGGACACCTATGTTGTTTGATCTCTATTTCCTCCTTAATCTCATTATTTTCATAAGCTGTGAGTATGAATTTAAAATCTTGATAGAAAAAAAGGGATATTTTAAGAGTCTCTTCCCCTCTAGCAGTCCCCTTTAATAGTTTTTAGTCAGAGGATTTAGTGTTCAGGGAGACGCTGCACACTGATGCAATTCCACAGTAATCCAAAAAGCACGTTTGATAGCTTGTGTTGTTTTTGGTTATTTTTATCCTTCAGGCACAAAACAAAGATATTCAGACAGAAGGCAGCTTTCTATTAAACAAAAACGAGAAAAGAGAAAAAAAAAACTGCATCATTATAAACTTGATATTGATTTTTCTTTTCATGTTTTTACTTACGAAAAATAACCTCTTGTAAGCGGTAGGCTTTCACATAAGGCTCATCCTCCACCCTGTTTAAAAACTATCTGAGATTATGTTTCTTCAATCAGTGACATGAGTTATGTCTTCAACTTGAATGGGCCTTTTGTGGAAGCTTTGGTCTCTAGATGCTCAGCTGCTCACTCCGTGTCCTCAGTCCACCCTTTTCACCCTGCCTGTAACAGAGGTGTGATTACATCTGCATGAAGTTAGCAACCTCCCAAATGCCCTGATTGTCTCATCAGCTCTTAGCAGCACTCCGCCCGAGCTACTCCCAAGCCTGTGCTGTGCCTGGAGGTTGATAAACAAACACACACACACGCTCACACTTGCTAAGTGCTCCTGCAAATAATCACCTGTTGATTAGTTTACAGGTTTACAGTTAGAGTTGGGAAATCTGATGTCTTAGTGCACAAGGGGATGAAATGACAGCCACCTCTGTGTGGTGTGAGTGTGTTTGAGGATCAGATAAAGATAGAAGACGAGAAGTGACTGGAGGTGGTAGAAACCTCTGAGCAGACAGGGAAACACCAAACACACACACAGCTTTAGCTGGAGAGGCTGTGGCCGTCTAAACTAAGCTGGCTCAGTGACATAGTTGCTGAGAATGCTGTTTGACATGGGGTCCCTCTCCCTCCCGTCTGTGTGTCTGCCGGCCCTATCTGTCCGTCTGCCTTTCATGTGGCCATTTTAGGAGACGTTGAGTCACCCCGACCCAGCTGACAATATGACAGGAGGAACATTAGTACACTTGACATAACGAGCAGGACAAAACTTGTGACACTCACCCTCTTTAGAACGCCGGGGTTTTATCTCGCTGTCTCGCTCTCTTCCTTCCTCTATTTGAGTGGTGGCTTGATGGGGGAGTCTGCTGCCTTTTCTCTCAGTCCTTGTCTGTGTTACCACTGCTTTTTCTCTATCTCTACTTTCCGGTTTGTTGTCTCCCCCCCCTTGTGCTTCCTCCTTCCTGAATAGGTGGTGTTGATAAAGAGACAGAAACAAGTCAAGTTTCACTCCCTACCACTGTTTGTGTTTTCAAGAGTCCTGACAGCATACACTACCTCTGTTTCTCTCTCTGTTTTCTTCCTGTCTACCTCTCTCCACCCTCACACATCAAAAACCCACGGACAGCTCGAACCCCCCACCCATCTCTCGTTTTCCCCTCCTCTCCTTTTCTCTCTCAAGCTCCCCCTCCTGCCCTCCTTCTTCCTTTCTCTCATTCGCGCCCCTCCAAAATATCCCAAATACAAAAGCCACTTCACATGCTAGCGTCCCCCCTCTTCTCTCTCCTCCCATCCCTCCTCTACCTCACCCTCTCTTCTTTTTCTCTATCTTCTCTCAGGCCCCTCCTTTCAGCCCTCTTCTTGCTCTCTCTTGCTTCTGCTCTCTCTATTTTCTTTCTGTCGGTTTCCTCTCAGCTGATAGAGCTGTGCATGCTTTGCTCACTCAGCAGTGAAGGCATACAGAGGAAAGAAAGGTGGTGGTGGTGGGAGGAGACGCAGACAGCTGATTGGCTGGAGAAAAGGGGGGTCAGCTGTAGTGGCTGTGGCTCCAATTGGCTGGGAGCAAAGAGTAAAGGAAAGGGAGGAGCGGAGGGAGTTGAAACTCCACCCACCTGCTCCTGCCTCCTGCTTGGCCTGTTCTGCTGTAGAAAGACCAAAGAGCACAGTGTGTGTGTTTTTGTGCGTTAAATGTGTGTCCTTGACATCTTTAAGCATGTTTTGAGTGAGGTGTTTAACTTGCCTAATCCTCTCCCACAGTGTGCCAGCCACATGTGTGTATCTTTGCAAGTCAAAGAGAAACATTAACACAAAGGTGTGGATGTTTTAGAGGACAGAAACGCAAACATCTATAAACCTCCTTCCTTCTTTACTGTCTAATTCTCTCACACACAGGCGCTCTGTTGTGTAGCATGAAAAGAAAATAAATAGCACCTATAGCATCCCCACGCACATGTGAAGAAGGCTTATCCGTGGCTGGAGTACAGATAAAGAATGAAGTGCATGTGAAAAAGTTTATCAGCTGAGTACCAGGAGGAGCCCTCAGCTGTGTGTTATGTATGTGCTTGTGTGTGTTTTACCATCTGCTAGCTAATAAGGAACAGCATGTTGACTAAGCAAGAATTATTTAGAACGGAGCTGTGTGGTTAAAGTGCACACACTGCCGGCAAGTGCACTGCATACTTGCTCTTTCACCTCAAACACATGCACACACAGACACACACATTGTGGGTGGAGATTACACAAGTCAAAGCACTATGTGCATTCGGAGCTGTCAAGAACACATATTTTGTCCACACAAACACACACCTACATGCTTATGGCTTGTCCTTATTTGGGAAACCAGGGTTGACTTGTTATTGACTGCTGGTTGACACGTGAAACAAACCTATTGATAGGAAGCTCTCTTTTTCTTCGTGTCTGACTCACTGTCTTTATTCTCATCTACGTCTACTTCTCTGTGTTATCTAGCAACCTGTGGCTGTTTCCAAAACAAGATGTAAATAACACAATTGCTGGTCGTTGCTATTTTTATTACATCAACTTTGTCTGACAGAAAAATAAAGAGGACATATGTACAGGGGTTGTACAGATTGTAAGGCTATAAAAGGTTTCTATGCATAATCTATGTTACTACAATAGAAAAGATTTGTGGTTATACGTTTGTCATTCAAATGCACAAACAACAGCTCATGTGGGCTCTACCAACCTAGGTGTAAAAGCTAAAACAGAAAAGAAACCCTTTCTAAATTTCTGCAAGATGAATCAAGACTTTGATAGTTTTCAAGATTGCATTTTCTTCCAAATGACACACAAATGTTCATCGCCATTACTGAAAAGTACCACACTATGGTTGCAGTGCTGTTAAACTGTCCACCAGTCTGCATGCATACATGCACAATAAGGGAGTTTTTAAACTTTGGGGTAACTCATTAAAGCTGAGGAGGAGTTTTTTGACAGTAATAGAATAGACTGAAATTCATGTTGTTGCTTTTTTTATGATGTGTAAAAGCAAACAAGACCATCAGTGACAGCATTGATGACTGTCATATCAGAATTTATTATTATTTATTATTTATTGCTGAAACTGGTGCAAGGGGGTAAGGTGTCATCTGAGTAGCTAAACAAAAAGCCCTGTTTTTACATTTTCCCCATAAAATATTTCAATAAATGATACATTTGATTGTCAAATGTCAAAATGATACGTTTATTATTTTTGGTAGAAGACATTACTATTAGATAATTAAGGTCAGAAACAGAGAGTTCCTTACAGGAGCTTTAATTATTTTTCTTTGTTTATTGAAAAACTATGAAACCTGTACAATCAACTAAAGGTTGATTTATCATCTTAGCTCTACATGCACAACCCCAATTCCCAAAAAGTCTTGACAGTATGTAAAATGTCAGTGAAAACAGAAATCGAAACTGAAATATTTGTATCAAATATGTTTTGACCTGTTACACAAAGGTGGATTAGCAAACTGCACTCACAGGTAATAGATTATGGAAGTGATTTTCAGCCCATGCAGAGGTTTTCACGACAGAGTCATGCCTTTTTTCAATGCAGCGCTGCATGAGGGGCAGAAGGTCATGGTGAACCAGTACTGGTTTTCGGCCTTGTTCCTTCTGTACAAAGATTTGCCCAGATTCTCTGAATTTTTGGTTGTATTGTGTAAAAGTGAAAACACTTTTTCTCTGGAACATTATGCTTGGGGACATTATCTTTGAAACATGTTCTGGGCACCACATTTAAAACTGGAATAAATGGCTAGTAATAGATTTGACAGTTTCAAGACTGAATATACAGTCATTGTAGTATTTTCTATTAAATGCAGGATCTACATGATCTACAGTTATACACATTTTACACAGCATCCTAACTTCTTTGGAAGTGGGGCTATGATCTGTCCCTGCGGATAGATGCAGCGTGTGATTGGTATGAAAGTATGTCAGGGTTGTTTTGGTGCATGTGCAAGACAGCTTCAGCTTCATGCCTCCAAATATAGAGATGTGGGGACAAGGGAGGGTGAGGAGGGGGTTGAAGGCAAAGAGACCACAAAACAGACAGAGGAAGGTAAACTGAGAGACAGATGGCAGAAGATAGAGGAGATGCTAGGTTTCCTATAGGAAATAAGACTGGCAGCTGTTTTTTTTTAACAGCAAAGCTAGTGGAAACTGTAATAATGAGCACTTTCTGCTCCAAACCAGCACTGTTATTTAAGAACTTGTGCTCCAGACGACAAAACAACACATCCACACACTTCTGTTCCTTTAAGAGCCTGTGTTATCTTCCATATATGGAAAAAAGGGGTGTGTCTAATCTGTGAAGGCCCCTCCTCCACTCAAGGGCACAGTAAGTGCAGCTGAGGAGAAAGAGGCATTGAAAACACTCGCTCACATTCCATCAAACACATGTATTGATGTAATCTTGAATAGAGAGTATGATAGTGTTGGGTTTGGTATCAATATGACAGTATTTGGGTTGGGTTTTTTACTGTAGTATGTGAAATACTTCTCAACATGCCATCACATGAACCTTGTTTTTACTGGGCCTCTCAAAGTGACACCAGCTGTGTTTTCAGGACCAGTCTACCCACCAACACTCCACAGTCTCGGCCCTGAAAAGTGAAGAGCCTTCTGTTCTTCACTCTACCAAACCAAAAGTACTTTGTGAAAATCCGTTTGCCACAGTTTTGGTAATCAAAAACAAGGTCCAATTCACCCTTCTCTTCATGGGGGAAGAGAACAAAAGGAGGAGAGGAAGAGGGGAGGAGGAGGAGGAGGAAGGGTGGGAAAGGAAAGTGTGTTTTTGTGTGTGTGAAGGGGGGCTGTGTGTACTGAACATGTTTAAAGAGGCACAGACACACGTGTTACGGTGTCTGTTTCTGCTGGTATGTCCGAGTGTGTGTTAGTAGCACACTGATGGAAAAGTGTGTCTCGGTGGTGCACAGAGCTGTGTTGTTTCAGAGCCATTGCATTTTGTGATGCAACGTTTCTAATTTTACTGTAACATTTAAGTAAATGAATATGGAGTAATGAGACAGATGTGTTTGAAGATTTATGTTCACAGTGACAACAATCAGTGCATGTAATTTACTTTGTGCCCACACTGACCATGAAAGGCGTTTCAAAGCTTTTTTTAAACTCTTCTTTTTCTGTGCAACACCGCTGAAAGGGTTTAAACGCGGATTAAAAACTGGCTCCCCATAATTTCCATAGCACATGCTTTCTGTCTTAGTCTTATTTTATTTAAAAAAAAAAAATCATTTACAGCGGTTTCCTACATTGCTCCAATTTTTGACATTTTCTCCAGAATCTTCACACATATTATGCAATGCGATGCAATGCAGTGTACCATAAAATGTGAGACAGTACAATGTGATACAGTATTTTACGATACAGCACTATAAGATACTAAACACTTCATTGTCCCTTTTGGGAAATTTGCCTCAGATGCTGTATATATATGCTCAACTGTCTCCATAGTAGTATGACCCACTATAATATCTTCAGGCAACTCAGAGCTAAACAGAGAAACACATACCAAAGAAAACCACAAACAGCACACTGTATATTGCACATTATCCATTTTACACACAGCCTTCACTAAACAGTATAACTAAGAGAAAAGCTTAGGAAACTAAAGACATCAGGGCGCTATAGCACAAGCCATACAGCCTCAAAAAACCTCATTTCAAAGTGCCACTCCTTCCAGCTAGGATTTTACAGTCGAGGAGAATAAGACGTTTCACCTGCTAATTTGACTATTCCCATCAGAGATTCCAAAACCACAGTCTAAACACCGTCAGACAGCAGATTCATTCAAGATGTTTTCCCACCCAGGAAGACTTCTGTATATTTACATTTACAGAGCTCTTTAACAATCTGGTGAGATGAACCCTCTCTGAATGGGAATATTTGACCAGCTGTGAGTTGATAAATACGACCCAAAGCTAAAGAGACATGTCTGTTTGAATCACAGCATTTAATTACTGCTCGTATGCCTGTGAGTACTGTACATGTACTTCTGCTCTCTTCCCTATTTATGCAAAGTAGAAACCCCACTTACATAAAGAGACTATTAATATTGAGTGATTTAATGGGGGTCTTTTCATAAACTGCGATAAATTTAGACTTTGCTGAACACAGCTTTTGTTATTTAGAGCATTTAAACCACAGAGCTATCTAAAGCATTCATAATATAACTCTTGTTTGTTCCTACATATCTCTGGTACCACTTCTGCAATCATCTACGCTACTTATTTGTTAATCCAATCAGCTTTAGCATTGTGAGGTGATGATGTTTTTGTGTTTGAATCATTTGTCCCTTCAATACATAATGTGCAGTTTGCTTTTCCTTTTTGACATCTTATTTTTTGATAAAAACATGTTAATTTTTTTACAATTTTATACCAAATATTAGATCTTTTCACTTACAGAATTTGATGGGTTTTTTTCTGCCTCTTGGTGTTGGTCAGACAAATCTAAACAAAACACTAAAGTGAGCTCACTATTGCAGAGGAAAGATGGTCATGAAGGGGAAAGACAACGGCAAAATCAAGAAGTAGCTGATATGTCAAGGAGGAAAGGAGTGAGGCAGAGTGCAATGAGAAGAAATGTGGAGATGGGGAGGAGTATGGCACCCAGAGTCTTGGTGACAGGCCGGGCCAGCTCAGAGGATGGAATGTTCCAGAGAAATATGTTGCCTATTCATGGAGGACAGGAAATAAAGCACTCTCTCTCTCTCTCCCTTTTTCTCTGCACCTCTCCTCCCTCCCCTCTCAGTCCTCACACTTTCACCTTAAATTCAGCTGCCTGTCTTTTAACCTCTGTCTCTCCACCTCAGTCTCTGTGTGCTCATTTCTCTTTCCCCCTTCTCTTGTCCTTTGGGATGTTTTTTTCTGTCCATCTTCCCACAGTTTCAAAGTCATTTCTTTCTTCCCCTTTCATGCTTGGGGAACTTGCCCAGCATGGTGGTATTTTACCACTTAGATCATAGCAGCAGATAGCCCAGCCTGCCATCTGGGCAGTGAAACAAAAAGGAAGAGAGGGAGAAAAAAAATCACTTTCTTTGCAATGTAGCTCACTAATATGAGAAGATTGTGACAGCAGTTACACCCAAAGTTGGAAAGTTTCCCCACCGGTAAATTAAGTGGAAACAGAGGAAACAAACCACAGCTTTGCACTTATCAACTGCATGTACAGTACACTTTGATGAATGCGGACAAACACAGAGGCTCATCCATTTTGGTACGGAGGGGTTTACCAGGTGAAGGACAGAGAGAGGTCTGCCTGGGGTTAATCCTGAGATCAGTCCAATACAAACACACATACAGACACACATGCTTACGGTTGTTAAGCAGCAGTTAATAATGAGAAGCTCTGGCAACACAAGGCTCTATGTTTGAGTCTTAAGGAGGACTTTACTGCATGAAAATATGGCAGTGATGCTTTTTTTTGTGGCAAAGCATCACATCTAGAGTCCAGAAAACCACAATATAACAATTTATTGCCTATAAGTAAAACTCTTACTATACAAGTACTGGGTTAAGTCTATCATTAGTTGGGAATGGGCTCGTTCTGAGCTACTGAGCTGCTGCAAAGCTAGCAGCTTCATTAATCTCTATGTCCAGGCTGACATCAACATGATAACACTTTGAGTGCTGACACGTCAATCAGGCTACTGGGTTTTTTTGTTTTGATTAAGTGAGTGGTAATGAGTCATGTCATCCCCAAGGTCAGTATGCAAACCACTCCAGACAGGCATATCATAAAGAATTAAATGTAAATGATTATAAACAATTTCTCAGATTATTCTGTATTGAAATTTAAGGCTATCTCCAATCATTTTTACAGGAAGATTTTGAATACGATAAAACGTTATCACTACAAGCTCTTATTTGGCTTCATGACACACATGATAATGCCGTAAGAGTCTTGCAAGTCAATCACATGCTTCAAAGGACACAGCCTATGATGAACCAGGCTGGGAGATCGCTCAGGCCTAACTTAATGGGGTGGTCTTATCTACAAACGATTACATGTTTGTGCCTCCATGTTGTCCTTGCCTTTACCCTTTGGTGTCTACATGCTGCTCCTGTCACCTTGCAACAACGAGACCTGCATCAGAACCACCAAAAAAGTTCACTTACGATTGAGAGTGTGCAACTCGGCTGCTCCAGAATTTGCTTTCTTGTCTGAGCTGGTACGCAATGAATCTTGGGATTTGTTGTGTCACATAAAAACACTTATCATTGGACATTTTCAGTGGTTATATTATGCATTTTTATCTTTTATAAATCAATACTGAGTTAAGTTGCTAGGTAAAGTTTCAAATGATGCAAATGTAGCGTAGCTGTCCATAAATTAGGCCACAGGCTGCTCTGAATGACTTGAACAAAAAGTCACATGAAGATTTAGAGAGGGCAGCCCCAGATCTGTACAATCTGTGACATCACCAATTGGTAAATCTCTTTATAAGGGCATAATAAACATAATGCTAACTAGAAAAGTCTGCTCTGTTAGTTATTGATGGGGATGTTTTGTCCTTTTCCAATCTTTCCAGGTTAGATTAAGGGCCAAACATGCTTGGACTTTGTGGCATGGCAACAGTGGAGAAGGCTTCCAGAACCCTGGTGGAGGCCTTAAGGAAGCAGTAGTTAAAATTAGGTTTTCCAAAAAGAGTTTTGAGTAGTGGATCATAAAACAGCTTCTACAAAGCTATTAGAAGAGCAGTTTAAAACCTGAAGGCTTAGTATTATAACTCCTCTTTAACTATTCTTTCAATCCAACTGGTGACCACTCTTCAACCTTGTTATGACACTGAAGGATGGTGTCCTCTGCTTGATACTTTGGACCATAAACACAACACTTCCAAGGACTCAGATGGCTGCAGTTTGAACAAAAACACTCGAGCCCAGCTGTTTCCTGGCTCTGCAGAGACGCTGAAGACTGGCAAGGCACACACATGAACCATTTATGCTGCACCACAACCACAAGTGTACAAATAGAGGAACAGATATGCCCTAAAGATAAACGAAAGGCTCCAAGGCTCCACTTCTGTCTGTATATTGTGTAAAAGCACTTACATCCTTTCAGGTTATTAACTGTGGAAATCAAACAAACACACACGCATACAAATACCCACAGGCATTTATGTGCAATACAGCTTTTCAACTCTTTCAGAGACCTACCAATGCTTTCAGAATATCCACAATTCTTTGCTCTTCTCAAACTATCATGAATATAACTTTTTGACCTGCTATCTCAACCAGCCCAAACATGTTACTGTTCAGATCACTATGTCAGTGAAATTTGAAGGGTTTTAATGTCTTCTCATCCAAAAATACATACAGTTTATAAGATAATAATATCACTGATAAATTACCAATAGTAGATCGAACAGTTTTCTGAAGAGACATATTTTAAATACTGTAGTGTAAGTGACAGATGATGCATGCAAAGGCCCGGGCATGCCATTCATTCTCAGCCTTGACAAGATGAAGAGATGGGAATAAAAGCAGCACTCAGGAGTGGAGGGGGGTTGCTGTGGTGCTTGGTGAGGGTTGTGAGACAAATGACAATCTACCAGAGAGTAATGGATGGAGGAAAAGAGACAAGGTCGAAAGGGAGAGGGGCAGAGAGTGAACAGGTCTTAGCTTCATAAGCTCTGTGGTGACCTGACCTATATAATGAAGCGCGATACATCTGCCTTCCAACATCTACTCATTGATTCTGAGGCTTGCATGATGGCAGCCATTTCCACAGACTCAAAGGCTCATATGCTCCATATAGAATTGTAAATAACATGTACGTAAGCACATTAAGACATCCATTAGGAGTAGAATGAATCTCAATCGACCCTCAAGACTCCCAGCGGTGGATTCAACACATATTTGTTATATCAATGACACCAAAGAGGCAGTTCTTTATTTGAACCCATGTTTTATTAATGACTCCTTGGCTTTCAAAAACAACAAATGGAAGTATTTAATTTTAGTTTTCAAATCTACCCTGAACTCAAAGTGACACTATCAAATAATATGTTCAACCCAACAATTTTCCTACTCATTTTTATTCAATTAAATGCTTGATAAATGTGTAAATCATTAAATCACAAGGATGAGCTGCCAGCACAAATACAGCCAGAGGTAAAACTCTCAGTTCAGAACTGGATATCACAGCCCTTTGCCTCTCAGGGTGTAATGTCAAACCATCTTGATTTATTCAGCAGGTGATACTGCTGCCCTGCCATTCTCTTGCTCTATGTGGGCTCAAGTTGTTTGCTGTGAGTAGAAGGAGCAGGAGAAAAAACTCAAGATTGTATCTTAAAAACACGCAATACTGGTGACTCATTACTACAACATATGGTGAATGGAGAAAGAGAAGGAGGTATAGCAATCTATTTGGAGATCTGTTGATGAATGAAAGAGAGATAAATCAGCAGCATGTAGCTATTTCATTTGGGCCAGCTCTTAATAATTCCATTCTGCAAGTATTCTACTCATGCAGTGATGATTGCGGGAGCATAAATGGTTGAAACACCAACTTAATTTCAGTCCTCATAATATTCCACTTACAAGGTCGAGCAGAAGCTGTACTGCTTTGTGCTCTCATTTAAAATAGACTTTGATACTATTATCTTTCCCTTACCTTTTACATGCTCACTCATTCCCCATTTATTGTTTGTCATTGGCGTTTTCAGCAGTTCCCTATGAATACATCATAATCTATTTATGACAGTTTGCTAAGGCTATAGACTTAGAGTTGCCTAGTATAAGTGCGAATTTGAAGGAGGAATTACTTGTTTCAGTTACTGACAGACTGTTAAGTGGACTAACTGACCTTTAACCTTTGGTGGTAAGCCTGACACTCAGTGGAGTTATTGCATGTGTGTATGTGTGTGTGTGTGTGTGTGTGTGTGTGTGTGTGTGTGTGTGTGTGTGTGTGTGTGTGTGTGTGTGTGTGTGTGTGTGTGTGTGTGTGTGTGTGTGTGTGTGTGTGTGAAAGATCCAAGGTAGTAGAGGGAGGGTTTCAGTTTTTACAGTCTATGCTGCAAAGGTGCTATTTTAGACAAAGGCTGTGGTTTTGAAAGACAGAAGGAAACCATGTCCCCACACCACTTGAACTGCATGATCTCAACGATGATTTTATCATATTAAACAGCCTGTTGAAGATGTTTGATGGTTTGAGATCTTAACTTTGAGACTGCATGCAACATGTGCACAGTTTTAATTGTTTTCAGACCTATCATCTCGTTAGTTTTATCTTTTATCTAAAGTCATGCAAACGTCACTCATTAGCTCTTTGAAGTGATTCTCAAACACAGAGAATAAACTGGAGCACACCAGGCTGAACACAACTAAGTCACACCAGACCAAACCAACTGATCCAAACCAACCAAACTGGACTGAACCAAACCAGATTAAACCATATCAGATTAAACCTAAAAAGGTCTTCAATCCCTGAGGGGCCTAGATCAGAGTTATTAAGATATTACTATGTTCCTGTATATCTTTTTTTTTTTTTTTTAACTTTTGTCAACAGGTTTCTGCATCCACAAACAACACATCAAGTAAATATCTATATTTAAATTGTGTTGACTCTTTTAAATGAAAAAGATGACATTTATTTGAAAACATCTTTAGTAGACTGAACTGTTAAGTGCTGATACATTAACAAGAAGCTTGTAAGACCAAGTGTTACTTCCTTATCTTTAGAGACAGAGTCTCTTTAATTTTATTTCTCCTGTCAGCATACTTGCCAGCACTAGTTCTTGGTGATAGCTAAAGGCAATGTATTAAAAATACATGAATTTGCTATGACACTGATTAATAGCATATGCATACAAAACTATATTTGTGATGAGGCCACCTACCCTAACCCTATAAACCCTTAATAGGCCAGAGGCTCTTAATTTAATAGAGATAATTTTACTCTAATAATGATGCAACCACAACTCAACAACTCATGCAAACACATACACACACACACACACACACACACACACACACACACACACACACACACACACACACACACACACACACACACACACACACACGAGAGAGAGAGAGGGAGATCACGAGAGAGAGAGAGGGAGATCAATATAGCCCCAGAGCAGTGTTGAGAACTGGATCTAACCCACATAATCATGTGTAATCTCTGACATCAAATCCTGCAGAGACACATTGGAGGGCTGACAACAAGCCTTCATCAGCTCAAAGCATTTAATAGCCACCCCCAACACACAAATATTCAAAGTGCTGCCAGGTTCAGGCACTAAAAAAGGAGAACTGCAACCACGAACCATAACCACTCAAGTCGTATATTCATAAAAAGGAACAGAGGGTATATTCCTTATTTTAAAACATAGGTTATGTGCACAAAGGATGATGGAATGACCCTTAAAGCTGTAGTGTGTATTACTGACATTTGGCAGAATACACCTGGTAGAAATTGGATATAAGATTTAGAATTATGTTTACATTAATGTATGATCACCTAAATATCAAAACGTCTTTGTTTTTATTGACTTAAATTAATCCTTGTTCATATGGAAGCAGCTCCCCACCTCCAAGGCCTCAACCTCCACCACCCTTCATTAGTAGTATAAAATGAACTACACATGCATAAAACTGTACAGTCTACCACCTGATAACTGAGGGGTAAGAAGTGCTACTGGTAGACTAATGCTTGGCAGAGGCTGTAACATTGTTAGTCCTGGCCTAATCTATTCAGACATAATCAACAGAAACTGGGCTCGTACAGTATTACAAGACTCGAGTTAATGTCATGTTGACTATGATACACTCCTCTTCTAAATGGCCTAACAAGGTACTGATGGTTCTACCTTACCATGAAAACATGACACTGAGGACCAGACTCTTACTTCACTTAGAAGGCAAATAATCCAGAACTGAAGATTGCTTTTTCCTGAGGTTTGATATTTATTGAAACGCAAATCGAGGTAAGCAAACAGACTGGTGGTCACAGGGGATTCCTGGTGTTGTTTGTCTTTCATGTTTAAAATGTCCCACACGCATCCTCGCTGGGTTTTTGATCATTCTCTCCCTTTCTTTTCCTTTGCTGAGAGAGGATTTTCTAGGTTTCTTTGTCTCAGCTGAACAGACTGAATAAGAGATCTTTTATATCCATGTGTACTTCAGTGTTTAGGAACACAAGTCAAAGACTGATTGTACATTGGGGCAAGCCCAGACCTAGGACCCAGGCCTGCTGAACAGCATGCACCTCGCCTTCAGGGTTGGTTGCTGCAAAGATCTGCATGACGTCACACTCAGCTGAGGACAAAGCCCACTCGTTTCTCCCAGACATGGGAGGTGGGGGGTAGCTGTCAGAGCAATGCAAGGACAAGCAGGAGAGGGAGAAAAATGTGGACATGCAGATGGATTTTGCTGCTGCAAAGTGTGCATGTGTTTGTGTGTGTGTGAGTGTGTGTATGCATAAAAAATCCTATGTTTCCATACATGTGAGACAGCTGGTGGAATCCTATATGCACGTGCGCTATATGGGAATTGTAGAGTGAGTGCAGATGCATACACGTGTGCCTAATGTGTATGTCAATGCCATGATGCCCTGTTTGTCAGGACAATGGGAAGCAGTGCATTACAGCTGAGCATATATATACCACAGTAACAACTGATTGTACATGAACACTTCATAGGTTTTATACATGCTGGGCCAACACCAGTGCTTCCTCCCCTGCATGAAGCAATGCAACTCCCATGTGCAATCCAGTGGAACAATGCGCCCACATCACTCAATCCTCTCTGCTGTAAGCTTTACAGTGATCATCACCGTTCCTCCTACTGCAGTCATCATCTCAGATACATGATGCATGAGCTCGAACATCCACAGGAACACAATGCTTGGTGTGCATGAGTGTGCAGTCATAACAGAATCATAGTTTTTTTATATACACTTAGATGAGGCACAAATCCGTATTGGTGGTTAATACAGTGGGATTTACGAGATATCACTTTTTACTATCACCCTTACACACACACACACACACACACACACACACACACACACACACACACACACACACACACACACACACACACACACACACACACACACACACACACACATAGAGAAAGAGTGTATGGAGCAGACAAAGCAGGGGAACGCCCCCTACGCCCTGCAAGCTACTGTCAGCTCATCAACTGGCTCAGGCTGGATTCTGCTCATTCTTTTCCCAGATTTCAAAGATTACTTAATAAATACATTTCCAACTGCGACAGCCTGAAGGTTCAGAGTTCAAACGTTTAACTGTAGTTTAACGACCCGATTCGTTGTCCATTTTTCCACAGACAGCTATGCTAAGTGCACATTCAGGAGATTAAACAGGTAGAGCTAGCTTGTTAAAACCGAGGAGCCAACTCACCTCATAAAAAGAGGACTCAGAAGGGAAAAACACAGCCTGGTGGCTCAGTCTGACGCGTCCTTGTCGTTTGGTAGTTTGGCCTTTTTGTTATCTCTCTCCCTGCGGTGTTGACTGTGCGTTGTCTAATTCCAGGTCGCAGACGTTGAAGCACGTAAATCGAGCTCGAGAGGAACAACCGTTGGAAACCAGACTTAAAGGGTGAAAAACTCGGGCAGTTTATCGTCCTCCCTCTCTGTCTAGCTCGCTAGTTGGCCGACTACGTCCCTTCCTCTCTCTGCCTGTCTTTTTTGTGCTCGCAGCTGTTTTCGTTGTTCCAACCTTTGCCTGAAATGCTTTCTCTGTCCCTTTAAGCGACTACGTTTCCGGGGTTTGCCACTTTATATATACACAGGGGCGGGGCTTTCCAGCCAGCTGAGCGCCTGTCATTTAAGCGATTGGCCGCCTCTATTCCCTTCAACCAATCACCACTCGGGGATAACGCCTTTTATTTTAAACATGCAGATTTATTCAAAATTGAACCCTGTGATTGGACAGCGGATTAGCCATAGTAACGCCCAATACACGTGCTTTTTCTCCCCTCCCATTCTTTGGTGCAATGGATGGCCGATGTACAGAGGCTCCGGTTGTTCATAAATAAAATGAAAAGATCATCATATCGTTATCCTAAAATAAAACAAAACAAAACGACATTGTTCTTTTATAACACTGGCAAAACATTGATTATAAGTTTAATGTTTACAGTATCAGTCAGACTCGCATTTGACTACAAAAGTAGGAAACATTAATTTTCTTCCGTTTGCACTGAATCAGCTTTTGCCATGTTGTCACAGAGCTAAGAATAGATCAGACACACGTTGTATCCCCGTATTGCCTTGCAGCTGTACTGAGCTCCACGCCCATCAACCAAGGGCTCACTGGGGCCGGATTATACAGTGAAGTGGGGAGGATGAGGCTGAACAGATAAAACAGAGGCCTAGTGAATGCCCTGGGCGTGGAATGCACGGATGTCGCATTTACTTTTTCTGCTGCATTATTTCAGGCACCCAAAAGAGACACATAAGAGACACCAACCATCAAAATGTTAGTCATCGTGATATTTAGACATTCCTGCACCATATGTTGTATTATCAAAATCATGTCAGATGTTACATTAATTCTAATCAGCAGCAGCAGTTAAGCATGTCTGCTGATAAAAGTTGTGTGCTGAAACTCTTCAGGTCTTATGCTTTGTGTTATAGGTGCTGTATGACTTATACAACTATACAACACAATCTAGCTTCTGTCTTTCCATGAAAAAGGTTAAGGACTCATTTTTTTATGAGTACTTAGTCTCAGATGTGGAGTCCATCAGGGCAATATATAAATACCAGTGCCCTTTTCCCCCCATTTGTGGTTATTTTTGACATCCTTAATCGTGTTTTATCTCAATGTGACAAACATTTCCACTGATTCATTGTGTGACATGGAAAAGGGAAATGGGAGCTCTTGTTTATTGTGCAGGTTCACTGAACATCTGTGTTAGTATCTGAAGTTGATTTACACACAGACAGCTACTGAACATATTGTTGATAAATCTTCATGTCACAAATCCTTAAGAAGTAGTATCAATCTTTTTTGTTTTTACCATTTTGTTGTCTAAATGTTGGCATCAACAGATGGCCTTTGTGTCAAGGGGTCTTTCTTCCTCGGTTGGGTCGCCTGCGCCCCCTGCTGTTTGCTTTTGAGACTAGTCAAGTTTTCCTCACAACCGAAAAAGCAGGAGTGCGATCAGTAGCTTGGTGACCCAAATCCTGGAACTGCTGTAAAAACAGGGATATTTAACAAGGATATTTATTTCCCCCTCCTAAAATTAAATTAAGTTTTCTCAAAAATGGTTAAAATTTTGTATTTAGTGAGGTGTTGTTGGGTCACTGAAACACTTTGTTGGAGTAGCAAAAAGCGACATCTACAAACATCTTTTAATGTTCCTTTTCCAAGGAAACTTTACATGAATTTAAAAAAGAAAGCTTAATGTACTTTTCCACTGGCACACACAAGAGTTTGCACAACAGCAGGGTGTGAAATGAAAATGAGCATTTGAACCAATAAAGCTTCCCAAAAAGTTTAGTACAAAAAAACCCAAAAACTTATGTACATCTTCCACTTGTGAATTCTCGTACAGTTTTAAGTGTCAGGATTGGTCAACTGTTCTAGAGATTTGGCCTTCTTTGACACTTCTGCACCGTGCTCTCTCTTCCTCTTCTGTCTCTTCTTCTGCCCCTCCTCTTGTCTGAATTGGTGCCTGTTGACAAAGAAATATATGGTAAAGGCGACAGTCTGTGAGTGATTACAAGGGACAAAAGAGGAAAAGCTATAAGACAACCCTGGCTCACTTTATTTCAAATGAAAACAAATGTATTTCAACCTAGATAGCTTTGCCCCTAAGGTAGAAGTCATTATCTTGTTGCAAAGAAAATCACACATTTACGCATTTTTTCAATCATGCAGTTGTAAAGTAGGAAGCTGCAGTGTTTGTGTTTTATTTAATGAAGCAAAATAAACACAGAAAAAAGCAAAAATCATCGGAATGATTGCATCTAAAGATAAAATATTCTGAAACAAAAACACTGAAGTTATCAAACTAAGTCTCATTCATGAGTATTTAAATACAAGGACAGACCTAAACACAATTGTGGCTCGAAAGGGCTCTATACGAGTGCATGGTTTGATGCAAAGGGTTTGTGATCTCACCTAGACTGCCAGCGTCTGCCGCTGTTCCACACTCTGCCAAAGGAGGGCAGCCAGTTGGCGTCTGTCTGCGAGCTGTGATCAAAGTTTGCTCCAACTCTGTTTGGTGGAAGCTTCCTCAGCTTCTCTTGTTCCTCTGGAAAAACACAAACACAAATGAGGAAAAAATCATTATACTACACTATTCTGTAAGAGACATGTGTTTTGCAGTGAGAGAAAGTAGGATCAGATCAATATGTTGTTGATGCAAGAATGTCCTGATTCCTACCTGCTCCTACAGTGACTTTGCAAAAAATTTTCAAGAAGAATGAAATATTTTTTGCTAAAATGATCCGTAAAGCTTGCAACTAGCTTACATGACATGAAACTTTAAAAAAGGTCTGTGTGTTTCTCACTGTGTTTGAGGAACCCTTGAAGTGACGGGCCAATCTCTGACTGTGCTGCGGCCCCAGAGGTTCCCTCCAGAGGATCATCCTGAAGCCAAGGAGGGACAGCACCTGTGACAAACAGTGCCAACATAACATTGCCTCATCAATCTCACCTTTAATGAAGCTCCAAACGATCATAAGAACTCCATCAGAAAGTTATATTGCAGAAGAAGTTAGGGGCTTACATGGAGTATAAAAAATTATGTGATAAATAAATTACTGAACGCTGTCAGCTGCTAAGATAAACAAAGAGTTGATATATATATAAATATATATTATGTATATTTACAAGGACAATATTTAAGTGTGCACAGTATTATCAGCATAAAATTTGTACTAGCAGGTAAAAAATTTAAAAAAATCATTCTTCGTATCAGCAGGTAAGTCCAGCTGAAAAAGCTGACACATTAATTATGCACATGCAATGACAGCAAGCTTTGAAATTGTGGCTATATTGAAGCAAAGATCATGTTGTGCGTCCCTAAAGTGATAATAATCTGAAAGAGTTAAAAACTTTATCCATAATAGTTAAATGAAATCAAAGTTCAAGCACCACCTCCCACCGTTAATGCTTTCTTCAGGATTAAGTAACTTCACATATCTCTGTACCTGTATGAATATTTCCGCTGTTTGAGGAATCCTGGAACGTAGAACACAAGAGATGACGTGCTGTGAATGCATTTGTGTACATATACAGGGAGTAACTTGTAATTAAGCTTTCTTTATATGGTTTGTTCATCTACCTGATACCCTATAAAAGTCAGGCCTTGTCCTGCTGCAGCTCGCGGTACTTCCACCGTTGACTCCACTGAGCTGCTCCCTGCCTGCTGCTCTGATCCTTGAGATGTAAACTGAGAGCTGTTCCAAGACAGCAAAAGGAGCCAAAAAACAAGACGAGTCAGATCAAATGCCATAAATTAGATAACGCGAAAAGAAAAAAGCAAGGGTGGACAGTTTTACCTGGCAGGATCATCCGCAGACATGTCTGCACCATTGAATCCGTTGAAGAACTCTGGCTCTGCATCACGCTGATATTGATTCAGGAAAAGCCAACAGTGGTTCACAGAGGAAGTCTGATCACTAACCAAGTGCTACATCTAAGCTTTTATCATCATAATCTGTTTTATCCCTCCAGTTTTTGTATCCAAACCAAACGTAAGCATTTTCATCTTGGCCTGTTATCTGAAATGTGACTTGATGAGGAAAATTGCTCTTACATCTCTGTCACCACAAAATGCATGTTTGCATGAGCCACAACTATTTTCAGATTTAAACATGATCTCCACACAGGACCCTTGGTTCTCTATTTTGGCAGTTAGACACATTTGTCCTAAAAATGTGATTTTCTCATCTTACATGAAACTCAAACTCATGGAAAACAACAGTGTAGCCACACTGATGGATACTGCCACTGCATCCTTGGATAACAAACCTCTAAAAGAGACTGAAGGACCTCTTGACGATGTGTCTCTTGAGCTCGGATGTGATCCGCCTGCTGTAGCCATGAAAATACAAACAGAAAACATCAGTTTTCAAGTCTGTTTTTTTGTAATTGCCCTACAAAATGTTTTAGTGTTTGGATCAGGTTTAAAGTTATGTACACCAGTCCATGATACTCAGACAGTTCCTCCACAGACTTTAAAATAAAGCATCTGACTGTTGCTCTAGAGCCAACCTTCCTTTGTGAGTGAGATGTCTGAAAATCTGTCGAAAAGATTACCAATAATTTTTTTTAACCCATATATTCATGTTCCGTAGAGCTTAAAACACAGCTCTGCTTGGAACTTTTTAAGATAGTTGAAAACCTGGTGGGAGACTGTGGTACGATGTGTCAAGTCGAGTATATATCTTGAAAAGAGTCATTTTTAGTTACCTGTTTTATGAATTCATCCTCATTTTCCACAAATGATTCCAATGAGTTTGCAACCTCAGTCTTGAACCTGAACCAAAAACAAAAACATGGCATTAACATCACCTAATTTCAACAAACTGAACAAAATATACTTTTGCTTGCCATGCTTACTTTTCAGTTTCCTCCTCTGCAACTATGAACTTCTCTCTTAGTTTTGGATCGGCCTTATTGTCCCACCAGAACTTATGAGTATTCTTTTTGTGTTCTTCACTAAAATCAAATGAAACACAGAAAAGGGAACATTTTGTCAACACCAGAGTGGTCCTTTACAACTCATGAACAAAAAAAAGGTCTTAAAATTCTTAAGTCCCAAGATAATTGACAAATTTATATTCTTTACAATGGGAAACATGGGTCTAAATTGTAGTACGAGCAGAAACAAAATAAATAAATACATTTTAAAAAATTAATTAAGTAATTAAATAAATAAAATCTGTAATTTAAGACGAGAAATATAACTGTCTGAGTTTCCTGTGTATATACATAGCACATTTATGGTCTTCTTCATCAGTGTTTTGACTTAATGGCTGTCTTTAATTTTTTTCTGCTCCTGCTATCTTGTTTAAGTTTCCATGGTGAAAACTGACTGTCTTAATAAAGGCTAAGTCTAAAGAAAAAGTTGTTAAAAAAAGGGACAATATCCCAAACATGCTCCCAGGATTGACCTTTTTTTTTTGTAACCTTCAATGATCCGGATATATTAATGCTGATGAAGTTGGTAAAAGAATGTCAACAAAGGGCAGCTGGTCTCAGTAAGGAAATACTAAAAATAGTAATAATAATAATACTACATTTTATTTGTAAAATGCTTTTCATAGAAACTCAAAGACACAGCACAATGCAAAGAGAAGAAAGTCATAAATACAATTTTGAGGCAATTAAAAGCAAAAACATCACAGACAGACACAAGCAGACATAAACAGCTTGAAATACCTTGTTCAGTTTGTCCATAAAAATTTAGATTTGCTGTACTTTTGCAATAACCCTCTCAGGTCAAAGAGTTTCACAAATTACAGACTTTATTGAGGTACATGCACACTAATGCTTCAATATTTTTCATTTCTCAAAGGACATTTTTTTTCTTTTTCTTTTTTTGTAATGGCGTTACAGTTAAAATAAATAAAATAGTTGAATGTTTATTTACTAAAACTTACGTGGCCATGTGTTCCAACAAACCCCCGTGCAGCACAGTCATGTTTCCGTCTGTGACATTTCTCTCAACTTCAAGCTCGCAGCAGTAACACCAGAATGTCTGCTTGTGCTGAGCGCAGTCAAACTTCTCAACTTGAGGTTTCTTCAGTGTTCGGCGAGCTTCTTTCACCTACGAGACAGAGAATTCAACAAATACAGGACATGATATCACACTATTATTACAGCCAATAAATGCAGTCTAGTAAGAAAGGACTGTTGTTTTGGTTATTTTTCTGGAGATGATTTTTTTTACTCGAACTTCAGCAAATGTTTCCACAAGATTCCCAAAGCTCACCTTCTCTAGAAACCTCAAGAGGACCACTCTGAGTCTGCTTTGGTGGTTTTTCCCGAAGATGTGACTCTTCCCGTTAAATGTTGTTTGTCTACAAATGGCGCAGTAATGTGCAGCCATTTAGACAGCGATAAATACAGCTATAACATACTACAGTGTGAGCGACGTCGGTCCTGAGATTAATACAGACATTTCAGCAAATTAATCGTTTATTTCCACTATCTTTTCCTCTCAGAAAACCTTCGATATAATCCAAGCTAGCTGTGCGAGCCAAGAAGTGGTTCCGTGTGGAAATGTTTCCCCCCAGAAACAGGCGGGTTCGAAAGATTCCGCGTGACAGTAACCGGAAGTAAACAAACGCGGCATGCAGATGTGTCTGCATCTGCAGTCCAATCCTTTTTAACATCATGATCAATGACATTTTTGAGCATGTTGAACGAGGTATAGGAAAGTCATTGTATGCTGATGATGGGGCATTATGGATAAGGGGGCGGAATCTTGCATATATACAGAAGAAACTGCAGGCAGCAATTATGACGGTGGAACAATGGGCAGATGAATGGGGCTTTAAGTTTTCTGTCGCAAAAACACAAGGGATATACTCCTCCCTGGTTATTCATAGAACCATCAGTAAACTTTGAATTACAGCAACAACTGGGGAAAAGGAATAGGCAGGTCTCTGCGGGAAGGGTAGCTGAAAGTTATCTAGGACAACATTTTTCAGATAAAACATTGATTTTCACAGATGGATCAAAAGACCCTGATCATACTGGAAGAACCTGAGCTGCAGTTTTCATTCCACACTACAAAACACATATCAAAAAAAGAACCACAGACCATTTATCAGTATATACAGTTGAGCTATTTGTGATAATCTTAGGTTTGGAGTGGATAGAAGCAAACAATCATAACAATACACTAATAGCATCAGACAGTTAAGCAGCTCTTACAAGCATCAAAACCATGAAGTCATGGAGGCAAGAACTCATATATAAAATACACAGTCTACTTTACACAATGCACAAGAGGGGTTTAACAGTTCGCTTTATGTGGGTTCCTGCCCATGTAGGTATAGAGGGGAATGAAGAAGTTGATTTTCTGGCCAAACAAACACTCAAATCACACAATGTAGATACAGAAATTCCGTTAAGTAAGGCAGAGGGTAAATCACTTATCAAAAAACATATAGAGAAAGTGTGGCAGGAATACTGGGACATTCAATATACGGGAAGACACCTTTATAACATACAGGAAAAAGTTGGGTTAGGAAGAAGGAGGGGCAGGAACCGGAGGGAAGAAGCAATCATCACATGTCTGAGGATAGGACACACAGGACTAAACAACACACTGTATAAAATTACACCCAGATGGCAGTTGTGATAAATGTGGACAGGCTGAGACTGTCCAGCATGTGTTGTTAGATTGTGGAGGATATGTGAAGGAAAGGAGGATACTGGCAGCAGCAGCAGCAGCAGCAGCGCAGGAAACCAGAATGGCACTTAGCATGGGGAACCTACTAGGTCAGAATTAGAAATTGTAATCAAGCATCTAATGGCATATTTGAAGAACTCGGGGCTACTGGGGAGGATCTAATTCCCTTTTTTTTATTTTTTTTTATTTATTTTTTAATATTATTTTGTCTACCAATTTACTGTTCCACACTCCAGTCCAGTAGGTGGCGGTAATGTACCTTCAAGTTGGTTTGCCAACCGCCAATAAACTCCATTGAAGAAGAAGAAGAAGAAGAAGAAGAAGAAAAAGAAGCTGTGTTTGCACACTCTACCGCTTTTCGTCTTTGTCTGCGGATAGAGCATGAAAACGCTCCGTAATCATACTAAAACCTCGGTAACATGCAATGATGTCTCAAGTGAACAGTTTGAGAGAGTTTGTTAATGAGAGACTGACAGCTGCAGCTGAAGAGATATTCGTAGTTATTAAAAGAACTATCGTCGAGTATGAAGAAAAGATCGACCGTCAGCGCAAACTGCTGGATATCGCTTTGCAACCCGAATTAAAGCTGTCCCGGATAGGTGTGTAGAGCTTTCTTTACATTGCTCAAACATAAAGGTTTAGATATAGAAGAATCAAGATAACTGAACATATTGGGCTAGTGTTGTTTCGTTCGTGAACGATTCATTTAAAAGAACTGAATCTTTTAAGTGAACGTACTGAACCGAATCACTTCCTCAGTTGATTCGTTCGTTTTTCAATTAAGTTGAGCTAAAGTGAGAGACAGCATTGCCAGTCTAGCAGCCGGCGAACGAGGGACCACATGCTCCGATGCCTGAATCACTTCGTGAACGAATCACGCATTGAACTGCACTACTACAATCATTTTTGTCGGACAAACCTCCCTTTTTTACCGCTAAATTGCCACTACAACAACTTGCATACAACACGACACAGCATGTGACAAGTCATGCATTAAATCCGCAGCATCCTATCACTGCTCCCTTTGCGAGGGAAAGGTGCATGTTCAGTTTGAGGTCTTCTAAACGTTTACTGAACAGATCACTCACAGAGCCTAATTTACCGAACAGACCTGATAAATAGCATACCACAGGATAGTACACTTAAAACATCATGACTTATAAACAAGTTCATTTTTACAAACTGTTTAATTTACTCGCATGTCTACAGTTCTGTTCAGTGATGATATCCGCATTGTACAGTATTCTCCTAATGCACTTGTGTTCCTCCAGAGCAACAGATCCACACCAGGGAAGAGGATCTCTCCAACCAGCAGCTCTGTAACCAGGTGGAAAACTCCAGTCTGGACTTTGAGGACCCTGAGCATTCACATATTAAAAAGGAAGAGGGGGAACTCTGCAGCAGTCATGATGGAGAGCAGCTTAAACCAAAGCAAGAGAACAATACTTCTGTTTTGACTTCCACTCCTGAGGAAAATGTCCACAATGAAGACACTGAGCATTTGACTAATGAGTGCACTCAGGATGAAGAAAAGGTTGGACCATTTATCAATAGATTTGCTAATAATCATGTTGGACTAGAACCAAACACTGAGCACCCGCTCCTCTCTCATAACACTAAAACTCCAGATCACACAGGAGGTAAGCATAAAAAGTCAAGATTAATAACAAATACACAGGGGCAAGAGACTGTCTGCTGTGTTTGGACTCTTGTGAATCATGAGAGCAACGACAGTAGCCTAAAACCAACAACTAACCAACAGCTTGTCTTTCGTGGCTCTTATATAGCTGAGAGTCAAGATCAGAGAGAACATAGACCTGAAAACTCAGGAGCAACAGCAAGTGAAGACACAGAATCAACTAATCTACATCATAGAATCAAAAGTCGTGGTAATAATAGGAGACAGTCCAAGCCGCAGACTCACCGAAGACGCAAAGAGCAGTGCAAAATATGTGCAAAGACTTTCATGTTCAAGGCAAATTTAAAGATCCACTTAAGAATCCACACAGGTGAGAGGCCATTTCTTTGCAAGACCTGTGGGAAAAGGTTTTATGACACTTCAGCACTGAATAGGCACCACAGGACCCACACAGGTGAGAAGCCGTACCTGTGTAAAATCTGTGGTAAGAGGTTCGCTCAGATCTCTGGACTTACCAGGCACACAAGAACCCACACAGGTGAGAAGCCATATACATGCTATGCATGTGGGAGAGCCTTCAGGTACAGTTTTGACTTGAATACACACCGTAGAAAAGTTCATTGTGGTCAGGAGCAGCAGGACCCTCAGAGAAGAATGATGGAAGAAAATTGAAAATACTGAGAATTTACATTAATTCGGAGTATGAAAAATGTAACACTTGTAGGAAAAGATTCTCACAAAAGTTTTAATTAAATGTGTTTTCATTTAATCTTTTTCAGCCCAATTCCCTCAAACTTCAGATCTGATGGGAAATAAATTAAAAGACAAGACAAACACTGAGCTAAAACCCACCAGATCAACTGTTTAATTTGTGAGGGGTTATGCGGAGAGACATAGAGATTTGAGTGGATTTTTCTGGATTATTGGGACCACAGATATAGAGGGATTTTGTCTCTGCTTAAAGAGTTACTCTGACATGATAACCTACACTCTGTAAACTAATACAGTTACAACGCAACTACTTGTTACCTCCGCCAAGGAGGTTTTGTTTTCGGTAGTGTTGGTTTGTTTGTCTGTGAACAACTTTACGGAAAAAGTTACAGACAGATTGACCTGAAATTTTCACCAGAGGTGCGTCTCAGCCCCAGGAGGATCCCATTAAATTTTGGTGGTGATCCGGATCGCCTTCTGGATCCAGGAATTTTTTGAAGGATTCTTTATCATTGTGATATAGGGCAAATTTTTAGCTTTTAGACGGGACTATATCCCATAATATCTTCTGGCAAGTGTTACCTTCATGCCCCATCTTCAGTCTTGTAGATTTCTCTTTTGTAGCCCATTGTTATTTTGTCCTTAATATCTAAAGATGTTTGCGGAATTTTCTCGTTTCTTGGTTTTCTCACCATAAAAAAACGTTAATTTAATCAGATTTATTCAAGGCCTCCAGACTCTGTGTGCAGAGTCACATCTTTGGAAATGCTGTTCCCTACATACATGATGTGCCATCAAGAGGCAACTGACAATTGTAGAATCAAGTATCCAGCCATGTGGTAACTAAAACCTTAAATCAATAGCAACATCTTTGTCATTGTTTTTGAAATATTTTGTCAAGCAGACAGAGGGATTTAAAACGGTCAATCTGAAGCTTTGGGTTTGACAGTGCCATCACTCTGATGGGTTAAGATGGTTTTCTTCTCATGATATGATTGTTATCTAATCTAATTAAATCAACTCTAATCTAATGTAATCTAATCTGGTCATGTCGATTACCCCTGTTTCATTAACAAACGTGTTTCTGTTAAATAAGTATATGTTATGATAGAGTTCACACAGGTTTTTGAGCTGTTTGTTGTTTATTTATTGTTCTTGTTCAGCATTTCCTCATTTTTATGAGTCAAACTGGGAAAATTAATTAGCAGTGGTTTAAAGCATTGATGTTGGTTTAAGTACAACAACTAAATGTCTGAATTAAAGTTCCACATTTGTGTGAAGTAGATGTTTTACTCTTGGAGTCTTGGCTTCAAATCACATTAGATAACACAGGCTGACCCATTGTGCTAGCAACAAACATCAGATAATTTACAACTTTTTTTTCCCTCTAAAGACATTTTCAATTACAGGGATGAGAAGAGAAAGTCAGTGGGTGCCAACACTTTCTGTGCCTGATGTCTGTCTTAAGATCTTCCAGCAGAGTCTCACAAGCAGATCTTGAGACTCACCTGGTCATAAAAAGTCATACAACTTCTTAATGAGCTCTACAAAAACTGTGAAATCAGTCAAACACTGTGTCCTCTTTTGATTCTCTTAATAAATAAAACTTGTGTTGTCACACCTTTTCTTGTCCACTGATTTTGTTTTTTCCATCTTCTACTTATTTATGCGTTATGTGAGAGATGTATGTATGAGATTGTCTTATAGTTACACTTTGCATTAATTTATTTGCTCTTTATTTGTTTTTACTGTTTGCCTTGTTTTAATAAGGTAAGTTTTAGAAGTACTACATAAATACATGAATAAAGTTAAGTTCATTATGACATTCCTTTAAAATCAAACCAGCTTTATTAAAAAGGGGACGGGGTCACAGAGGAAGCAATTAAGCCGCCCATTGAACAGTGACTTTATATGAAAACCAATACATAGATATTATCAACACAAGAAGTCAACTAACTCATTAAAATAAATCCTTTTGTCAGCATTATAACGTAAATATTTTGTAGAATCATTTTAAAATGAACTAATCATGTGAATTCTCATTATTTTTGTAAGCTCATGAGCTTGAGTTATTGAAGACACCGTGAATTTCATGTAGGCTCCTGCAAACATGGAAATAATTCCAAGAACCGTTGGCATATATAGGCAATATATATCTGATATATTGCCTATATAACATTACTATTACAACTACATTTCAGCCTATCTCTTATACAGTCTATGGTTAAGACACGATGGTAACAGCCGGAGGGATGAAGCAGTCATCACACGACTGAGGATAGGGCACACAGGACTGAACAATACACTGTATAAAATAGGAAAACACCCTGGTGGCAGATGTGATAAATGTGGGCAGGCTGAAACTGGCCAGCATGTGAAAGAAGGACACTGGCAGCAGCAGCAGCAGAGGAAGCCAGGATGGCACTTAACATGGGGAACCTGCTGGAAGCAGAGTCAGAAATTATGCTCAAGCATTTAATATCATATTTGAAAAATACAGGGCTAATGGAGAGGAATTAAATTCTTTCTCTTTTTTAAATCTTTTTTTTATTTATTTATTTAATTTTATATTATTTTATCTGCCAATTTACTGTTCCACACTCCAGTTCAGTAGGTGGCGGTAATGAGCCTTCAGGTTGGTTTGCCAATCGCCAATAAACTCCATTAAAGAAGAAGAAGACGACACAACGGTAACATATTTGTAAGCGGAACTAAGGAGTTAGTTGTGTTTAACTGACGGAAGATAATAGTGGAACACCTCGTTCAAGTGAAGAGGGAGAAAAGGCAGCTGTAACACTTTGTTAAAACAATCATCGAGTCAACAGAAAGTACGGCCTGTTTTAAACCTTTTTTGTTCAAAACAAAGATGTCGACGGTCGAGTATTTGAGGGAGTTTGTAAACGAGAGACTAACCGCTGCTGCTGAAGAAATATTCGGAGTTTTTCAAAGAACCATCGTGGAGTACGAGACCGAAATTGATCGACAGCGCAGACTGCTGGACATCATTTGGAAACCCGAAATAAAGCTGCACAGAATAGGTTTGTTCATACACTTAACCTCACTAAATAAGAGTATGTTTTTTGTACAGTTTTATGCACCAGCTCTAATTCAGGTAAATGTATTGGGCTTCATCATCTCCACACATCTTTACTTCTTTTGAACATGTTTGTGTCCTGCAGAGCTAAATGCTCCGAAAGAGGAGGATCTGTCTGACCAGCAGCTCTGCAACCAGGAGGGGAAGTCCACTCTGGACCAGGACTCAGAGCCTCCACAGATTAAAGAGGAACAGGAGGATCTCCACTGCAGCCAAGAAGGAGAGCAACCTGAATTGAAGGACGAAAATAGTACTTTCATTTTGACCTCTTCTTATGAGGAGAGCAACCAAAGAGAGCCAGAGCTAAAAATTGATATAGGGTTTCTCTCTCAAAACTTGTGTAATGCTGAAAATCAGGTCCACAAAGATGACAAGCGTGAATTTAGTGAAGGATTCGAGACTAATCTTGAGCTGGAAAATAACAACCAGCAATATAAAACAGATAGTAACAGTAACAGTAGGTGTCATTCCAAAACAGGTGATAGACCTAACTTGTGCAAAATCTGTGGCAAAACTTTTGCTTGCAAATCTAAATTGAGTTTACACGTGAGAAGCCACACAGGAGAGAGGCCGTATCATTGCATGACGTGTGGAAAGAGATTCTCTGACATAGCAGGATTGAAACGACACCTCAGAATTCACACAGGTGAGAAGCCATACCCGTGTGAAATATGCGGGAAAGACTTCAGGCATGTCAATGCTATGAAAGTTCACATGAGAACACACACAGGGGAGAGACCGTATTCTTGCCAGACCTGCGAGAAAAGATTCTGTGACTTTTCAGCGCTGAAGAGGCATCGTCAGATTCACACGGGTGAGAAGCCGTTTACCTGCAAAACATGTGGCAAAGCTTTTCAACAGAAAAGTTCTTTGATAGTCCACATTAGGGTCCACACAGGAGAGAGACCGTACTTTTGCAGAGTATGTGGAAGAGACTTCAAGCATACTAGCACCTTGTTGATTCACATGAAAACTCATACTAAAGAAAAGAACACCCAAACAGTGAAAGGAGGTAATTTTACTCTGTCTCAGTTGTAAAAGGATGTTGGATCACAGACAAACGAGGAGTCTTTCATTATCTGTACATGTAGATCATTCAGCCTGTGGTGGCTGAAATTCAAGATGTCCCAACAGCAAAGAGTAACATGAATGCAGCACAAGTGGGGAAATATTTTACTTGGTTTAATGATGTTTGAAAATTCTATTAAGAAGAAATTATTAAGCTCAAACTCACATGAAGATGAGATTTCTGTAAAAATTATTGAACTTTTTAAACATGGTCTTTGCAGCTTAGTGTCAAATGTATTAAGTCTGAATATTACAATAAAGATTCACTTTTATCTATTGTAATCTGGTACAAATCTAACAATGACTATTTTTTATTTCTTTTTTTAGAAATTAAATTTTATTTGCATTTTTTTAACATAACAGACAAAAGAATAAGGTCATTCAAAGAAAAAGATTAAATAAGAACAAGCAAACACAAAACATGGTGTCATTCACAGAGAAGAAAATAAAATTGTCCATGTAACCTCCATCAAAGTTGTCCATTTTTTAAAGTAATGTGAATAGATTTATATTTGTTCCATTTTTCCCATTTTCAGGTGTGTGTTACTTGCTGAAGTTGTAGAGTGCGTGTTTGTTTCTTTATTACCTCCGCCAAGGAGGTTATGTTTTCGGTAGCGTTGGTTTGTTTGTCTGTTAGCAACTTTACGGAGAAAGTAACAGACGGATTGACCTGAAATTTTCACCAGAGGTGCATCTCAGCCCCAGGAGGATCCCATTAAATTTTGGTGGTGATCCGGACAAAATTCTGGATACTGTGATCCAGAACACACAAAAATAAGGGTGTCATTGGAATTTTCAATGCTGAAAGATAAGGAATGGGCGGCACAGAAGTGTTCATGGGCAGCACAGTGGTGTAGTGGTTAGCACTGTCGCCTCATAACCAGAAGGTCCTGGGTTCCAATCCCGGTCAGGGCAATTCTTGTTTTAGGAACATTATGAACAGTGAACATACCAGTTTAAACACAAATAAACGTTAATGAAAGACACGTAACAGTAAAAGTTTTGGTGTGAATCACAATATAAGGGGGGGCATTAGCTCCTTGGCGGAGGTCTGCGCTCTCCGAGTGCTTTTCTAGTTTCATATACACTCACCGGCCACTTTATTAGGTACACCTGTCCAACTGCTCGTTAACACTTAATTTCTAATCAGCCAATCACATGGCGGCAACTTAGTGCATTTAGGCATGTAGACATGGTCAAGACAATCTCCTGCAGTTCAAACCAAGCATCAGTATGGGAAAGAAAGGTGATTTGAGTGACTTTGAACGTGGCATGGTTGTTGGTGCCAGAAGGGTTGGTCTGAGTATTTCAGAAACTGCTGATCTACTGGGATTTTCACGCACAACCATCTCTAGGGTTTACAGAGAATGGTCCGAAAAATAAAAAATATCCAGTGAGCGGCAGTTCTGTGGGTGGAAATGCCTTGTTGATGCCAGAGGTCAGAGGAGAATGGCCAGACTGGTTCGAGCTGATAGAAAGGCAACAGTGACTCAAATAACCACCCGTTACAACCAAGGTAGGCAGAAGAGCATCTCCGAACGCACAGTACGTCGAACTTTGAGGCAGATGGGCTACAGCAGCAGAAGACCACACCGGGTGCCACTCCTTTCAGCTAAGAACAGGAAACTGAGGCTACAATTTGCACAAGCTCATCGAAATTGGACAATAGAAGATTGGAAAAACGTTGCCTGGTCTGATGAGTCTCGATTTCTGCTGCGACATTCGGATGGTAGGGTCAGAATTTGGCGTCAACAACATGAAAGCATGGATCCATCCTGCCTTGTATCAACGGTTCAGGCTGGTGGTGGTGTCATGGTGTGGGGAATATTTTCTTGGCACTCTTTGGGCCCCTTGGTACCAATTGAGCATTGTTGCAACGCCACAGCCTACCTGAGTATTGTTGCTGACCATGTCCATCCCTTTATGACCACAATGTACCCAACTTCTGATGGCTACTTTCAGCAGGATAATGCGCCATGTCATAAAGCTGGAATCATCTCAGACTGGTTTCTTGAACATGACAATGAGTTCACTGTACTCAAATGGCCTCCACAGTCACCAGATCTCAATCCAATAGAGCATCTTTGGGATGTGGTGGAACGGGAGATTCGCATCATGGATGTGCAGCCGACAAATCTGCGGCAACTGTGTGATGCCATCATGTCAATATGGACCAAGCTCTCTGAGGAATGCTTCCAGCACCTTGTTGAATCTATGCCACAAAGAATTGAGGCAGTTCTGAAGGCAAAAGGGGGTCCAACCCGTTACTAGCATGGTGTACCTAATAAAGTGGCCGGTGAGTGTAGTTCTTCCACCGTGTCCAGACAGTTTTTCTGATTGGGTGGATTCTCCTTACACCAGTTCCTCGTGATGGCCTTCTTTGATGCTGCAAGAAGTATTTCAGTCAAGTCTTTAGTTTGTATGTTTTCCTGCGTAAGATTGCCCAGGTACATTGCCTCGAAGGTTATGGGGAGCTTGTAACCAAATATTTTTCTTATTCCTTTGTCTGTTTCTTCCCAATAGTAAGTTATTTTCTTGTAGCACCAAAATATGTGTTGAAATTCTTTATTGGGAATACCCATTGAGATGAACCATCTCGTTTTCAAGGGGGTCCGCAATGCAGACACATGAAAATCACATACAAAAAAGCAATACAGAAACAAAATAGGCAAAAAGAAATATAAATCACAATAGACATCATCACAGATTCAGACACCTCAACTAAAGACAAGGACTTAGTCAAACAAACAACTATAACACAACACAAAACACAAGGTACAAATAGGGGTCATTGCATAACAGATCTGATATACAGAATACAGAATACTGATGCCTTATTGAAAACATGAGCAAGTAGTCTCGTAATAAGATGACAGTGCAGTTTTGAACAGTTTAAAAGAGGAAATAGACCGAATATGTATCGGTAGGTTGTTCCAATCAAAAGCTGCTTTGAACTTGAAGGATTTTTTAGAGACTGCTTTGAATAAGGTAGGAGTGACAAAGAAGACGTGAGCAATGTCTAAGTTGATGTCTAGAGGTGATTTGATTCATATATTGTTTTAAGTAAAGTGGATAATCATAGTAAATGCATTTGAGGATGAATTCCACATTTGAAATGAATGGAAAATATATGGGTATGATCAACATCCAGTTCTCCACAGTTTCTCCAGCAGGGCTGTGGGACCTGCAGAATTTTTTTCTTTATACTTGGAGTGGTGAAAAATCTGACAATGTTTCTCCAGTGTCTAGAATTAGAAGTCCTCATCCTGCACATATCATACCATTCTTTTTCAGTTATTTCCCTCTTAATTTCCCTAACCCAATTATCCCTTATGTATAGAGTTGATGTTGGTCTGCTACTCACCAGACTTTGGTATGGCACCAATGCAGATTGGTCTTTTAACTTGATTTGTGTATGTGTTGCATATTGTAACAATCAGTCCGTTCCGCTCTCCTTGGAGATCTGGCTTAATCTCTTTATCAAAAGGGACTCTGACCTGTAGATACATGAAAAAGTCTTATTTGTCCAAATCATATTCTCCTCTTAGTTTTGAAAAGCTTTTGACTTCTCCCTTTTCAGCAATTGTATTATCGTTACAACTTTCTTTTGGCATTGTTTGAACTTGTGGTTCAAAGCCCCTGGTTTAGAATTTTCATCGTATGCCAACCTTCAAAATCTTTATTTCTTTTTCAGGTTGAATTTCTTAACTACTTTGAACCAGATTTCCAAGGTGAACTTAGTGAGTGGATCCAGTCTTTCCTCTTTTTCTTTAAACATTCTTCTATCTGTTATCATACTCTGTATATGACATCCTTCCACATTCAACTCAATCTCTTTCCATCTTGTAAAATAATATCTATTACACCAACAAACCAAGTGCTGAAGGTCTGTAGCAAAAAAAAATTCTTTAAGATTTGGCAGTGCCAATCCCCCCCTGTCTTTTAGTAATTGAAGTGTTTTAGATCTGATTCTTGGTCGTTCCCCTCTCCAGATGGATCTTGAAATTGTTTTATCCCGCTCTTAAAATTGCAGAGGTGGGATTGGCACCGGCAAGGAGTGGAACAGATACAAAATTCTTGGTAGTACATTCATTTTTATGATTTCAATCCTTGAGCTAAAGTCAAACATCAGTACCGACCATCTTTCAACGTCCATATACACTCACTGGCCACTTTATTAGGTACACCTGTCCAACTGCTCGTTAACACTTAATTTCTAATCAGCCAATCACATGGCGGCAACTTAGTGCATTTAGGCATGTAGACATGGTCAAGACAATCTCCTGCAGTTCAAACCGAGCATCAGTATGGGGAAGAAAGGTGATTTGAGTGACTTTGAACGTGGCATGGTTGTTGGTGCCAGAAGGGCTGGTCTGAGTATTTCAGAAACTGCTGATCTACTGGGATTTTCACGCACAACCATCTCTAGGGTTTACAGAGAATGGTCCGAAAAATAAAAAATATCCAGTGAGCGGCAGTTCTGTGGGCGGAAATGCCTTGTTGATGCCAGAGGTCAGAGGAGAATGACCAGACTGGTTCGAGCTGATAGAAAGGCAACAGTGACTCAAATAACCACCCGTTACAACCAAGGTAGGCAGAAGAGCATCTCTGAACGCACAGTACGTCGAACTTTGATGCAGATGGGCTACAGCAGCAGAAGACCACGCCGGGTGCCACTCCTTTCAGCTAAGAACAGGAAACTGAGGCTACAATTTGCACAAGCTCATTGAAATTGGACAATAGAAGATTGGAAAAACGTTGCCTGGTCTGATGAGTCTCGATTTCTGCTGCGACATTCGGATGGTAGGGTCAGAATTTGGCGTCAACAACATGAAAGCATGACTCCATCCTGCCTTGTATCAACGGTTCAGGCTGGTGGTGGTGGTGTCATGGTGTGGGGAATATTGTCTTGGCACTCTTTGGGCCCCTTGGTACCAATTGAGCATCGTTGCAACGCCACAGCCTACCTGAGTATTGTTGCTGACCATGTCCATCCCTTTATGACCACAATGTACCCAACTTCTGATGGCTACTTTCAGCAGGATAATGCGCCATGTCATAAAGCTGGAATCATCTCAGACTGGTTTCTTGAACATGACAATGAGTTCACTGTACTCAAATGGCCTCCACAGTCACCAGATCTCAATCCAATAGAGCATCTTTGGGATGTGGAGGAACGGGAGATTCGCATCATGGATGTGCAGCCGACAAATCTGCGGCAACTTTGTGATGCCATCATGTCAATATGGACCAAGCTCTCTGAGGAATGCTTCTAGCACCTTGTTGAATCTATGCCACGAAGAATTGAGGCAGTTCTGAAGGCAAAAGGGGGTCCAACCCGTTACTAGCATGGTGTACCTAATAAAGTGGCCGGTGAGTGTATATTTCTTGATTTAGAGGTATGTAATTACTTTCAATTTGTTTATTTTTTTTGTAATATTTATCCTGAAATGGAAGAGTATTTTAATATTCCATTTGAAATTATATTTATCTTAAATTTCCTTGGATGGTGAATAATTAAATTTGAGCACATGCGTGTTTTGGAAGTGACTATTTCTTTGGCATTTGATTGGTTTGAGTTTTGCATTGTGATAAATGAAGAGAGAAAAAAATAATTCAAAAAGTGGCCTCGGCGGTCCTTTTAAATCTTGTTTCCTTATTTATGTATTATTTTACTCTACAGTCCGGTATGTGGAGGAAAAGCATCTTTAACCTGGTTGCAAACCGCTAATGAACCAAACAAAGAAGAAGAGGAACCATCTTCAATTTAAGTTTCGGAAACTTCACAGTGTGACACAAAGCGGAAGTAAACAAAAAAAAAAATCTACAAGCGTTCGCTCGGTGCAAACGATCAACCAAGTGGACGGCGATACTTTGGTCTTCGTGTTGGATTTAATGTAGAAGTACAATGTCCTCAGTTGATTATTTGAGACAGTTTGTAAGCGAGCGATTAACCGCTGCTGCCGAGGAAATATTCGGAGTTTTTGAAAGAATAATCGTCGAGTACGAGGGAGCGATGGATCGCCAGGGCAGACTGTTGGATGTCGTTTTGAACCCTGAGATAAAATTAAACAGAGTAGGTGCGTAAACCCGTGTTGGTTTAACATCCAAAACTATCTGAATACATTTGTAGTGATTTGTTTATGATGACATTTGCTCTGGTGATTGGTGTCTTGAATTACAAGCACAGTCGTATTGTATTTCATGAGACTATATCCCCTTAGAGGTCCCACGACAGCCTGTCCGTACAGAGGAAAAAGAAGAGGTTTCAGCAGACCAGCAGCTCTGTAACCAGGATAAAAACTCCAGTCCAGAACCAGAAGAACCAGAGCATCCAGAGATTAAAGAGGAGCAAGAAGAGCGAGAGGAGATCTGCAGCAGTCAGGAGGGAGAGCAGCTTGGACTGAAGCAGGAGATCGACAGCTTTATTTTTAACCCTTCTTATGAAGAAAGTGACCAAAGCGAACCTGGACTGAATTCATACAACGAGGCAGTCCCACCCAACTCTCATGTGGCTGAGAGTCAGGATCAAAAAGAAGACAAGTATGAGGAGTTTGGTTTAACAAGTAACAAAGAGCAACAACCAGAGACGAGCTTAAGTTATAATTATGATGAACACAATCCAAAATTGACAGAGATAAACCCTAATGCCCCCACGAATAAAAAGTCTTTTCAGTGTGACACGTGTGGAAAAGACTTCACATGCAAATCCAAACTGCAGAGGCACCAGAGGACCCACACAGGGGAGAAACCGTACTTGTGCAACACCTGCGGTAAAGGATTCTGTGATGTTTCAGTGCTGAGAAGACATATGAGTGTGCACACAGGTGAGAAGCCCTGCTTTTGCCCCACCTGTGGAAAGAGATTTAGTGACCTCTCTGTATTAAGAAGGCATATGAGTATCCACACAGGTGAGAAACCATTCACCTGTAAAGTGTGTGGAAAGGATTTCAGACTTAGCAGCGTCTTGAAAGTACACTTGAGGACCCACACAGGGGAGAAGCCGCACATTTGCAAGACCTGTGGGAAAAGATTTTGTGAACTTTCAGTTCTAGTAAAACACATGAGAGTCCACACAGGTGAGAAGCCATTTACCTGTAAGACATGTGGGAAAGATTTTAGACAGAGCAGCTACTTAATAGTCCACATGAGAACCCACACAGGAGAGAAACCATACACTTGTAAGACTTGTGAAAAAAGATTCAGTGATATTTCAGTGTTGATACGGCATATGAAGACCCACACTGGTGAGAAACCTCACCTTTGCAAGACATGCGGTAAAAGCTTTAGTGATCTCTCTGTGTTAAAAACACACATGAGCATCCACACAGGGGAGAAACCGTTTACTTGTAGAATATGTGGTAAAGATTTCAGACTTCGTTGTGTTTTGAAAGTCCACATGAGAACCCACACAGGTGAGAAACCGCATCTCTGTAACACCTGCGGTAAAAGTTTCAGTGACCTTTCAGTGCTGAGGAGGCACATGAGTATCCACACAGGTGAGAAGCCGTTTGTCTGCCAAACATGTGGGAGAGCTTTCCGACATAATAGTTACCTGACAGTCCACATGAGGACGCACTCAGAAGAAAGGCCCTTTGTTTGCAAAACATGTGGAAGAGATTTTAGACACATGAATTCTTTGGTGAACCACATGAAAACCCACACTGCTTAGAAGCAATCTAAGCAAATGATAACTTAATGCACCTCCAACTGGTTCCAAAATTAAAGATCACATACACACAAGTTAAAGTAGGAAAGCACAAAAGTGGGGCCGTTAAGGTAAAAGTTTGACTTGAGTTTTCTTGTGTTTGCAGAAAACTTACACAGTAGCTAGAAGACTGTAATATAAAATAACACATGTCCATATTAACTGAGATGTCAGTGTCTCTAAAATTTTACTCCATATCATCTGTATTAGATTTCAGTAACCCTCTGCACTTTTCTTGGGTCAGAAAAAAAAACGTGAAAATGGTCCTATCTGTTAAAGTTTTAGATTTGTTTTTATTAAGCCAAACCATCTCATCACATACTTGAATTTTTAAATAATACAAAACAAAGGATTACAACTTGTAGAAAACACTAGCTTAAACCTACTTTAAGGATTTTTATTTTCACTTTATTGAAACTGTTTCAATATAAAACTGTTGATTATACATGACATCCCAGCTGTAATCCCTGTGGACGTGAACATGTACTGAAATACACTTTTTGCACTTGCTGTTTCTATGTGATTTAAAGCCAATATCTCAGTGTAAAGTTTTATTTTATAAGACTGTAGTAGTAAGGTCTCTGTTACAGTATTTGAATGACAATCATAATCTTCCAAATGGAATAAAATGTAAGTTTTACAGTGTGTAAACATTAAGATATGTTTTAAAATGTTAATGTTTGCAATTTTTCTATTTATTATTCATATTTTTTAAGTAAATGTCTATTTAAATACATGTTTGTCAATACTTTTTCAAAGTTGTGTTTAAAAACTCACACAACTTTGCAAGAAGTCAGATTTTACATTTGACAGTGACTGACGAAATTATCATGTATGCATATGAGCTGTTCTGTTAAATGTAAATGTGCCTTCTTTTTGATATTTTCATATACTTTTTAAGTATTATCTCTGATTGACTTACTAAATGCCAAAATAATGAAATTATTTCTTGATAAATGCCTTAAAACTGATTGTTAAGCTAACAAGTTGCCAGTTATTATTAAGTAATCATAAGTAACGGCAAAGGTACTCTAATCTCATTCTAATAAAGAAGCCAAAATCACTGAGGAGGCTTAATAACAAACTTCCCATACTAGGAATGTACCTGTGTATGTGAAAAAACCTGAAAAATACATTGACACATGTGAGGATGTGTTTCTGTCACACTTGATCCAATCAATAAACATGTACAGTATGTCTTCATATTTCTGTGTATGTGTCTGTTTTTTTAGTCATTACAGCATCACAACTATGACTTTGTTACAGTTAGTGAACAGTAGTGGTTACATGAGGTGTGGGTGACTAATATCAATGTTAATAAAGAGTATTCACTAACAATGTTTTATTGTTGTTATTGCTCTGGTGCCTTTAAACTTTCTCTTGAGTATGGCTCATATGCTATCATTGTCAGCAAACCAATTTCTGGTAGTTTTGGCACTGTGGGCAGGTGTCATGTCCTGCTGGTAAAAGGAACTTTTATCTCCACAGAGCTTCTCAGCAGATGGAAGCATGAGGAGCTCTACAATCCTGGTAGACTAGGCCGCGTTGGACTTGATGAAACACAGTAGACCAACACCAGCAGATGACACAGCAGCCTTTATAATCACAGACTGAAAACTTCATGCTGGACTTGGCACCTTGGATTCTGTTCCTCTCTGATCTTCCTCAAGACTCTGGGGCTGTGATTTTCAATTGCGATGCTACATTTTTTGACCACCGAGCAATAGTCCAGCGTTATTTCGTGGCAGTAGAAACACAACACTTGTAGTCCATTTCCTGGACACGTCTGTGTTGTGTTGGTTCTTAATGCCCTGACCCCAGCCTCGGTCGACTCCTTGTGAAGCTCCCCTGATTTCTTGAATCTGCTTTATTAGACAGGCCTCTCAAGGCTGTGGTCATCCCTGTTTTTGAGTCACCTTTTCAGGACTGAAATAACTGGTAAGAAACATGGATTTATATTTTAGGATAGTGGATTCAAACAAAAAAGTCTTGAAATATTAAACTTTGTGTAGAATATTTGAGAAGAGTTTCCCTTTTTAATCAAATTATGGGAAAAATTAACATTTTCTGGACTTTCTACTTTTTTCAGCTGCACCTGTGAGCATCCTTTATTTGCCACAGTATTACAAACTATGAGGACTGTTTTTTTTTAACGTGGAATTATGCAAAAACACTCTTATGGAGTCCTTAAAACATGAGCTACCACTGAGGGGATTTTTTATTTCAATTAAAAATGCCATAACATATGATATGATATAGAAGCCATGGGACACACACCAATTAATAGTTACAGTAAGACCGGTTTGTGCTCTCTTTTTTTTTCTGTAAAGCTCCGTTTTTAAAAGTTATTAGGGGATTCATGTTTGCTATGATTGACACCTGATACAGCCTATGGGCGTTCAGGGATTGCATAGCTCACCTGGGGATACGCTGTTTAAGCCGAGCGTCATCACAGCGACTCTTGGCGAATCTCCCGCTGAATGCGCACAATGCAACTGCACAGCGCTGGTTTCAGGAAATGAAGAAAAATTCTGGAAATACCGAGAGCTTTTTGGCTTCAAATCCATATACAGAACCAAGTTGTCCATAGTATATACAGTCTATGCTTCAAACATTTCACCTGTTTGACAGTTTTACAGATATGTAGCTTTGTGCTGGAGTGGTTGTGTTTCACCCGTGTGACCTCTTAGGTGACCTGTCAAAGCTCTGCGGTATCAAAACAAAATCAAACAAGTGGCTTTCACCGGTATGTATTTTAAAGTTCTTAATTAAACAGAGTTTTTCATTTCCAGACTTTTTAGTCACATAAATGCTGACATGTTGATAAAAAATTGTACAAATACAGATTACATTTAGTGGATTTACAGTGATTTAAATCATTGACGTAATTTTCTCTTCAATGTTAAATCATGCTTATAGCTGGAAACTGCATGTCACACTCTTAAATACCTTAGGTACATGGATTTTAAATACTTAAAAATATATATAAAAAAGATTTTTATAAATAGAAATTTGGCACATACATATATCATCAGAGTCATACTATTATTGAAACCAACATTTTTCTGTAAGACCAACAGAGCTGCTGGTTATATTACATACACAAGTAATTCAGGCATAACGTAGTGAATGCTAGACTACAGTATTAACATATTGCAAAATGTAGCAACACTTTACATCTGGTTTAGAAGATGTAGCTACTAATTATTTGTAACACTTGGCAGGTGACAATTATTTTAACAGTATAAGCTCTCCTGTTCCAGCTTTTCTTTGTCTTATTCAAAGATGTTCATGTGAATGTTTTCCCTCACTCCATCCAAACTCATTGCATGCTCTTGAGATTTAGACGTCTTCACCTGTGTGAGTCCTCATGTGGCTCTTTAAATCACATTTACGATAGTGTCCTTTCCCACATATCTTGCACTGGAACGGCTTCTCACCCGTATGGGCTCGCCTCACATGCACGACCAAGTTTTCTTTAAAGCTGAAGGCTCTTCCACATGTCTCACAGGTAAATGGTTTCTCACCTGTGTGGACTTTCATGTGAGCTTTCAAAGCCGACATGCAATAAAATCCTTTCTCACATGACTTGCACTGGTACGACTTCTCGCCTGTGTGGATTCGTGTGTGCTTCCTAAAAAAAGACACGTCGCTGAATCTTTTTCCACAAGTTTTGCACAGGTAAGGCTTCTCACCTGAATGAATCCTCATGTGGGCTTTTAAGGCACTGTCAAGTCTAAAATCTTTCCCACACACTTCACATGAAAACGGCCTCTCGCCTGTGTGAATGCTTGCGTGTCTCTGTAGAAGTGACACAAATTGAAAAGCTCTTCCACAGGTGTCACAGGTGTACGGCTTATCACCTGTGTGCTCTCTCATGTGGGATTTCCAAGCTGATATGTGGGGGAATCGTTTCTCACAGATCTCGCACAGGTAAGGCTTCTCACCCAGGTGGATTTTTGCGTGTTTTCTAAAGAGCGACACGTCACTGAATCTTTTCCCACATGTTTTGCAGAGGTAGGGTTTCTCACCTGTGTGGATTCTCATATGGACTTTGAGGGAGCCTTTAAGTCTGAAATCTTTCCCGCAGGTTTTGCATGAAAACGGCCTCTCACCTGTGTGAATGCTTACATGTCTCTGCAAAAGCGACATAAACTTAAAAGCTCTTCCACAGGTGTCACATTTGAATTGAATTTTACTTTTTGGAGTATTACTGTGACTTTCTGACAAGCTGTGTGCATCCTCACTGTCACTTTTGGATAACCGGTGTTGAGTTATTGACTCAGACAAAGCATATCTCTCGGACTCAGAAACTTCATCCTCGCCCTCAAGGTGATCCTGGCTCTCAGCTGTGTCAGAGTCCAGAGAAAGGAGCTGGTGGTCACTTTTCAGCTCTGGATCAGTGTCAACACCCTCTTCATAAGTAGGAGTGTACACAAAGGTATCAACTTCCTGTTTCAGTTCAAGATGCCCTCCTTCTTGACTGCCGCACAGTTCCTCCTCTTCCTCTTTAATTTGCAGAGGATCTGGGTCCTCTTGGACCAGACTGGTGTCCTTCACCTGGTTACACAGCTGCTGGTCCTCCTCCTCCTCCTTACAGATCTGTTGCTGTGGGAGCCCTGGGGGAACACAAAACCAAGAAAGACACTAGTCATAAAAAGGTGGAAAGTGGACGTGAGGACAAATCCACACAGGTGACATCCTAACAGCTGTAAAGGTATACAAATGAACTGACTACTTTTATGTTATTGGGAGTTTTTCATACCTATCCCATGTGTTTTTAGTCCGGGTGTCCAAACGTTATCCAGCAGTCTGCGCTGACGGTCGAGCTCTTCTTCATACTCGACGATAGTTCTTTTAAAAACTCCAAATATCTCTTCAGCGGCAGCTGTTAGTCTCTCCAGCACAAAACTCCTCAAACACTCCACCGATGACATTTTGGCCGACAACTCCAAAGGTGGGCCGAGGATTTTCTAATGCGAGGAATTCCTGCAAATACCAGCCTTCTCCTGTCAGCCTCCTGACAATCTTCTTCTCTGACAGTCAAGCGGCGTTTGGGAAAAAGCATTTGGGTACAACAGCGCCATCTGCTGGACTGTAATAATAATATTAATATTTTAAAAAATAAAAAAATAATAAAAATAACAACAACAACAATAATAATAATAATAATAATAATAATAATAATAATAATAATAACTATTTTATAGCACTTTAAAAATAAAAGTTTACAAAGTGCTTTGACAAACAGACATAAAGCACAGAACTTCAGCACATGGAAATAAAAACAAACAAACAAAAAAAGCTCAGTTAAAAACAAAGCCTCCTAATTGAAGGCCAATTTCATTTGTCATAAGAAACCCAGACAATACAAGAACCCCACAACATAAAATGAGACCATGAGGACCAAAATAAAAATGTTAAATAGGTAAGAAAAAGAGATTTAATAAAAAAGGGAGGTAGAAAGTAAACAAGGTAGTAAATATAAAACGACTATATTAATCATGATAATAAAATCATGATGAAATAATAATGATGGTAATATTAATGATGAAATGGAATAATAAAAAATGAGCATTAAAAAACAATGAAATCAATAAAAGGCCTAAAAGGTTAAATAAGAAAAGATAAGTAAAACAAAAGCTAAAAAGACAGTAAGTCGTAATAAGATGGAGGTAAAAGAGATAAAAGGTAAAAAAAAAGAGAAAAGAGAAAAGACGGCATCACATAAAAGCAAGTCTGTAAAACTGACTTTTGATATTTGACTTAAAAGAAGCGACTGTCTCTGCACACCTTATCTCATCTGGCAGGTCGTTCTAAAGTCGAGGGGCTCTGATGGAGAAAGCTCTATCCCCTTTAGTTTTGAGCCTCGGCTTTATAAGACATGCAGCTTGAATAGATTACTCTGCTCATTCTCAATCCTTCGGTATTGTCTTACTGAGAGATAAAGCTCAGTGACAGACAGCTGCAGGCGTGTTCAGAACGCATACATTAAAATATATATAAAATCTTATATGACCCAACCCCAGACTGTCCAGCAACAATTACAGTCCCGGGCAGTACCTCCACACATATAGAGCATCAAGACTTTGTTTTGAATAAGAAACGATAATTGTTTTTATAATAATAATAATAATAATAATAATAACCATTGATTATATTATCTTTTTTAAACATGTTTTAATAATCTATTGATGGTTACACACTCCACACCAAAAGGTGGCGGTAACGCGTCATGTTGTTGTTTCCAGCCACCTGCGAAAATAACTTCGAGGTAGAAGCGTATGGTAGAAGTAGATGCTCCTCTACAATCTGTCAAGCACCAACAACGAGGCTAGTAAAGTTTGTTTTGAACGATGGAGGTGTCCTCAGTTGATGGTTTGAAAATGTTCGTGAACGAAAGACTGACTGCTGCGGCTGAAGAAATATTCGGAGTGTTTGAAAAAACTCTGTTTGTCTATCAAGAGGAGATCGTTCGTCAGCGCAGACTGTTGGACGCCGTCCTGAAACCAGAGATAAGACTACAAAAGACCGGTGTGAAAATGTTCTCTCTCTCTGTCTGTCTGTCTTTTCAGTTTGATCGATGGTACGAGGAATTAAAAATGTCTTTTAACGGAATCAGCTGGTTCTGTGTAGAAAACTTCCTCTGGCGTTTTAAAAAAGCAAAGAGATAGACAAGGAAATATCGACTAGCTGACATGCTAACAAATGTCAACATCACAACATACAGTAATCACGGTTTTGTGAGGCGTTAACATATCATAACAAAAAGTATTTTAAAGGGATATTCCGGTGTGAAATTAATTTAGGGTCAAACACACGGTAACACCGAGTTAGACGTCCCCTCGAGAGATGAATGTTGCCGACCGCTTGCTTCTCTAGTTATACCAACTTCAGTAACGACCACACGATAGCAATACACCGCATTCTGAGGAGTAGCAAAGAGACTAAACACAATTCACCTACTCTCTTCCAGCAGTCGCTTGTTTGTAGCGAGACCTCGGGCCAGTCCATAATAGACTACTGCGGGGTGACGCAGCTCAAGGAAGAACATTTATGATCATTTCTCTATGAAAATGCAAACAGACCAAGATGCTAAGGCAGAAGAACTACCACGTCTGTAGGGCAAAATTTTTAATATGATGATTAGTACTTCAAAGAAATCCGTAATGGACTGGCCCGAGGTCTTGCTACAAACAAGCGGCTGCTGGAAGAAAGTAGGTGAGTTGTGTTTAGTCTCTTTGCTAAAAAAATAGGCAAAGGTAAAAAGATGTTTGGTGGCTAGTACTATGGCTGGGAACCTGTATGTACTGTTGATTAAGTTAGGTGCTGTTCTGAACTTTATTTGTGGCTATAGAGTGGTGTTTTGGTTGCGGTTTGCTGTTACGCCTCAGACCGCTGTGTATTGCTATCTTGCGGTCGTTACTGAAGTTGGTATAACTAAAGAAGCAAGCAGTCGGCAACATTCATCTCTCGAGGGGACGTCTAACTCTGTGTTACAGTGTGTTTGACCCTAAATTAATTTTACGCTGGAATATCCCTCGAACTATTTAAAGTCTGATATGCTGTTTTGGGGATTGGAGATCTTCTGAAACTTGGGCTGATTACTTCAAATGCCATTAATGCCAACTGATTTTTAGTCCTGTTGAATATGTACCACATTTACAATGGCTGCCATGTAACCGAGGTGCTTACACCTGGTCTTGTGGAAAATTCTGGTTGCATTGAGAGCCGTGCAGTAAAAAGTACATCTTTTTTTATGTCTCCCAGATCCCCCACTGCCATCACGTGGATATGAGAGTGTTCTCCTGGACCACAGCAATAGTGATCAGGAGTGTAGCACCCACCTGGACCAAGCAGATCCAGAGCCACGGATAAAACAGGAAAGGGAAGAAGCCAGCACAAGTTATGAAGACGACCTGTTTATAGTCCATGAGGATGCAGAGCCCTCCAAGTTAAGTCCCAATCGTGAGGGAAGCAGCACCAGTGAGGCTAAGATTCAGCTGTTAGACCATGGTAGGACTCGAAGTGCTGCGGTGCAAGAACCACAGTCAAATTATTCAGATGGATGGATCCAGTCTGAATTGGACAGGGACAACTTTTTTGAAGCGGATCTCAACGGGGACCAGCATTTTAGAGCTGGAGACAGGCCACACATATGCTGCATTTGTGGGAAAAGCTTTAAGATAAAGGCCAAACTTAAGCTGCACATGAGAGTTCACACAGGTGAAAAGCTATTCCGCTGCATGTTCTGCAAAAAGGAGTTTGCTTTTAACTCGTCACTGTCAAGGCATCTCCGTGTGCACACAGGGGAGAAGCCTTATGAATGTAGTTTATGCGGGAAAAGATTTAATGTTAGCACAACTCTCAAAGTCCACTACAGAGTCCACACAGGTGAAAAACCATACAAGTGCATGTCATGTGACAAGGCCTTTACTACCTGTTCCAACCTAAAGAAGCACATGGTTTCACATGATAAAATGGGGAACAGCAGCCTATACAGTGAAAGTTACTGAATGTCAATGATGCAAATGTCAGCTTTTGTGTTTCAGTTTTTTTTTTTACACTTGAACGTTGGGGTTATGGTTGTTATGATGTTTAAAAAATTAAAAATTGACACGAAATTTGCAAATATTGTTTCTTGGATCTTTAATTTTTAAGGATATTTTCATGAACAATATACAACTGTAATAAAAATAAGTTTCATTTCATTGCATCACATTTAGGTATACCATGAGTTGCCAATACACTTAGATATCACATTCTACTTAGTAGTAGATGTCAGTCATTTAATTTACTAAAAAGCACCTTTTCCTGTTGAGTTTTAAGGACACACAATAACTAAGTGTTCACTGTTAATGGCCTACTTTTCAAAAAAAATTATTAAAGGTACAACATTGAGATAAGAGAATATGTGGTGATATCTTGCAATCATAGACTGAATGTGCTTCCTTACTCACCCCTCCTGCAGGTGAAGAGACATTTATGACATTTCTGTTTGTTGTGTTTTTACAATCATAAAACAACTATGTAAATCCTAAAGTGCACAGTATTGACTCTCTTATTTGTCAACTACAAGTCCATTCATAAAGACGGTGGCCCCAATGGAAGATATATAGATACAAAAAGCTCTTTAAAAAGCTTCAAGTTCACAATAACAGACCAATGTTGTAGTTTGTGGTATGTTTTTGTATCGTAACTAGTAGTTCCTCTCCAGATCAAGTGACTTTGATTTGTTTTGGGGTTATTTTATTATAGCTGTCTCAAATTAGAAGTTAGGTAAAGTAACTGAATTGATTTGAAGGTCAAATGTGACATCAATAAATTAAAACTTCTTTTTGGAAATTTGTGAAACACTAAACATAAATCACAGCAGACGCTAAGCATGAACACTGATATCTGACAAGAATTAAATTAGATACTTAGCGAATCTAGACAAGGAAAAAAAATACCAGTGAGGAAAATACATTAGAAAAGCAAAATTACTTTGAGTAGCTTGACTTAACTGAGCAAAAACAAAGCTCATGAGCATAACGAAGTAGGGAGAACGACTTCGAAAGTTAGGGTATCCGGACCAACTCAGGAGCACGTGAATGCAGCACATACGGAAGTAAACAGGAAACGGGGCGAGTTTCCCCGCGAGTCGAGCTAACGCAAATAGTTTGTAGAAGTTTTGTCAGGGACAAGACTTTTACATTTGATCCCATAATGACCTCCGTCCAAAGTATGAGACGATTTGTCTGTGACAGACTGACAGCGGCCGCCCAGGAGATACTGGGAGTCTTTGAGAAGAAAGCGGAGGCGTATGAGGCTGAAATCGCTCGCCAGCGGAAACTGTTGGAGCTTGTTTTAACACCAGAGATAAGATTACATCGGACAGGTTGGAAATCCATTTTTTTTTTCATTTAAAACTTTGGTTATCAAGTCAATTTGTGTAGTACAGGTGCCTAAACAGACATTTTTGTTATGCTGGGTTACTTTCCGGGTCAAACAAGTCTGGCCGGTTGTTCAATAGGGAAACATTGTGAAGTAATTATACTTTTAAAGTGATAAAACATTTAAATCAGTTGACAAGTTACAGATTAGTACGTCGATACACGTTTAAAGTTAATCCCACGTGATGGAAGTCGTTGCTGTTCTTTGAACCCGGCCCCTGGGGAACTTCGACACACGTGTTGATTACACCCTTACCTCAAACTAACACGCCCTTTTCAACAGAGGTCAAAGGTCCTTGGAAGGTTCTGTGTAGGCCTACAGACAAACAAGTAGGGGATACTGGGTTAAGTTGAGCCAAAGGGTAAGTTGAGCCACCCCCTGTTGCTTGGAAATGGTCAAAGAAATTGATCATGTGACCAAATATTAAGGAGATGGGCATCAATTCATGGAGTCTGTGAAGGTTAAAAGCACATGGATGAAGGGGTTAGACATTTATTTACAAAAAAACATTTTTCACTCTTGAAAGTGAATTTATTTTGTCACAAGTTTTATTAGAATTGTGTTCAGACCAAAAAAAAGATCATTTTAAATTTGTTTTATACATCAATTGTGGTATCTATGAGCCACAACATGAGGTCAAACACCAGGAATAAAAGTCTACCATTTTAACTTAGAGGACTAATAAAGTCACTATAGTAGTTCAGGGGTAAGTTGAGCCATTTGGCCAGGGGTAAGTTGAGCCAGTGGCTCAACTGAGAAAGTAAAGGAGTCTGATGAGACGATCAGAGTTTCAGTTCAGATTGTTGAAATGTGTTACTTTTTCTTTTCAAAAATACAGCTGTGAATGTTCTGAATCACTTAAAGGCATTCTCATGTTAAAATGGCTTTTTACAAAACAGGTTTTTAGCAGTTTTATGCAATAATAATAAAAAGAATTATTGTACCAGTTGAATAGTGTAAAATACATAATGTAAATGTAAATGTAATGTAAATAGATAGTGCAAAAATACACATGAATGTGAAGGAGCGACTGTTATTTAGGGATGGAAAAAGGTGAGGGAGGGCTGGGGTGGAGAGTTGGGGGGGGTAGTAGGGATACGGCTGAACTTACCCCGCTCCTATGGTCAACTTACCCCATGGCATGCTAAATTATCAAGACAGTTATGTTTACACTCAGTCTGTTGGTTTGTAGGGATGCACAACATCTTAAAATATATGCAGGTACACTAGTTAGAGACAAAACTATGGATACCTTGATGTAGTGATCCCAAATATGAAAAATGGCTCATCTTACCCCAATCTCCACTACTATATCCTTGGTTATAAGTTTGAGGTCCTTTTACGTGAATATTTATGTACCGTTTGTTCGTATACGTATACTTAATAATCAGAGCCAAATATTCTGCTCACAATTATAGTGTATATCAATCAGTCTCTATTTGTATAGCACTTTTCATACACAACCGATGTAGCACAAAGTGCTTTACAGGAATAAAAGAAACAAAGAATACCCTGATCTACCCCAGCCCAGCCCCTCATTCCCACTCCGTGATCTAAGAACAAATGGAAACAAGTATTAAAATGCATGAACTTGAAAAGGGTTCGATTTGTAAAGTGTAAAGTGCACACCGAGGAAACGCCATTTTTTAAACTCAAGATAAGCAAACACTGGAGGCTTGGTAAAAATCAAAAAACAAAGTAAACTAAAATAAAATTTAAGAAATGATAGATAAAATAAGATTAAAAAAACAACAGTAAAAGATATTAAAATAAGAGCACCAAATAGCTAGATAAAAAATAATCCTGTCATTAAAAGTAGAGGAGATAAATGCTAAAACACATTAAGAAAGTTAATGATGTAAATTTTTTTAGTTAAAAACAAGACCAAAAAGGTAAGTTTTGAGTTTGCTTTTAAAATCATTAAGATTAGGTGCAGTCCTCAGGTCTTCAGGCAAGCTGTTCCATAGTTGGGGGCCGTAGTAATAAAGAGATTCCTCACCATATGTCTTGGTTTTAACTTGAGGTAATGTTAACAGAGAACTGCCTGAAGACTCTACCTGGATCATAAGATAAAAGCAGATCAGATAAATAAAATGGGCCAAAGCCATTAAGTTGGAAGTATGCAGCGATTGAAAAAATGTCAACCCCTGTGACAACAATATCAACGAGGTTGTTTGGGGTGTTTTTTAAATTGCTGAATGTTATCAAAGTCACCAGGGCTTCATCACGCTATTGTTTGACCTCTTGTCAAGAGTTTTTTGACATGTATAAAATAGACTGAAATTCATTTTTATGGCTTTTTATGATTTATAAAAGCAAACAAGACCATTGAGGACAATATAGATAGTTTTATATCAAAAAGTTTACTGCCTGAAATGGATGCAAGGGGGTAGGTGTTAACCAGGGAGAGGGTGAGGGTCTCACTAACAGAAAAAGGCTGCTGCGATCTTAATTGCTGAGGATTTGTTTGTTTCATCCCAAAGTCTAGGTAAAGTTTAGTCCAAAACATGAGACGATAATTAATAATTTTTTAATTTTAAGGGTGAGAAACTGATTTTGTTACTTGACAGCACTGAAGGATGCTCCAAGAGTGTGGGGTATCAGAGAGTAAGTGGTTCGTTAAAAAGATTATAGCTGAGGTTTAACGTTTCTGAATGAGGGTAAAATGAGGGTTCTTGCAGACACCAGACATAGAGAAGTAATTTACATATTTTAAATAATGTAAAGCTGTAATAAAGCTATCAGAACAACATTATAGGGTTTAAACTAGAGTGTAGTTTCTCCATTTTGTACTACAATTAAATCTGAGGCCATAGTAGGTCAGAAACATCCCGGGTTGATTTTTTTTTTATTTCAGTAAAAAATTGAAACCATAATAAACAGCAGAGAGACTAATGGGTTTATATTTTCAGGCCACTAAATAATGGGTAAATAATGTCATTCCAATCCGGACTGTTAATTATAGACATTCTTCTTCAAAAGTAGTTGTTTAAGACCCCTACTCTTCATGCACAGGGTATCCTCATTACTCTATTTCTCTCTCCTTCTCTTCAGAGGTCCCACAGATATCAGTTCGCAAAGTGGAGGAGGAGGTTTGCCTCATCCAGCAGCTGAACGTTAACAGTGACACCAGCTCCAGTTCGGATCCATCAAATCCTCCACCAGTAAAAGAGGAACACGAGGAAACATGTGTCACTCCACAAAAAAAACAGCCTGCACAGGAAAAGGAGGATAATGCATCGATCTCGAATCCAACTTGTGAGGGGAGTGTCCAGAGCGAGCAGTCTCAGTCTTCGGACGCCAACCAAAGTTTAGTAAATGAAGACCCACAATCCAGTGCAGCAAACAAAGATGTAACATCTGGATCTGAGAGGGAGAGCTCTGCACCCAGCAATGACCAGCAGCTTGTTTCTCAGCAATCTAGTGAAAAGGGGAGCCAAGACCAAAGTCAGAGTGCAGTAGCCGTTAGAGATACAGGGAAAAGCAACGAGGAGAGCACGACATCAGCTATAAGTTCTGAACCGACATCCAGTGATCAAAGTAACACTGAGAGCACAACGGCAGCTGAAGGCGCAGAGCTAACACCAACTGACAAAGGTATTGAAAAGAACTCAAACACAGATAGAAACAGCGAGTCAACACCAGAGAGCAAGAGCAATGATGAGAGCACAAAGTTATCAAGTACGCAGCCAAAACCAAATACCAAGCACAGTGACAATAGAATATCGGCTGCAGGTACTGAAACAGAGCCACACAAGGAACATAATGGCAAGACGTCATCACACGGATTTAAGGGGCGATCACCCCACAAGAAACGTATCGATGGGAGCAAAACATCTGTTAACACTAAGATAACACAATCTAAGAAGGGTAACTTTGAAGATGCAACTTCAGGTGATGAGGCAGCGTCAAAGAAGAAAAGTGTAGACAAGACCACAACGTCAAATAAAAGTTCTGAGGCAACGCCAGTCAATAAAAGCAACAAAAAGAGCACGCCTACTAAGAGTACTAAAACAACATCAAGTAAGACATGTACCCTAGAGACTACGGCATCAACTGAAGGCACTGAACTAGCTGTTGATAGAAATCATGAGAAACAAGCAAAAAATGGACAAAGCAAATCACCAGTAAAAAGGAAAAGCTCAACTACAAGTGAAACACCAAAGAATAATAGCAACAGTGTGAAAACAACGTCAGCTTCAAGTCCTGCAGCAGCACCTGAGAAGAGACACAAAAGTGGGAAGACTTCTTCTGCTGGAAGCGTTGAGCCAGCATCAGCTAAAAGATCAGAACCAAAGCCAAACAAGAAACCTCATGATGGGAAAATAGCAAACACTAAGAATACACAGAGTAAGAATCAAGACGTCAAGAAGTCAGCACCACCTAAGAAACAAAGTGACAGGAGCACATCATCCAAAAGAAGCGCTGACCCACCTCCAAAGAGGAAGGATGCTAACACATCAGATGAGAGTGCTGAGGATGATGACAATCCCTACAGGTGTGACCGATGCGGGAAAGTGATGACTAATTTCAAAAACTACAAGTTCCACATGAAATCTCACACTGTTGATAAGACGCATAAATGCAAGACTTGTGGGAAAATGTTCAGGGAGCGCTGGGATTTGAATAAACATGTAGTGGTTCACGCTGATGACAGGCCTTACAAATGCGAAGTGTGCGGGAAAGGCTTCAACTGGCAGTACAATTATGATCTGCACAAACGTGTTCATACTGGGGAAAGGCCCCACAAATGCGATGTCTGCGATAGAAATTTCATCTCAGGTATGAACTTGAAGAAGCACATGAGGGTTCACACAGGGGAGAAGCCATACAAATGCGACGAGTGTGGGAAGGGATTCGCTTCTTGTTCAGCATTTAAAATCCACCTGCGTGTGCATTCAGGGGAAAAGCCGTACAAGTGTGGGGTTTGCAAGAAAGGATTTGCTACAAATACAACATTGAAAAGGCACACCAGGACTCACACGGGGGAAAAGCCCTACAAGTGCAGTGAGTGTGAAAAGGCATTTGGGCACAAAACAGACTTGAAAGAACACTTACGGATACACACTGGGGAGAAACCCTACAAATGCACCATATGTGGAGCACAGTTCTCCACCTGGTTGAAACTCAACAGACACAAGAATTTTCACAAACGTGATAAACAAAGCTCATCTGCTTAAAAACAATAGTGTCATCTGACACACAATACTGATGACAAAAGGTCATGAATGGCTTGTACAATCACAAAAATCTTAATGTCACTGCAGCAGAACTCAAGATATCATCCTGTAGTTCCACAATAGTTTTGCACTGCAGTTGCAAATGGTTGTCTGAAATTTGGTTTTGCACACATGCATTCCCCCAAGACTTCAAACATTGTTGGGGTTTCTCTTGTGAATAGAAACATACTCGCTTGGTTTTGTTGTAGGGACTACAGAATCAGGATAACAGGGATAAAAAGACTGATTTTGGTTTTACTAGGGGTTCGAATGTTCCAAACACTTGATGGACAAGACTATCACGAGAAGGATAAAATATTGTCAGAAACAGAAGTTTCAAATATCACAGTGAGAATCTGGTTTTATGTAATCATAAGGTTAGTTGTGAATTCTCGCCAAGCTATTTCACAAGCAGGAGTTGATCTAATCTTGTGCTGCACTGTTTGTTCTACAGATTGATTTGAGAAAACCTTTTACAATTTTTAATCATTAAGGGTAAGAATTTAAGGGGATATGTTAAAAAGGACTCTCATGTATGACTTTATTTCATAACTCCACGTGTTTAGAGCCTTATAATGTTTCTTAATGGTTCACTTGATACAAAAGAAATGGATGACATGTCTAAAATGTTTATCCAACTTATTTTTATTGTTGCTGATTGTAAGAACAAAATGGAAAAAAGTGCCTTGTTGCCGTTATGATGCCTTAATTCTGATTATCAGTTCTTTCAGAAATTGCTTACTGCTTTTCTATTGTGTAGAAGTTATTTCTTTACAGCCTACCAAAGTAATGAATTGTAAGTCTATGATTCTACAATACTCAATAAATCTTTATTAGAGGTTTGTCTTTTTACACTGTGGTCAGTATGTTAATGTTAAAGGCAGGACCTTGACAGATGTTAATAGTGGGTAATTTAACTTACCTAAAGCCGCCTCAGTACTGTCACACAGTGAGAACCATCTTGAGCGTCTCAGACCTCACTCTGTGAAAGTACTTAAACTTTTTTAGTAATGAAACATTTTCTTTAAGACCTTTACTCTTAATACAACTAAGTTAAACTTTGGTGTTTGGTTCCCACATGGACAGCTTTCATTTTCAAGACAAGTAATGCTGCTCTACTCGCTGAAGACCTGTTTTGTCTTCATTCTGACATCTAGTGGTTAAAGAAATACTTGCACTGTCAAAGTTGAAATTGGACCAGAAAACGTGTTCTGTAAACATAGTAACAAGTAAATAATATTCACTTCACCTATTATTAGTGATAATTTGATGCTTTATTAGTCTTTTCATGGATGGTCCCTTACTGTTAAATAAATATTACTACATGATTTTATTGGAACACAGAAATCAGACATCAAATCACTGTAAATTTATTTGCAGTGTGATAAAAATGATACCGTTGATTACAGTAGAAGACAGTAAGAGAACTAGCTCAACAGACTATCCACCAGCATCAGTCTGTGTTGCAGTGATTAATCAGCAGGTTTTGGTTGCAGAGCTTCAGTGCCATCTAGGGCCAATACCAGCTCACAGGTGGCTTAGAGACCACCTAGTTTGTATTTGCATTTCTGCGCTCCCCATACAAACCTCTGTCACCATTCCAGTTACAAACAGATGAATATTTTGTATAATCTTTTCAGGGTTATGCAAGTTTAAAGAGTCATTTTGTGGTCTTTGCATTAAAACTAAGTAGGGGAAGGCATTAGATAAAAAAAACAAAACATTTTTTTCACACTGTATCAGAGACCATGATTTATCAAGCAGACTAAAAAAATGAAAACAAACAAATAAAAAAAATTTAACAGTTATTTCTACTTATGATTTATCAATGAAATGCAGATTCACCAATAAGAATAGGCCACACAAAATAATACTTCCGGGAAAAAGTCCATCCGTGGGTGGCGCCCTTGGAACAGTAAATTACTGATCCAAACTATTTTTTCTGCAGTTGACAAATTATTGGCTTATTAGAGGGAAGTAAAGGTGAAAGCAGGTTTAATTACCATACAAGTTTGGAATTACTACTAAAAAGTTGGCTCTGAGTGACAAAAGCAATGTTGAGACAAACGTTGAAGCTAACGGCTAACAGCTACAGGGGAACTGGGGCTGAACCCCCGCCAAAGCCACACCTGAGAGCCCGGTCAGGTGACTAGTAGACCTGGGCCTAAAAGTCAGAGATGCCCAGCCAGGCCTCTGTGGTTCATTCGTATTGAAGGTAAGCGCATATTTTCTCAGCCTAAGCTCACGTTTGACTGGATTTTGATACATGCACTGCGCTTGAGGTGGTGGAAATTACAGTAACAAACCAGTGTTTCTGAGATGGAGTCATGCCTGCGTGTGCGTGGGCTTCACGTCTCAACTAGGCAGATTTGTGCTGCAGAGCAGTTGTTGCTGTATTGTGGAGCTGTCTGAGTGGCCTTATGGTAAACAGTAGCAGCCTTGGTAAAATGTGTGCATATGCAGTAGTTGACACTGGAGCACTACCTACTGTATATATGTGTGTGTGTGTGTGTGTGTGTGTGTGTGTCTGTCTGTGTGGGTATTTTTCACTCTGAATAACCCAACCAGTTCTTCCATCATCTGTTGTACTCAGAGACTGCCAACAGCCTAGAGCATCTCTCCAGCCTTCTTGCTGACTTTTTGACCTCTTGAGTAGAAGACGCCGCTGCAGCAAGTCTAACGTTGCATTCAGGTGATCATCGGAGCTCAGCGATCTCCATCGCTTAAGATAGAGAACTGAAATTACACTTCTCCAGTTTGTCTTGCAAGATTAAAACAAGCAACAAACAAGAAAAATATTATTGGCTATGGGAAATATACTTGATGCAAACTGAGTAAGAAGACTAAGAAAATCTAGAAGTGGTACACAAATGCTCTACCCAAGTAAATCTTTTTTTTACTTAGATTGAGTATATAGCTGAGCCTATGTCAAAACATTATTTGTACTGCTGCATTACATCCTACATAACATTAGAAATCATAACTAATAGAGATGTTTTAAAACACTTTTTTCGGATTCCTGGATTAGATACTAAATATTCAGAGAGTGGGTCAGAAAACCTTCATCTTCTGTAACATTATCAGTCCAGGAGCAGCCTGTCATACTCCATATAGACAGCCGTCTGATGCTCTGTTTTTGTGCAGAAAAATTTCTTTTAAACTCAGTGGAGATAAGATTGGTAAGAGGCCAGAAGAGGTATGGGTGTAGTTTAGTCTTACTGATACCAGTATATCTCCCTACACATGAACACTACAGTGCTAAAGTCCAGCGTCACTTTGCTCTATCTTCTGTCACACACACAGCAGAGTTTTTAAGTCTCATAAAAAAGTGCTTTGCACTGTGAATTTCCTTTCTATATCATACTTTCCAACAGGACTAGTGGGTCTAAAATGGACACATAAAAAGATTAAAAGGACTCTGTATATTTAACCAAATTACATTAAAGCTTAAATGGATTTGCAATGAAACCCTCTGCTTCAAACCCCTGTCTGTGAAATCCATCATGGTTTTCACTAGCTTTCCCTGGCGATTAGCATTGGCTGGAGCGTCGGCGAGCCCTGCAAATCAAAACCATACTCATTCTGGCCCGACACGCTGGTGTGCTCGCAGAAAGTGTCTCAGCGGCTAACCCTGTGATTTATAAACGTTTACCTCACCACAGTGGCCAAATCAAAGGTTCGGGAAAAGAGAACAAATTAACAGAAAGGTATTTAGCTTTTCTAAGAGACTTTATTTTCAAAGCCACAGTATTCATAAAGCCACAGTGCATCATTATGTTTTTATAGCTGTATAAACTATAAAGTTACCTTGTAATTTCATGGTTAGGGACGTAGTAATTTGGAGACCCCAGTTTTTGTTTGGCTTTGTTTGTTTGTATTTTTGTGTGAGAAGTTATGTATGTTTTCAAAAGCTCATTTTCATAGGATGTGGGTTTTTCCAGACATTACATTTGTGCCTAGAAAGCACATGAATGTGCAGAGACAGGTGTGCGACGGATGTTGACTCTTAAGCCTCAGATTTCAGCTTTGTAATATTTTTAACCAGCACTGTATTTAGATTGTGCCAAAGCAATAGTGTTCACTCTGTACAAGCCCAATAAATGATAGTCCCACTTTTTAGCACCTCAGAATGTGCACTATTTTCTCCCGCATGATAAACGGCAAGGTTTACAGGGACCCCTCCCATCAAGCTCAAAGCAGTAAGCTCAAATGCAGTTTGAATATCTCATTGCTTTGTTGAAGATTTTAAGCTGATTATCAAACTTTTAGATTTAAATGTCACAATCAACCGTGGAAACTTGGGGTGTCCCGATACAACTTTTTGACTTCCGATACGAAACTGATATTGTAGCCTTCAGCATCGCCCGATACCGATATTGATCAGATATTGGCACAAACTTGTGCATGACAAGTTTTACACTCAGTTGCAATGTCTTATTCAGACTTTAACAAAAAATACTGCCACACAGCCAACATCACTCTTACTCCTTGCTACTTGTTTGTACCTTAGTACATACTGTTGTTGTGATCACGTGGGCTCTGCATGCTGGATCTGGGCACTGCTAGCTAGAGGTGCTGAAGTGGAGTCTGGAATGGCCTGCTTGTATTGGAGTGCTGATCTCAAAGATTTTAGATGCAGGCCGATATAATCCGATATTTGTTTATTGGCTGATATTGGACCAATATCCGATATCAATATCGCATTGGGACAGCCCTAGTGAAAACTCAGGTGAACAGTTGATGATACGATATGATATGATAGGGAAGACATAAACAGAAACAAATATTTAACAGCCTAGGAGCTTTTATCCTTCAAAGGCCGATAGATGAGGGCAATCCATCCGAGTACTATGCACTTAAGTCACTGTCCTGCCTGTTTTGGGTGAAAGTAGTCTATCTGTATGGACTGCCAGCAAATGCAAGCTCTAGGTCTTGAGGACTATAATAGTACTCACTTTTTTATAATGAGAGATATAAGTGGGGAATTGCTGTGATTTTCTCACCATGGCTTTGGTGGCAGAGACAACTTGTAGTTCCTGCTCCCTAAGCGTTCCGAACAGCGCTTGAGGCTATGTTATTTTTCACCACATTACCACGCTGTATAATACCGGATCTTCTAATGAGGAAAGACGATTTAAAAGTGACGACCTGACTTATAAACCGAGTAAAGTAAACAGATGAATGATATTATATCGGTCTAGGATGGGGTTGTTCTTCCTCTGGTAGAGGCAGAGAAGAAAAAAGTTTTGTTAATGGAAGCTTATCAAAAGAGTCGTGATTTATGTGTTTACCCAAGGGGGGTCAGGGGAAGAGGGGGGTAGCATTTTGCCACTGTTAATGTGAGGGACAAACAACAGGGCTCCCACCCTTACAACAGTTGACCTACATTGATTACCTTTCTTGTATTTCTTGGCTTGTGCAAGTGTGACATTTTCTCAGCAGCCCACCGTTTTTATCAAAGGTCCTCTCTTTTGTGTAATTCCACCCTGAGATTAGAAATCATAGGAAGTCATTTTCTCCAAACCCCTTTTGTAAATCTAAAAGATTCTTTTTTTGTTCGACTCCGTAGACTTGCACAGCTTTTACCCTCAAGGCTTCAAGCTGAAGCTGTTATCGAAACCATCACAAAATGAGCTCAACAACAGGAAACGCTTTTGTTTGTTCTTTGCCAAAATGACAGCCAAAAATTCAAAAAGTAAAGCTTTTGCCAAGGGGAATTTTCTCTCTACAGTATTCCCATGACCTCTGAGGAAAGAGTTTTAAAGAAACTTCGGAGTGAAAAGGAGAGAAAAGATCAGATTGTTTCCAGATGACATAAAGTAACAGGTGACTTTTTATGGAAGAGAGGAAGGAATAGCTTTTCTAATCACAGTTTTTCCACCATCAGAGCCAAGAGAAAACAGATGCGTACGTTTGTTTAAAATGTAGTAGGAAATTTCTAGAATTTTTCAGGAGCATCTGCCTCATAATTTCCTAAAGTTGCTCCCTCACAGTGTAAAGAGGATGCTGAGTTACCCTTTGTGTTTTTTCCAAGATAACAGGTGAAGCAAAGTCTGACTTAAGGATGGTTTTCATGACCACTTTTTGCTTTAATTCCTGTGGGATCACTGCACCACATCTCACTTAATTTTTTAATTAGCAAAGGTGGGGCTGTAAATGGTCTTAGAATACATCATCTGCACCTCTGTCTGATATTTGAATGTGTTTTTGGGAGTGGGGTGTGTTAAACAGCAGCAGAAAAGAGCTGATCCATACAGTCACTTTCTGATGGGTATTTTTCCAAGCACTGGTGTGTGTCTTTACAATATCAAAAGTAGGGTGTGCACAAAGTAGATTAGTTGACCGGCTAGCAGTTTATCCTCAGTTTTTCTGTCAGCTATTTTTCAGTATTTTACTCTTTATGAAACACAGAACAGCCTTAGAAAAACAGGAAATGTGGGGAAAAGTGAGTAGGGGGTGGCACACTGTAGAGAGCCGGGAGTCTATTACAGTGTCTGTATTTGTGGATCACGCCTTAACTGCTGGGCTAAACTGGCGCCCCATCATTATCGTCAATTTTGGATGCGGGGTATTTTTCAAGTCATTATTCTGAGAAAATTGTCAAAAAAGATACTTTGGGACCAGCTTCTTAAATGTTAACTTTGCTGCTTTCCCCCCTCTGGCACTAAAATAAATAATCCTGTGTGTTTTTTTTTTTTTTTTAAATCTACTCTGATGATGGACATTAATGTTACCTTCATAGACCAAAGGATGTCTTTCAAAAAGGCTGCTTTTGGGGTGACTGATAATAAGGACATTCGCCGGTTTTAGCCCAGTGAGGGTAATTGGATGACAGTTTTTATATCCATGTCATTAAAGCTTTTCAGGCAATTCATTTGCTTAATTCAGTGTCACAAATCTGTGGGTAAATATCCACACCATTATATAAAGCAAGTGGTCCTTGATGTTGCCTATTTTGTCCTACCAGCAGTCCAAAATGAAAGAGATAAATAAGACATTAAATAAATAAAACAAAATACAGCTTATATATCACATGGCAAAGTTAAAAAGGTAAAAAATATTTTGTTTGCAGAGCTAGAACCAGTGAAATTTTACAGTTTTGCCAGAAAATCTGTCAATGCAACGACTAAACCATGAGAATAAATCTACTCCTAATGTCGTCTGTAAATAACAGGTTCAGTTATAAAAACTTATATCTTTAATTACACAGAAAGAAGGGCTGTAAATGAAAATGACTCAAATCATGATTGTGATCTTATCATATGTCAATACTCAGTTAATCAATTCAATGTAAAAACTACGAGATGTCATTAAGTAGAAGCTTTAAATTGGTTCAGTTCAACAGGGTAAAAGCATCATAGGTAAAACAGAGATATAAAACATGTTAATTTAAGTAAAACAAAGCAGACATTTACTCAGTAGTTGTTTTTTGAATGTATTGAAGAGTAGAAGGGCACAAGCTGACATGCATCGGTCTAATACAATTGTTTCCTGAACTACAAGTGTTGCTGGAGCTCTTTTGACCTTTTCTCTCCATGCACCTTGGAAGTTGGTGAAGTTGTGCCAGACCTCCTGACCTCTGTTTTTTAAATGTAGAAATGATTATTGATTTTGCCATAAGTCGTGGGCTCAAAGAATCTCAATTGTATCCAGGCAGTACCTGATCATTGCCAGCAGAGGGTACTAGTTCACTAACCAAGTTGGTTGTGACTGCCTCGCTTTGGATCTAAATAACTCTCTTCACCACCAGATGAGAGGCAGTCATAGAGCACCGGGATTTAAACCCACATATAAATTACCGTCTGATTTAATATTCTAACCATATCCGCTGGGGAGAAAAGGGCAAACTATGTTTTAAACAAATACAGGAAACTGAAAAAAGGGGAAAATGTGTTTTAAAAACGTGTATAAGAACAGCACACAGAGAAAGAAAGTGAACATTTGGATTTAAGAGAGGTTTTCTTGGCATGTGCATGAGCCTGTATCGGTTTCCTGGCTGTGCTGTCATTAGCTGATAGTGCTAAAGCAGCTGTGAGGAAGCAGAGGTGAGCCAAGGAGCTCGTAAATCTTCCTCAGCTCTCAGTAGTGTTGGCTCACTGACCAAGTGACAGCACTTCAAAGAGAACCCCTGTCTTCAGATGAACTTGTTGCCTTCACTGATACAGGTTTGGCTTGGCCAGCTGTTTCAACTGTGAATGTGTGAGTCGGTGGGTGTGTTTGTGTTTGTGTGTGTTTGTGTGGGGGGTTTAGTCTTGAGAGGGGGCCCACCAACCAGGAGCTTTGACTGACACCTTTTGGATGAGGCACCGGTGTGTGTTTCCTTTGAAAATGTTGGTTTTGAGGGTCCTTGTTTTGCATGTAAACATAAATTTACTGCTCATGGTCATTTTCAGATGCCTAAAACTGCAGTATGATTTAGATATCTAAGAAAAGTGAACATCTTCCAACAGAAATCAATGCGCACTGAGGGAAAGTGGCAGTTATTCACAGTTTTTTATTCCTCAATATTCAATATTTATTTAATGAATTGATATTATAGTTGTTTTAGCAATGATCATGTTTGCAGGTTGTAGTCTTCATTAGCTACATTCAGCTGTATTTATCTTCATCAGACTTTTCTTAAGTCATCTTAACAGATGGCATATTTGGCAAGTAGTTGCCAGTAATGTAGAGTACATGTGATGTTTGGGCAAAAAACTGTATCATGTAGCTTCAAAGACATGAACCAATTTGGAAATCTTTTAAAGACAAGTTAAAGTACTAAATTTATCATTGAAGAGTAAAATCATAAAATATATAATAATACATGGGGATGGAAAATCATTTTATGCCATTTTGTCTCAAAGTGAGTCACACCCATTGGGAAAGCACAGAATCATTTCCAAAAAAAGGCTGCCGCACGAGGTCTGCAGCCTGTGATGTGAAAGACTGGACTTGACGGCTGAGAAAACTTAGTTTCGGTTGGAATAGGTGCAGAAGTTTTATAAGAAAATTGAAGTTGATCTATCTTATTCAAGACTGTACACTTTATAGAACAATCTTTTCTGACTCAAAGTTTGACAAAAATGAGCTCCTGTCAAAAGACTGAAGGATTTTATCCTTTGAATAAAACTGACCCTTTTAGCTCTGCAGTTTCAGAAAAAAGATCTGTGCGCTGATTTTTCCGAGAAGCAAAAGTACCTGTATGCAATCACAAGATCGAGGTCAAAACATGCACCAGAAGAAGCTGAGTTTTGCTTTTGTTTTGTCTCTGATTTTACCAAGTGTACTATTTGACTTCCACTTGTTGTGAAAGTGGTCCAGACTGATCATGTGTTTGGGGGCCTAAAGGGTTTCAGAGCATTCCAGAAACAGCAGCGTCCTTCCAATATCTTCTTGGCATTACTCTTCCTTTATGAGATCTATCTGTGTGCTAACTTTGATCTCTCTACTTTCCCATCAGTCTCTCTCCCTCCCTCCCACTCTCATCTCACCCCTTTTCTTCCTTCTCCTTCTTTTCTCTCTTCCTATGTCTCGTGTTGGTTGTCTTTCCGTGTCAGAGACTAAGCAAACAGAGTCGTGTGTGAGTGGCCTCATAACTCCTCGTTCCTGAGAGTGGGAGCTCTCAGACCGGAGCAGCTGTGTCTTCATTTGTCGGCCATGTTCGGCATTCTCCAGATATCTCCAGGGGGCTCCTGGGCTTTTTCTGTGTTCTGGTCTGACCTCATGCCCCTGTGTGAGACTGTGTGGAAAGCAGGCAAAGTGGGACACAACTTCATGTAGACTTAAAAAAAAAAACCCTGAGACACATAAAATAGTATTACCCAGCCACTTAGGTTTGGTTTGGCTGTATGGTTTTTAAATATCAATCACAGCGTAGATCGCAACAAAAGTTTTCTAAATCAGCCTCAGACCCTTTTTGGGCCAACGTCACAGTGGCGTCACTCTTTTAGGACAAGAAAATTCAACAATGTGCATTCTGACTTTCATTGGGACTCTGGAGCTCACATTATGTCTTCCATCTGTTACCATTAAAACCAATAATCATCCGTATTATTTTATTATATCGTTGCACTTTTTGATTCTGCATAGCTACAAATCAGTGCCTCACAATCATCATGTAATGTTGCAGCCGGGGAAGCACTAAAGCAAGAAAGAGGCCGAAAAGAAAACAAGTATCATAAGACAAGAAGAAACAGAGTAACATAAAAGGAAGAAAAGCAAGGTGATAGAGCAGAGAGCAAATGGTGTGTGAGTGTGAAAAAGAGTGTGTGAAGAAACAGAGATGAAGAGAAAGTGAGGAGATCTGTGCAGGCTCCTCTCTCATGCTAGCTAACGCAGATAACAGCAGGAGGTGAGCATGTGTTTTCTTCAGCTCAGTCAGAGGAGGTTTGCACTCACTCTTCTTCCCCCCTCCTCTTTTTCCTCCCCTTCTTGCAGTTCCCCTTGACCCCTCTACTCCTCCACCTTGCAGGCGTGAATCATCTGACATGCACACATCTTTGTCCACACTCTTCCTCCCCCCACTCATCCTCTCTATCTCTCCATATCTTCTCCTTTCATTCAGGATCCTTCTTTCTGTCCTCTCCACTCTCTCTCATCTGTTTCTCGGTGCATCTGGCGAACATGAGCTGTGGAAAGACAACAGACAAGTAATGGGAGAAGTGTGTGGGTGAGTGTGAGTGTGTGCGTATGTCATGTGGGGGAGGCTGTACACATGTGCATGTGTGTGCAGAAGCACAGATGACAAAGGCAACCCTGGGTCTTTGTCAACTAAATCTCATCTGAAGTGTTTTCATATGAGCTTCGGGTTCTGTACTGACACTGAACCAACACCCACAAAACCACTGACCCTTGAGATGCTAAGCTGTTCAATGAGGACTGCTGAAATCTGTCAATATGCACCAATATATCATAATAACATAAAACATACTCTGTGTTTTAATGGCATAATCATACAGCAGTAAATGGTTGGTTTAAAGGGGACTGAATCAACTTGCCTGTAAAAGTGCTTAATCTCCTCTTAAAGACTCTTAAATATTTTATGTGGAATCTGGTTGTTAGTATGGGAAGTCTTCTGGTTTTCACTTGTAGTATGCTTGTGGTCCAGTCAGCACTGGTATATGCAAAACAGTCCCACTGGAGAGGGAAAGCAAGCAGAACACAATCTATAACAGGGTCAGCTGGGTCCCCATACTTGAGAATCTCAGATTGTTAGCTGCAAGTGCAGAGCAAACAGTCTGTTTGAGTTTTTTTTTATTCCTATACAGTTGAAGCAAAGAAATTTGCTTTACCCTTTCTTGAATTAGCCAGTCAGCTGCTAGGTTTGCCAGCTACCTGCAACACATCAACAATTCTGTCTGACTTTCCTTCACCAAAGACACTTTTTAAAATGTGTCCTTCTTTTTTGCAGATGTACTTTTCAACTACAACCTTTGTTAGCATGTCACCAGAGGCCCCAAGCCTCAATGGGGCCCTAAGCAAAATTGGATTTTAGGGCCCTCTATTTCTGCCAATAATATTGATTCATGATCATTCACACACCTACACAAATCTCTTTGATTAACATTCCATGACATGCAAACATACCTTTATCTTAGTGTTTTTTCTCTTCTTCCTTGATCTTTTCTCTGCTCCTGAAGGATATGTCCTTTTTTGCAACATTGTTTTGCCCCACAACTACCTGTACTTTAGATGCTGAGTGCACATTGCACAGCAGGAGGTTCATAACGGTAGCAGAGCTTTGACATATCAACAGTAAGAATCATAGGCCTACATCAGCAGCAGCACTAAAATGTTTTTATTTTATTTTATTTTTACAATAATATATATTTGATCATACAGAAAGCATCACTCATACATGCAAAAAATAAAAATTATTTGGAAAAAATATATATTTTTGATTGCTTTTGGCGGCCCCCTAATGACTGCAAGGCCCTAGAAACTATAATCATTAAAAAGGCCATATTACAATGATTGTAACCATCAGTTGCCCGAAGAGGCATTAATAGGAATCTTTGAATTGAAGATGGGCCGTAATATCTTAATACTCAAAGAGATAAAATCACTTATTGAAGCTAAAAAATGAACATGACAAATACTTGAGAGATCAGTCAGGCCAAAATAACCATGCATAATAGACGTCAATCTCCACATAGTAATGGCTTTTATCATTAAGTTGCTGCAAGTGCAGTTTGATATCAGCATTAAATATCAGCCATTAGTTGACCTGCTGTACATTTAATGTCAGCATCAGTATCAGTTGTAGAAAACCCATTTGGGCGACCACTAGTTACATTAATTTGTGAATAAGTACCATGGTGGACCACATAAACGATGACCCTAATTACAAGACCCTCCCTTTGAGACTAGTTCTTGAAAAATACACCTTCAGAACCTAATCTGTTTGGTCAAAGAAAACAAACTCACTTTGCAGTAATGATAAAACAAACACATAGATTCTTATATCTTTGTCACATTTCATGTCATGTGTGTAAATGAGCATTTATGGTATCTGTATTTTATTACTTTAGTATTAGCTTATATTTGGGCTTACCATTGTATTTCACCAAGCCCAGAACACAGACTCTAGCTGTTTAATAGCTCTGCTGCAATCATAAACATCTTTCAAAGGTCATCCTGACTCCAACTCAGTTTTTGGTAAACTTGTCTTACTCTGTGCTGTTTTGTTCCCCATACCTCTCCAACTTCAAACACTAAACCCTGACTATAACACAGTCACACTTTTTGACAATATCATTTGCAGAACTCTCCGCCTCTCTCTCCATCTTGTATTCATATCAGTATGGTAATTAAAGTGTATTAAATACTGACTAAGAGCTTGAGTAAATGCCATCCAACACTGAGATACAACTTCCAAAATGCATCCACAGTATGCATGAATATTTTTTGGTAGATTAATCTAGCAACTGGATAAATATAAAAAGCTTTTAGGAAGTCAAATGAACTGAAACTGCACTGAAATGCTGTGTTTCTTTGACCTATCATCTTTGTAGACATACAGCAGTAGATAATTGTGATAATTGACAATGACGTATACAGTAAACAGTTGTTTCTCTGTGCCTCTTAGACCTCTGACACAAAGACTTTTGAGCTGGGGCATATGAAGTGCTATTTTGTGTAAGACTCTATTCAGTGTCTGTACTTGGAGCATTAACATTTCACAGTTATGTGCTGCTAATGAATGTTTGGTTTGTGGTTGAGGCCGAGCAGATGCCAAGGTCTTGGATGTTCTTGGATGGTCTGCTCATGACCAACAGATACACAGTTTAGCTGTACTGTGAGTAACACGATAACCCGATAGTCTAATTTGCTAAAAAGTAACATCTGTCAAGCAAAAAAACATCATCTAAAGTGTAAACAGACCAAAGTTGTACTGGTTTCTCTTGGAGGCAGTTTGGTGGTTAATCCTCTCAGCACACCTACAAAACTGCACAAGCCACCGACCACATCTCTCCCATCTCTGGCCTCAGTTTGCCTGAGGTTTCCCCTTCAAGTACCTTTGCTAGCACCTTGCAAGCCACAAAACACTAACTGACTTGGGGAAGTGACAAATTGAGGGGTTTTGGCAGTCTGCAGGCGGTAAAACAGGCCTGTTTACATGGGAGGATCCCACAGAACCACAGACATGTCTCCAACAGCCAATAAGACAGAGGGAAGGAGGGAATGAAGGGAGAAAGTAAAGAAGGAGAGGAAATTGCAATGGACAGTATTTCTGCCAAGAGGAATTCCAGGCAGGTTGAATCAAGGACATACCTTTGAGCTGCCAAAAAATATACTGTTATTTAAATCCCATACTTTCATTTATATTCTCATTTTTAGCCATGCCAGCTACCAAGCTATCATCTGTCTGTTGGAGAACTTGAGTAAGTGGTAAATTATTGGACAGGTGGCCATAAAAATGAGTTTGGACATTCATGTCGCCCAGAGGATGAATCATGTTGACTTGAATCACCCTCTAATGTCACCATAAGCTTAATTTTTAAGGTTTTAAATCCTCCACACTTTATTTTCTACCTCTGGAAACACAATTATAACTTCAATGATGCCAAAATTTCTCAAATGGTGCCGTCATCCCAACACAATGTTTTTTTTTTTTCCATTTCTTTGGTTTACGACAAAGTGCTTGCAAAACCAATAGCACTCCCATCAGCCTCAGCAGCAGTTTGATGTTAATGCTGATTGGCAAACATAAACTTGCCTGTGCCAAAAATCTGAGGCTTGGAAATTGATATACTTTGCATGTCAGCAGGCTGATGTTAGCTTTTGGCTGGACGTGCCAATGTCTCAAGTGTTCAGGGCAGCCAACATGCCTCGAGAACAATAGATCTAAATTGGTTGAGTAGTTTTATCTGTCTTGTTCAGAAATCAAAGCAATTCCTCATCATCCATCAAACTTGTGCTTTTTTATGGTTTTTACACCAAATCTTTTCAAACCAATAAATAACTGAAGGCATTGTCTCCAGTCACAGTAGAGCGGGGCTCGGATTTCCTGGCAAAGACAAAACTTTAAGACGCTCTGACAGAAACGTCTGGGAGTGGAGAAACCCTACCCAGCACATGTCATTGTAATTCAGGAATATTATATGATTTAGAGGGTGGGGAGCACAGGGGCTATGGAAACACAGAGCTCAGTGGCAGGGCGCACAAAGGATGTCTGTTCATTCACAATGGAAACCTTGTTGGCATTTTCTTAGTGCCTCAGAGAAAACCAAAGAATAAACAACAGTTTGCTGTCCCAATGTCTCTGACGTGATAGTATCTCTGACAGCCTTTTCCAAATGGAAATAGGCTGGATTTAAAAGCATCCGAGGGAAATCTCTGTTGATGCTGTGCTGGATTTATTCATTCAACTTTTCTGTGGCTGTTCTGTGAATTTGAGAACACAAATAGAAGTGTGGCCCAAGTTTGAAGTAAAGTTGTACAAGACAGCAAAGTGTTTGAAGTTAAAATCTATCGAAATGGCATCAAGATGTCATTTTTACAATGCTATTCTTTCTGTCTTTATATCTCTGCCCCTCTTTCTCAGTTACAGGAATCCCTTTGTCCTGCAGTAAGGTGTTGAGGTCAGTGAGGAAGACAATAAACCCCCTGGTGTTACCTTAAGCGTGTCAAAGTTAAAGGGATACACTATCCATTCATGCCTGTGAAATAAGTAAATGTTTCTGAAGGTTCATGCGACACATTTAACAGAGCTCACCTCAGTTAAAGTTGATCAGTGTTTTTATAACAGGGGTCCACCAATATTGGTTTTCAGGGCTGGCCAATTATCAGAGACCAATACTTGAAACCGATATGTGTTGACAAAAAAATTACAAACTTTTGTCAAAATTAAGAATTAAGAGTCTGACCAACTTTGACACAAAACTTAAAAATGAAGGGCCTCTACAGATATTAAGCAAAATGTCAAATATCGGCCAAGGCTAATGATCGCTCTACCCCGAATGTATAGTACACAACTTTTAATGAGTAAAACCAACAGAGCATTACCACCCACTGTCACAATCCTCCAGAACTTAACAGAGCAAGCCATAAGACCTCAAGCAAATACTTAAATTAAAAAGCTGATTGTATCTCTGTCTTGTGTTTACAGCCTGAAGCTTTGCTCTTAAATGGACAAACTATGAACTCAAGGAGGTTTATTCACAAAACAACATCGGAAGATATCATTTGTTCACTTGTGGGCTGTTTGGGGGCATTATAGACCCTTTGCTCATAGTCAGTGTCAATTGTCGTTGATTAAACAAACACAATTACTGATGTACAAAGTTTTTTGCCAAGAGATTATATGGAAAGCTGTAATTGGCAAAGTAACAGTGACGTCTTCCAGATGTTGTTTTGGAAAGTTCTGGTGAATCCCTTGTATAGGTTGCAGTCATAAACATTAATTATCTGACATTTATCCCTCTGCCAGAGGCAAGATAAGAGTTTAATTTGAGCAAAGCTCCGTAGGAAATGAGTGAGATGAGTTGGAAATTTTGAAAAGCTGCACATGAAATTCTCTGGGCTGATTGTTTTAGAGGATCAGGTCTGTTCTGGGAATCGAGACTGATGCTGTTAAGTCGAGTACCAGGCCATCTCAGCGCTTGGGAAGAGTTCCTAAGTTAACACTTAAACATTTTAAACAGCTGGGCAAGCCAAACCCGTGTTAGTGGAGGCAACAAGTTCACTTAAAGATAGGGGTCTCCCTTTGAAGAAGTGTCACTCAGCAAACAACAAGTGAACATTGGAGAATTTATGACCTCTGCAGCTCACCTCTGCTTCCCCACAGCTGCCCTTACACACCGCTGGTGACAGCCCAGCAGGAAAGCCAGGAAGAGCTGAAACACATAAACCAAAGCTCTTTAAAAGAGGCATGAAGCATCATGACCATATCATGAAGAGACAGCTGTCTTATTTCCAGCAGCAGTTTTTATTGACAGTTTACTCTAAGAAAGGTGTTTAAATATTAATATTATATTATTATATTATATGAAGTATTTTTTTAATCAAAGGAGAACATCACAGCTTTAATTAAAAAATAAGAGGTAAGGGTTATAAGGGTTGTATTTGTGACAAATCTGATTGGACCACAAAATGTTTGAAAATTAGCCATGATTTTATTGTTTATTGTTATGTTTATATAGAACTGGTAGCTATAGTTGCACATATCTTTGTGAGCTCATAATGGGGTCACTGCAGTTTCCTATTTCCTGGAAACATTCACTAGACCCCTAGATTATATTACTAAAATATCCTCTTAAGTATATAGTATGAGCTATTTTGTTATGCCCTGAGAATTCTTATGTATAGCAAAGTTTCCAAAGCAATATTTGACATGGAGGATAAATTCAGGAGAGGACCGTTAAACACATTAAAGCTTCTGTGAGGAGTTTTTATCCTGTTACGAAATTGACTGATATTAATGTTGTTGCCTCTTTTTGACTTGGAGTGAAAACCAGATCACTAATAAGAAGCGTGGCTTTTTTATGTTGCTTTTTTCTGTGTGAAAATTGTCTGAAATTGTCTGTCACGGTCAGGGGTTACGTGACAAAGCGATTGACTGCACATTGCTGACAGCCTTTATTTCCCTGTTTGGCAGAAAAGATACTTGGTGACTGATCCATTGAGCTGTTATTGGAGAACAAATTAGGATGTAGGATAAGAAGTAACACTTTTTCCATCAAAAAAGCACAAATTAAAAAAAAGATAATCATTGGAGCTTTAAACAGAATTTTCTAATTTTGTTAGTACAAAATGTGTCTTTTCTTTGTCCTCCTATTCTTGAAAAGACCCAAACATATATGCAAACACAGTGGACTTAAAATATTGTGTCTCCCTCCTGATTGCTGTTTTCTTCTCCCTAAAAAAAGAGTCGTTAAACTCAAGGGAACAGGCCTTCTTTCAAAAGACTGAATGGGGTTTTAATCAATTTGCTGCCATCTTGATTAGCCCGCGATCCACCGATCTGCCCAGCAATCAGCAGCAATTAGCCTGGCCTGGAATAAAATCTCCTCTTTAACCCTCTTTGTACATTTCGTCCAACTTATCAGTCTGGTTTGTGCACCAATAGTGGTACCTTGTTTGAGTTCCTGTGATTACCTTTGGCGTCATCTGAGCCGCTATCTCCTGTCCTGTGTAAGGAGGCCAAAGTATGCGGAGGCATTGAGGGGGGACTAATGGGCCAAATCGTGAAAGGTCCAGATGGCCGTGGAAGAAATTGGTCAAAGCTGACAGTTTATCCAGGCATCCGACAATTACAGTCCCCTACTGGAATAAAAGGCAACATTTGGATAGCTCATTTAGATCTTAACAATAGAAGGGAAATGTCAAAACAGTCTCACACACAAATAGAACCACATGGCAGCAATTTTACTCGGTCCAAAAATGGCCGTTCAGAATAGAGAGAAGAGAATCATTTCAACAAAAAGCTTTGAGTGTTTATTAAATTTACAATAATGAATTAAAACATCAGATTCACTGTAATGCGAAGTGTAGTTTTTAACTGTTGAAGTGTATAAATCTTGTTCCATGTGGTTCATCTATGATTTGGCCCATCTCCTATGACCCTGTGATGAGATTACAGGTGGTCTGCTGAACTTAAGGGTCACCAAATACCAAAACACAAAAACTGTGAAAATTTAGCACAGCTTATTTAACACAGCTGAACATGGGATCACACTGACTGCACATGGACTATGTAAAACTGGTTTCATTGTGATTGATGTTGGTAAGGAGATAGCACCAGTAAACTGCTAGCCCTTGCAGGTCAATATCCACATTATATTTACCGGTTTGACAAAAAATAAAGAAAACTTAATCTTCATTTTCTAGAAATGACAAAAAAATACTTCCAAACTGTGCTACATCAAGAGATGCCATTGACATGTGTGCTTATTTACATCTACATGTGTTCTTTCAATGTAGTCATGGTTTGATTTAGTGTTTGTTTGAACTTGTATGGAGATCTAATCCCGGTCTATTCAAGTGCATGTTTAGTTTTGGGGAAGGAAGTCTCCAAAGTTGAAGCTGAGATTAGGAAACTTCTGCAGCAGTTTAGTGTGGTCAAACTCAAGCTTTTAATGCTGCTCTCTCTTTTATAGGGAAAAGTCAACATCGTGTTGACTTACACTAAAAGTCTCTTACAGTATTTTCAATTGATGACTTCAAATACATATACATATATAGCCTACTAAAGTGTGCGGTTAAAGGCTGTAGTGCCCCAAATACATAAAACTTTGAGAAAGCTTTCATATCCCTCATTAGCTGGGTCCACTGGCAAGCGATAAAAAAACTGCACATTCATTTTGAGTGTGTTCAATTCATAGAAAACAAAACAAATAAAAAGAAAATGAAAAGCAGATGGTTTGGTGTATAGTGCAGGATCAGTTCCCAAACATCTGCAGGAAATAAGCCAAGGAGACATGGAGAGAAATAATTATTAAGCATGAAAATCAAATATAGACGTGACTACAGCCTGATCAAAGCTTTGCTTTTCTTTGGCAACATATTGATATAATAATGTGTCCGATGATGTTGTGAGCAGGACATCAAAAACACATTTCTTCTTGATAATGCAGGAGTTGACTGCCAGAGTTCAGCACATAAAGAGGGGAGTGGCTCGGTGCGTACAGAAGAATAACTGGAGTCTTGAATGACAAATGATCAGATATAACAATTCTGGCAGGCAAAGCAGCAGGTGCAGTTTGGAGTTTAAAAACTCCATTTAGTTACAATTTTGTGAATTAAAATACGAGGTAGGACTTGATAAAAGTTTTGAGTCCAAACTATAGAGCTCTATGAGTCACCATAGAATCAATCATATGCTTTATTCAAAGCAGCGGAAAGTAAAACCCTTCCTCAGAGCCAAAATAATCCTTGGAACCGAATGTGAAGTATCAAAGTAATGAAATTCACGGACAATTTGACTCCAAGTACATGCTGATCCATAGTAAAAAGTGATTTTCATGGATGAACAATACGACAACTGCTAGAAATAATCTCCTGCTAAAGTGATCCCTCTATCTGTGCCGTGAGCTCTTCAGAATCCTGGTAAACGGGACCCGGAGCGAGATGAAACCCAAAGATAGAGCGACAGATTTATTGCACCCCAGATGTGCCTGATTTATGAGCATTGTTTAATCTCCAGATTCCAACCACATGAAGGTCTTTTATTTGGAGCTTTAATTTATAGAGCTCAGAGAATGCAGGCTTAATGTTTTCTGTCTTTGGAGAAGATGAGCCAGCACTGTGACTCAGGGAGATAAACAGATGCTCGGTTTAACATCCATCTTACGCACAGACACTGAGAAAGGTTATCTTTTAACAGGCGCTGCTACAGAAACCAATCTCAACTGCTCTAAATCTTTCAGAAAAGTAGATTTAACAAATTAGTTGTTTCAAAAAATACATTCAAAAGATGCTTTATCTTAAGAAGTCTGCTTGCTTAAAGTCTCCCTCATGTGAAAACCTATTTAAAGACGTTCATTCCAAAGCCAAAGCTGGTAATAGGCAGTACTGTCACACAACTAATTATACTTCATAATACGTCTCTTACTTTCTTATTCCCACCCCTTGGCGTTACAGGCAAGTTCTCATTACCAGATCGACTGAGCGCAGAGCCCCAGGCGGCTGGTTTTTCCCAGCAAGCTTGGGTTCCTGTGTTGTGGTGGGAGGGTCGGCAGAGGCGACACGAGCAAATGTTGCTGTTTATTTCCATTCTGTCATGTGTGTGAATCTGATTACAGGTCGCTAAGTCAATATTTAGCTTCTGCGGACGGCATCATCATCGACCGGTTTATTTTTTCTGGGCCCCGCCACATCTGCTGCCAATGTCATGCGCGGTAGCCGACGTGTGCCGCTACCAGGAAGGAAAGCAAACAATGAGTGTGCAGTCCTGGTTGAGCGAGTCGGGCTGAAGAGTGGTGAGCAAGAGACCATGATCTGCAGCTAGGAGTCAGACTGGTGCAAGGACAGAAGTGCTGGCAGCAGTTTGAGGGTTGCTCTAAGGGGTTTTCATCATTTAACACTAATTTCTCATACCACCCTCTTTCATATTTGTAAGAAAAACAAACCACTAGACACTCAAAGTGAAAGTTTATACACAGACCATTAAAAGAGTGAGATTTGTGCAGCTGTTTGCAGGCATCAAGCTGTTTGTTTGATACCTTTTGTATTGTTTTGGCGGTATAGAAACTACAGGGACAGTAATTGTATGTCCTGCGTTTTTCGTTTGATGGCCGTGTCTGGGAATCCTGCATGGGGGCTGCAGCTTTATTACGAGCCAAGAGGAACTTTAGGTCGAGGCTTCTTTTCATCTGCCCCTCAGGCAAGAAGGATTTGGTATTTATTAAAAATAGAGAGGAGTATATTTCTTCCAGTCGTGACTTCATTACCTCAGGTTATTCCACAGAGGCGGACCACACACAGTCAGTAGATCTGAAACACCTCCTCGGCTTGTTTGCATGACCTACTATTTGAATTTGAGGGTTCACAGAATCGTGGACTTTCTGTGCCAAAGATGTGCGAGTAGAGACTTTACAAGACTTGGAATGATTTCTTCACTGCCTGTTTCTAGAGCTGAATTTACAATCTTTGAAATTGTTTGGACTTGTTGTATGTAAAACTATTCCAGCGTTAACTGTATGTTCTGCTTGTGCATGCATTGAAAATTGTGAGATTTTGCAGGTTTTACAGCTGAATTGTAGGTTTTACTGCTTGTTTAAGACATTAAAGACAAAATGTCTCAAGCACAATCTTGGACAGCTGCCATGTGTAAGGGGCCTGTGCTGCTTTTTAGGTAGGCGACGTACATACATTATACATACTGTGCAAAAAAAAATCCCCCAACTGCCAGCCCCCTCCACCCCTTAAAATTCACTTTCGTCTCCAAAACATCTGGTATTCATTGAGAGAAGGAGGTTTGGGGGGAAATGAACTCCGACAAGAGTCTGTAGATTTGGGTATGGCCCCCTGCTTTAGGTTCCTTCTGATGGTTAAGATAGCCCTGCAGACAAAAATGCACCAGTCTGTCTCACTGACTTTTACCTGTCCTACTCTAAAAACAACACTGGATCCATTATTTATGAAAAAAAAAAAAAAAAAAGCTTTCATAGCATTAAAATGTCAACTTTTTTTTAGTGGAAAGAAAACTTTATTTTGTTAGGACTAAACCAAACCATTGCATTAAATCAGACAAACACAAAATCCAACTTTAAAAGTCAGCATAAATACAATCCTGATGATGCTGTTACATTAATTTGCTCCACATTACATTTTCTCTTTGCACCCACTGACCCCTCAAAATGACTCATAACTTTACGAGCATTATTCAATTAAAATTAACCTCAGAGACTTGATGTATTTGCATTGTAATGAAAAAACAAGTCATCAAGTTAGTCAGAGTAACCGAAAAACAGGAAAGCTGGAAAACTGGCTCACACCCTCACAGATGCTGCTGTTAAGTTTTGTTTCAGGGAATTACAAAACACACTTAGCTGTTGAAATAATACTTATCATTCAGACATCTGCCAATACACATTCAGGATAAAAGCAGTTTACTGATCAAGGGGGTTAATGTGTTATCCAAGAATGTATTTCATCCATCCTGATGGCATACAGTCAGTTCAACATGTTTATACAATCTTTTGACTTAAATTACCTTTATAGTGTCACACTTTAAACCTTGGCCATAAAGTAGATTGGCGGTAAGGTAGACTGAGGTCGCACAAAACAGATATTTCAAGCTGGTAAAGATAACCGGTAACAACCAGCTCCTTACAGCCAAGATTATATATGTTAACATAAATGTAGCTTAAAGGTGTACCATGTACACTCCTGGAGTTTAGATAGACCTAAGATTTTGTGAGCAAAGATGCACTGATTTAATATTGAAACCTATACAGAGAAATTCTAACATCACTTTTGCTGACACCGAAAACAAAGAACAGTTCTGACTAAGCTTTTTCTATGTCTAAGTCTTCATCCAAGTACCACACCAGTGAATTTAGCATACTCACAGGACAAACATCCATATGCTCATACTGTATGTCCATACAGCTATTGGAAAACATCACTGAAGCTGTCAATCAACAGTGAATCTGTGTAGATAACATCATACAGGGCAGGCAAGGATAGGTCAGGTGACTTCAGGGACGTTATGCTGTCGTTAAAACCTGAGGATATTTTTCCCCCTCTTGGGATTCTTGCAGGGCGTGTTTGGTAAATTGCAATCATGTTATCCTCTTTTGAATAGTGCTGACACTATCTTTGTTCTCCCATTAGCTTGTTGTAGCTGTGCGTGTTCTTTTCTACGTGTTGACAGATTGGATACTGCCACTTATTGAGTCAGCATGTCAAGACTTGTTGATAATTAAATGACAGCAGCTTTATCTGTTGTTTTTATCAGATAAATGGCAATAAAATTATATGAATAACTGAATATTCCCATTATACATCTGAGATTCTTGCAAAGTTATATTACTTAATCCAGAAAACTACAGCTCTAAACACAAGTCAAATCAATACCTCTATCCAAGATACATCATGTCAGTTGCTTTTCAGTTTTTTTAAACACTCCACCATTTAGATGAAAACTAAACTTACATACTGTCTTAGTCAAAGCTTTAGGTTCCTAATTACCCCCCAAGTTTTTCTAAAGGTTTACGTTCCACCTTCCCCGCCGTCTTACACATACAGTCCCAGCAATATGGCTGAAGTCACTTCTCTCCACCGCTGGTCTACTTTTTTCCCTTTGTGTTTCTCTACCCTAATATAAGAGAGTCATGAGCCTGGAAATCCTTGTTAAAAGAAAATAAGCATGTAGCAGTGCCTGAAGCAAATAGTTTCACAGTAATACATTGGTACAGTGTGCATGTTGGTCTCCTTATGAACAGAATTACATCTGTTTTTTGTTGGTCTGGGACATTAATTACAGCCCTCTAGAGAAGTGTGTGCAGTGTGTTGGTGTAATTGATAGTGAGAAAAACACTGCATACAATACACACTTTTCCTTTGATGTGCTTTCTTTTTGTTCTCTGTGATTTACGCTGCAGTTCTTTGGATCTTCTCTGTGTTTGGTCACTGATGAAGCTCTGTCAGTGCTCCTCTGTAGTCAAAGATAATCTAAAATAAGACTGTGTAACCTTTGCTGATCTGCCTGTCATACTGTTACTATAATCTTAAGTTATGGGTTATTGGAGAGTCAATGTCTCTGTTAACAAAGTTATCTTGGGGCAGATGTCTTGAACCTGAAAATGATTTAATTAGAGGTAGCAGAAACAAGTGACATCATGTCATTAGCATAATTCTCACTCTTTAAAATCCATTAGCAGTTGTCTTTTAGCTCTCCGAAACACTAAAAAAAGAACTAAATAAGTGAAACATTTGAACTCATGCTGGTTCATGTGTCCTAAATTGAATAATTACTTAACTTTGAGCTCCATGTGTGGGCTCTACCCACTCCTCATGTCACTAATTAACTGTTCCACTGAACATCCCCAAAGGCCCAGAGACTTACCATTGTCATAAATTGATTTGTTGTATTTGTATTTTTTTCCAAGTGTTCTCTATTTTCACATTTCTAGTTCTGCAGTGTCTTTGTATTTGCTGAACTTTAATTCTACTAACGCTGCATTTACGTAGGGTTTTTAAAATCATTTCCACGGTATTACTGTCATTGCACCTATGGAATTTTTGTATGTGTTCATGAATGTGTGTCATCTCTGGATTTGAAGCAGGTTTCTTCTAATCAGAGTGTTTAAGCCTTTGTGTTTAAGCAGATTGGTTAGCCTTGTCTGTCAGTCACCAGGGGGAGCTCTAAGAGTTTCGGCTTCACTGCAGTGGAGCTGTTGTGCTGTCCATGCTTTTATACAGTTCATAGACACTACACTGCACTGCTATCATTTTTCTATCAAGCCAGCTCCAGCCATCTTGCCTTGAGAGTTCCAAGGAACTTCATAGAAATAACTTTTCTTTGGCAGTCCAAATACAAAACAACTGCTGCCTGCTTTTACAGACCCCCCCACCCCCTCCTGCTACAAAAAACAAAGATATTGAAGCGATAGAAGTGAAAAGACCTTTACTTTGTTTTTGGAAAAACTTAATATGCTAGCTTTGATTTTAAGTGTTGCCAGCTGCTCTTTTCTTTTTACTTTAGGCCTCTCTCAGCGGGTCTGCTGCAGTAACAAGGGTGCCGCGCTGTCCCGGGGTCCTAAAACTTTATCATACACAGAACACAGAATCAGCATGCCAGCAGAGGCCACTAAGCCTTTCCTCTAATAACCTCAAATATGCAGCAATTCATATGGATGTGGTTCACTCCTATTTCTGATGGAAAACTAAACCCTGATGCAGGAACCAAAACACTGATTCCATCAGCACTGGTCGAGGCATCCTGCCAGAAACACTGCACTGATATGGGCCTCGTTCCTGGTCACCAGTCAGGCGCTCGTGTCCTGAAAGGGTCTTTCAGAGAGGGTTTGAGAAGTCGTTTTCACGTTTAAGTCAAAGTGTGCACTGCTGTCGCTTTGAGTTAATGTGTTCGCTAAAAGAAGTGAGGGTTATGTGAGAGGGAGGAACGCTTCGTCAGCAGCTCAACCGTCTTTTGCAGAGCACAGGTGAAACCCTCAGGGCCAAAATTCATGATGCTAAACATTAGGGCCTTGCCAAAAATTCCTTCTCATTTAATCATCTCTTCTAAACCTGCTGTCTTCTGCATTAGAAGATAGAAAGTGGAGAGAATGTGGCACAAACTCGGGCCTTAAAAAACAACCAAAGAAACACCTCCATGTTTTTTTTATTTATTTATTACTCTAGCCGGGTTGTAACTTTTAAACACCTTCCTTTGTTTGCTTCTGTTTGTAAAAGCAGCTGTTGTAAGAAGTTTTGAATCGCTTGAACTATCGTCAGTGTTCAGTAGCTCTGAGGGCGGAACTCACCAGATTATCATCTAAGCCCTCAAACAAAGCTGATAGCTGTGTAAATAAACTTGCCTTTTTTCACACTTGTTCCGTCTATTTGCTCTACTTTCTGGCCATGATACTTCAAATAAACAGCTCTGCAACTGCAGCCTCTCTGCTAAGGATTTGTGATTTATCAGTCCGTAGACTTTTGGCCCCACTCAAAAATAGTAAACAAGGAGCAATTTGAGTCTGGTCGTCAGCCAAGGCAAATGGTTGTATTATGATAACAGGCCTATTTCCTGTAGTTAAGATTTTTGTTTAACATTAGGCCCTATTCTCAGCCTGCAACTGGCAAGCAGCGGCGGCCCAGTTTCGACACTCTTAACCTCTGCCTTAGACCAGCGACCAGATGTGGTTCCCTTAAGCAAATTATTGGCGGTTCCTAGCACACACAGGTTCCCTACTAAGTGTTTCCAGCTCAGATTTGGCAGGAACAGAGGAGACATTCCAATGGAGCAGCATCATATTTTCCCTTCAGCAAAGCCATAGCAACTAATTATTTATTAAGAAAAAAAACTGTTTCCAAACCAAGCTAATATGTTATCACTACTCATTATTTCTGGATTGGAATTTTAAAATACTATTTATTTCACACTGTCACGGTGTGGGAAGATAAATAGAGAAAAGCCTCCGAAAGGAGAAGCAGAAAAGTGAGATTACTCCATGATTAGTCATGCTCATATTTGTTTTTGAGAAAAACTATCATACCAGACACATTTGATTTACAGGGAAACTCAACCATTCCATTCTGGTACACTTAATTTAAACCTCACTGTAGACCGGCTCTGGACTTAACTACAAAACTTGGAAATGTGAACGTTTAAATGGCTGAGATCACTTTTAAGAGACAACCTGAGCCATTAATTGAGTATTAAATGTCGTCGAGGTATTCATTCTGTGTTATTCCAGCACAGTTTTACAGTCTTTCTCCCTCAAAAGCAGAGCATGTGCTCTGACCCTCCCCTCAGACAGCTCTCACTTCTACATGCATCATTACCTCCGCCAAGGAGGTTATGTTTTCGGTAGCGTTTGTTTGTTTGTTTGTTTGTTTGTCTGTTAGCAACTTTACGGAGAAAGTTGCAGACGGATTGACCTGAAATTTTCACCTGAGGTGCGTCTCAGCCCCAGTAGGATCCCATTACATTTTGGTGGTGATCCGGATCGCCTTCTGGATCCAGGGATTTTTTGAAGGATTCTTTAGCATTGTGAGATAGGGCAAATTTTTTAATTTTTGCATTTAACTCTATAAAAATGTCCAGAGTCATTAGTAAAAAATTACACGAAAGGATCTCAATGAGTTTTATGAGGTGTCAAAGGTTGATCCTGATCCACACAAAATTTTGGATACTGTGATCCAGAACACACAAAAATAAGGGTGTCGTTGGAATTTTCAATGCTGAAAGATAACCAATGAAGATACAAGGAAGTGTACGCTTACAAATATTGCATAATAAATCATGCATTTATGTATCTAATATGAGCTTTGTTGTTCAGGAACATTATGAACAGTGAACATACCAGTTTAAACACAAATAAAAGTTAATAAAAGACACGTAACAGTAAAAGTTTTGGTGTGAATCACAATATAAAGGGGGACATGAGCTGCTTGGCGGAGGTCTGCGCTCTCCGAGTGCTTTTCTAGTTAGGATTTCGGATTGGTGTTCAACGAAGTTGGGAGGATGAGGAAGTTGTAGATGAACTTATGGACCTTCAACATGATGTACTACATCGGTGCAAACTGTCATACAGCCACATGTGGAGAGAGGAGAGAGAAGCAAGAGGAGCAGGTGTATGTGTATGTGGCTGTGTGTGTCTAAAATACCCAGGGACAGTGTGAGAATGACTACAGAGGCAATTCCATGGGTGAATGGGTGCAGAAAAATGAACGTTTGCTAGACTAAACAGCAACACTGGTTTGAATCACAGTAGCCAAAAATGTTATCTTAATTCTTGATGTTATAAAGATGCAGATCCAGCGCGTCTTACCCCTTCCTGTTGACACTGTGACAAAAAGATCAGTTTCTATCAGCATTCCAATCTGTCACAGCCTGCCCACTGAAACAGTGACATTAATATTAAGGCCTCCAGATGACCTACAAGTGTGAACACAAGGATTTAGGAAAGGATTTATCATTTCTGATTGGTTATTATTTAATTCGTGTCACTTGTATCAGATGTAGTAAATCAGCAGATAAGTGTTTCCTTTTACATTGTCAAAGTCAATGACTCAGTAAGTGACACAGTTAAGTTTGATAAAGCAGGTCGACACTTTTTGTCAGGAAATTTATAAGTATGCTGGAAATGACTCTAGCAAAGAGGGAAGTCAATTTTGGGCCCCTGGGGTCTTCAAAATTCAGACAAAATAAATGAAATGAAAGTTGCTTGCAAAATAACTGAACAAAGCCGACTCTGTTCTGATGTTATTCTCTCTTTGGTAATGTCTGTCAGTGATGAACGCAAATGTTATTTTTGATAGGCATTATTTCATAACCTGACTTGCCCCACTAAAATATTTTGGCTAAGTGGAAAGTTACTCTCTAATTGACACGTACTCTTCAACAGCCTCTGATGATCTCTAACGTATAAACCTTCATCTAACTCTGTACACCCGCACCTTTTTAAAACCCAAGAGCTGGCAGGGAGGGCAGCCGACAGCTAAGGAAATATTTACAGAAAGGGAACACTCACACATGGTGGTTGTGTCTCTCTCATCTAAATTGATGTCGGTCTGGTCTCCAGAACGAACATAAACAATCGGTTGGGGCAGGAGGCCGCCTGCTGCGAACGCTAAACTCCTCTACATGCAAACACACATCTCCCTGCTTCATGAGTAAGTGGTCATGAAAAAGTCATCACAGCAAGAGACATCAACATGCAGAGAGTTGGGGAGTTGTGTTTCAAAGTTTGGATCTGGTTCAAAGTTTGGATCTGTTTCAGTTTACTAATGAGGAGCTCAAATGTGTAACTGTGACGCAGAAGGTAGACTGGTCTACTTTGAGCCCTTTAGATGTTTTTGGATGACTGTGTCTCAATCTCTTTGTAACAAATAACACAAGGTTAAACTGTGGGTGTGCTTCATTTCACCCATGATAACTAGGATTGTCAACCCATTTATTAATGTGCAGTACTACTCAGAGACCATGTCACTCAAAACATCCAAGCTCTTTAAATTCCCATTTTATTGAAGTCTGTTTTCTTTTAACTCTGCTGTATTTTGCATTTTCAAGAGGACTTGATGCCAAGAGTAAAAGTTATTTTGCAATATTTAAATTTTTTTCAACTAAAGTATATATATTTTTAAAACAGGTGAATGAAACAGCCCTCATCATATTTCAGTAATAAAACTAATCCACTCTCTCTCTCCTACCCTGACTAGATGTGGGTCAAAACTCAATAGATCATCATCCTGAGTTATGTGGTACACTTATTGATATGCTGGAGCTAAAAATTTAAAATGTTACTTGAAATATATGAACATTTGACTCACACCACTTCATGAGGTCTCGTTGTGGCATGAATGAGGTTTAACAATGAATGACATTAAACTGGACAAAGAAGAAGCTGATAACTGCAAAATCGTATAAAGGAAACATAGGGCTGGGTAATAAACTGAAAATTTACCGATACAGAAATTTACGACAACCAATGCCCATGTCAATATATTTAGTGTCAAAAAAATAAATGAAAAATAGTTGGTTTTGGATGTGTGTTAGTAGGCTATAGTCTTATGTCCCTTCAAGAAGCTGTCTTACATCAGAGACGTGACTCCACCCCATCCAGTCCGTCACAAAGAGGGAAAGACAGGTGAGGAGATGGAGGACGGTTCAAAAGTCGTAGTGGCTGAAGTAGACAAAGTTAATGTGGGATAGGGTGAGCAGCTTGTGGAGTAGTTATCGTCCATTTATTGTTATCGAGGTGAACTGCTCAATATATTGTGATATTGATTTGAGCCCATATCGCCCAGCCCTAGGGAAACAGCAGGATTATGTTAGACAGCAACGCAGATAACTCGAGGCTCCAACTATTTTTCAAACTAAGACATACGAGGGATAGAAAAGGGTATTACAGCTGAGACGTGGAGGATGCACTCAAGTCTGCAGAGAGTTTCGCTCACCTGTGATGGGAGGACTTCACTGTTTCGTTGACAACTAGTGGGGAAATGCACTCTTCCACTCTTTACACCTGTGCTCATGTGGCAAAAGTTTTGTCAATGGCTTAAAAGTAATCTCAGCTTACTGGAAAAGATTCAGCTGTAATAACTGACATAGGAGTGAATACAGCTGTTACAGCTGTTATAGGCACAGTTATAGAGGGTAACATAAAAAATTCAAATAGGTGGGCTCTAATATGAGCTTGAAGAAGACTGACTGTGCATCTATCTTGCTGTCTACCCAGGTGTTAATGTAAGGAGAATGTAGAATGTAAACATGCACATTATTTTAGTGTTTACAAACCATGTGAAGTACATTTTCAGTGTAACTTTAAGACTTAATTCCTTATTGTAAGAAGATTTTAACCGCTCTGTCACAGCTCATTTGACTAAAATGACCAGATAACTTTGCCATCTGTACCCCTCATAGAGATGCCAAGGCTGCCTTTTTGACTGGAGGACTCTTTAAGCAGAAACTGGAGCTTCCTCCCTTTTAATTACACTTTCAGTGATGACTTCCTGTGGGAACACCGTGAGGGATGTCTGGTCTTGACTCTTCAGATGACCCCAAACCAGAAACCTCAGCGCTCGTTCTTCTGGCTTTTGAAATATGTTCTGGACTAAAACCACTCCCCAGTGAGTCATTAATGCAGAGCTGAGTCTGTGCTGCTTTCAGGCCTCGTCTCTTGCAGAGAACACAGGCTGGGCTTAATAGAATATAATCACAGCACATGAGAGTTTGTTTAACTTGTTCTGCTCAGACTCCATGTTTGACCAAATGTTTGCCTTTTTTCCATCTTGTTCAAATTGATTTTGTATACATAAATGTGCATGAAACTAAAAAACAATTTTGCATATTTTTCTGGTATGTGCTCCAGCTTTTCAAAATGGTTCTACACTCAACAGTGTTCCACGAGCTGCATGAGAGCTCCTTTTGCTGTCAATCATCTGACTTCGGCTCCCTACCCTGGTTTGCTCTGAGAACACAATGAAGTCCCAAAGCTCGAAGATAGATTTTCATAGTCTGGTTGTATTTACGTTTGAAATTGTTCAGAGTGTTTCTCGTCTCTGTGGCTGCTGGGAGTGTACACTGTTTAATCAAGAGACACCACATAAATCACAGGCGGTCTGGACAACTAGGCAGGGCTGGTCTAACAGAATCAAAATCAAATCTGTCAAATGGATGGCTCAGGACTCTGCTTTAGAAGTCTGCTAATGCTGCAAAGGGAAGAGTCACTGTTACGACATATTTTAACTGTAGCATCTTTTTCTCAAAGGCCAGATCTCAAGAAACTCACATCACAATCCACAACAAGAAATCACACTAGGCAGCCTCGGCTAAGGAAGCATTTGATCAGAATATTAGTTAAAATAATCTCTTTTTACTCTGAATGGTGCAATATTTGCATTTTGCATGCTTGGCATAAATTTGAGTTATGGTCAAATACACCGTAACGCTGAGTTAGACACCCCCTTGAGAGATGAATGTTGCAGACTGCTATCTTCTCTAGTTATACCAACTTCAGCAACGGCCACATGATAGTAATACACAGCGGTCTATGGAGCCAAACAAAAACCTCAACCACAAGTAATGCTCAAAACAGCACCTACCTTCATCAACAGTACATATAGGGTCCCAGCCATAGTTCTAGCCACCAAACATCTTTTTAGCTTTGCCTAATTTCTTTAGCGGTAGTTCTTCTGCCTTAGCATCTCAGTCTAAGTGCATTTCCATGAAAAAATAATCATAAATGTTCTTCCTTGAGCTGTGAAACCCCGCTGCACAGTTATGTGCTGTTCTGAGCGTTATTTGTGACTATAGAGTGGCTATCTTGCTGAGGTGTGCGCATAGAGCCATACCGCTATATATTGCTATCGTGCAGTCGTTGCTGAAGTTGGTATAACTAGAGAAGCAAGCAGTCGGCAACATTCATCTCTCAAGGGGTTGACTAACTCAGTGTTACAGTGAGTTAGACTGTAACTTAAATTTGTGCCAGAATATCCCTTCAAAAAACCTCACAGGATCAGCACTTTGACCTTGTCTCCTACCTGTAAGTCATGGTTTTAGACCAGACTATCTTTAGGATTAAACTTAGAAACAGAGATAAAACTTCACTGTTCATCAGTGACAGCTCTGACTAACAGACCACCTCTTACTGTTTCATGTTTCTGGGAGCATAAATAAGCTTTAGCTGGTGTTTGTCACTCCAGCATCTATGTAGCAGAGCAGCAGAGCTTTATTTAGATGGTTGCAGGTGAAACTGATGATAAGGTTTCTAAAAACAGTGTGCTGTTTGAGTCACAGCAGAGATAAGTTGTCTTCTGTGACTTTGACTTGTTTGTTTCTGCGCAGCAGTGCAGCAGTCTGTGTTCCTTTTTACTTATCCGATGTATATTACGCTATTTTTATGTACAAATGTTGATGTTAAAAACAAATATTACATTTTGTTTTATCTAGGTCTTACCTAAATACTTTTTGTGTCATCTAAACACAGCAGGCTCAATAGTTACCCAAGTTTTAGCTCTGACGCAAATCCTCCAGAGCTCCACTGACTACATTATACTTATACTTGACATGCAGAGTGAAAACACTCCAAAGTGCTTGAGTATGAAGTTTATTTTCGACTTAAAATTTGGATTCTGTGCCAGTCATCTGTCCTCATCCAGAATAGTCTTTGAGTAGCACTGACACAAATCAAGGGAGCACTGAGGATAAAATCTTATTTTAGAAAAAGACTAAAAGTTGAGAAATAAAAATCTTGCTGTCCTCACGGCCCAAGACAAACCTAGTTTAGTGTTGTCACCACGAGTGTGTCTAAAAGGGTGGCCAGGGGTGGCACTGCTCTTCCTATTAAATCTGAATGGCTACCCCAAATGCTACCCCTTAATTTTTAACTGTGATTGGCCATTTACTTTGGCAAGTTAGTGCGAAACTTGACTACTACAGGTATCATTTGGCTGGCAGTATCTTTTTTTTTTTTTACTTTCAATCTCACTTTTTCTTTTTTTTTTTATGTCCACTTCTACCTATAGTCAAACATCTTTTTAAGTACTCAGGAAGAAGGAAGCTGAGAAGATTCATGTGTTGTGTTCCCCTTTGATAGTAAAAGACATCAAATGCAGGGGTATAACATCTGCATGGTAGTTAAATGATAGTTAATGCAGTATATATCACAAACAAAGAAGGCAAATACTTGTAATGTAAATGTGTGTGTACATCTACCCAGGCCAGCCCTGGCTAAGATGGGCCACCCCAGTCAAAAAGTGAAGAACATGTCATACAACACACACACACACACACACACACACACACACACACACACACACACACACATATATATATATGTATATGTGCGTGTGTGTGTGTGTGTGTGTGTGTGTGTGAGAGTTTTCTAGACCCAAAGCTTTTGAATTTGAGACTATAAGAGACAAAAGAGACCATCAATATAGTCACACTGAACAGTTTCTAATCTATATAAGAAAGGAAAAATCCAAACTTTTGATTAGTTTTCTGTCATTAAATGAATAGGAAAGATTAATTATCAAATCTCTAAGCTCAGCTGTAATGAAAGCAAAATTTAGCTGGGTCATTTTAATCCGAGTCAGAGATTTACATTGTTCGTAAAGCTTTCCTGTCCTTAAATGTTTTCTCTTGCTCAATAATTCAGACTGTGCAGTCATTTGCTGTTTTTAGGAGGTATCCAGGGAGATAAATGAGAGGAAATAATCAGCGAAACTCTCAAATGAATCAACATCTGAAGCAATTTGCCTGACTTTTATTTCCTGATGTTTCATCATCCATGTCTTCATCATCAAAGACAGGCGGTTTAATGTCCAACATTTTCCATGACAGCAGCCCAAACCTCCAGAGATCATTTATTTTTCATTTGCTCCCATGACCTATTGAGGAAAGGAAAGTCCTTTTACTCTACTGTAGGATTATAAAAGGAGCTTTTATTTTGATTAAAACAAATGAATGAAGATGATCTCTGTGGATTAGCATGTGACAAGTTGTTAATGTCATCAAAACTTCAGAAAAGGCATCTCATTTGTCTAACCTTTCTTCTTTGGCCTGATTTTTTCTCTCTCCCAGTTGAAATATTGGAAAAGAAAAAACCCTGGACCACCCGAGTCCTGACTCCCACTCACAGGTGGGAATCTAGTGTTTCAGCTTAAGTTTAAAAGTGATTATTGTGTCTCCAAACTACCCTGTCTACACACTAGCATGTCAAATAAAGCTCTGAAGAGGGTGAAAATAGCCAGCGATGTTGCCGTGCAGTGGATCCTGAGGCCACAGCCGCTCAGCTAACCCGCCTGCCGCTTGATGTTTAACAAGCTGGTCATTTAAACACGGCTAATAAAACAACTCCTGCTGGGGGGAGAGGCTCTTCATAAACCCTCACTTCACAATGTTGAGTGTACGTTTCCCCCCGCAGCCCCCGTATCCCCCCCTCTTTTCCCCTGACCAGTGAAAACTCAAACAGGCACTTATGCAGGCGTCATGTTTTTAACTATAATTGGAGTTATAAAAGTGAAACAGCCGCCACATTATAGCTGCTGTAACTCATGTCCAGACTTAGGTAACATACAGGAGGATTTACACAAGGTAGTGCAAGAGCAATACTGAAGCCTGCTGAGGTAAAGAATGCATTTATTAGCTCATTTTCCTTATGGTGAACAGAAGCTGAATTTAAACATTTTAAACAGAGGCTAGATTTAAAGGGATAGTGCTATTCACCGTCCTGCCAAGGGTTAACACGAAGATTCATTTAATTTACATCATGTCTGTGGAATGAAAGAATATTGATATAGCTTAGCACAGAGACCAGACAGAGAGGGGAACAGCGAGTCCTGCTGCCCAACAAAATGTACAAATTACAGACAGACCCAGCATGAGAAAGGTGTTAAAATTTCCATCTGACTCTCCAAAGAAAGCTAAAAGCATTTCCCACGATGCTTTGATTCAAATTTATTTAATCTAAATTAGCTCTGACACTGGGAAATATGTTTTTTGGCTTAAATGTCAGCTGTTAAAAAAAAGCTCACATAAACTGAATCAGACTTTGTTGTACTTTCACAGAGTTCTGAGAACAAAGATAAGAAACACATTTTAAATTAGATCTAATCCTTGGTTTTAGTTTCTGTTCAGGTCAAAAGATCTTGATCCTTTACCGTACTGAGTGGTACCTGGACCATTTTCACTCCCGTCTGCGGCTGTAACACATAATGTATCATTGAAATTTTCCACAGTACTCACACTGTTCAAATAGTCATGTTTAATGATTCATATGTGATCCATCCATTGATCCATCCCTTGCTCATCTACGGATTTTCCCTCTTGCTCATATCACTCATGCACGCCAACAATATTCTTGCAGACTCTTTTTTTCTTCCAGTTACATCGGACTTAAGAGGACAGAAATTGATGATCAAAATATGTCCCCAAAACATTTAAAAGTAGCAACTAGTCTGTTCCACACAGCTGCTGTGCTCTCTGTACCACAGAGCTGAGAAGAGAGAGAAAAAAGTCTTTCAATGTGTGCAAGCAAACCCTATTGACTAATGAAATAATGTTCCTTAGTGTAGCTTTAGTGGTCATATTGAACATTATGTATATTTGATTTACATATGACTTATTTTCCCCTCTCCTAAAATGTATTAAATCTTCGACTACATATTTTAGAATCAGAGGAAAACCACATCACAGTCTCCTCCAGAACCAACAAGCTATACCTCTGGTGCTACATTGCAGGAAACCATACGAAACCTTGCATCACAGACACAAAATAAAGCCGTGGCAATGTTACTAGCACTGAGGATCTGCAGGTCTCCAGATGATGTTGTGTTTTCCCTGAAATCCTCCTTTATCCCACCCTGGATTAAAGCGTGGTCATTTTTTTCTTCATTTTTTCCCAGAGCTGTCAGACAAGACAAACATGAGAAAAGTAAAAGTAATCAGACACATTTGGCAGAACGTTGTTGACATTCCTTTGAGTTTCTGAAGTCCAGGCCTCATGGGGTCGACCTCCTCCAGGGATGACAGGTCCTGGTCACATCCAGGGCAGTGAGGCATTTTTTCCTTTTATCACTTTATCATGTTATATCTATTTAACCTTACTCTGAAACCTCTACCAATGAGTGGGACATAAGGTCCTATATTGGATGATAAAGTGTTATTACACTTGTGTGTAAGAGTTGAGAGGCCTATATGTCACTATGCTGTCTCTATGGAAATTGCCTAAATAAAGTGAGAGGTTTGTAGGGTTTCAGGGGTGGATTTGAGCTGTTAATCAGTGACCAACAGTCTGGGACCTTGTGTTGGGGATGTAGAGAATAGTGACGCCTTACTGAGCCGTCAGCAAAGCTTTTGTTTCTGCGCTGCAAATAGAATATTTTAATGAAGTGTTAGGTCATGTTTCATAATGTCTCTGTTATTCTGCATCATGAGTATGTCCACCACTTTATTTCGTCGTTAAAACCTGTCCCACTTTTTCACCCAACACACAGATGTTGGTCTTTACTTCACTGGACAGACTTTTACATACATTTGAAACACTAATAAAGATTTAGTAAAACCCACTTATTTCCATGCAGATTTATCGCCTTATAACTTTTTTGTGTTGGCTACCACAGATGTATGACTAAAGGAATAAAAACACCCAATACTTTGCTGATTAAAATGGGAGGTTAGGATTTTCCCTGATATTAAAACAGAGCTGTTTGACACACGACATAATCCAGTCCCCAGCCGAAAACCAATATTCCTATCAAACCAACGATGCTCCACAGTAGATTTAAGTCATTAAGAAACCACATTCTACAAATGTCATTTATCAGAAACACATTTCTTGACATGACATCCGCTCTGGGACTGGCTGGAGTAATTTTCATGTTATGTTCCTGTTCAGCCAAAATTGCTGACATCATTAGAGCGAGGCGCCAGGAGGCTATAGGCTAAAAGCCTTCAGGGCAGAATGACAGAAAGGGGGAGGGGAGATGTTTTATGGGGGGCATTCCTAATATTAGGTTTCAGATGCCAAAGTTCTTGAGTCATTTCAACCCAAAGTCTTTGGATAAAAGCTGGAATCCAGTCCTGGACTCTGTAATCAGCTGACACTAGAGTCTTCTCTTAACTTCTCTTTAATTTTTACACTGCATCCTTTGTTTTCCTTTGCTATGGCACAATACGTCCCACAGTTAAAACTTTTAAGGTTTTGCAGGATGAATGAGGAAATATCTTCCAGATGTACAAGCCTCAAAACATTAGATAAAAACTTCGATAAATACGGGCTTGGAAATTAGGAATTTTCTTTGGGTTGTTATGTTAAGGCAACCTGGGTACAAAACCTGATTTTGTTTATTTATTTAAAAAGGAAAACATATGTGGGTATTTCATAATGGCTATCATGTTGCAGTGAAGTCTGAAGCCCCCATCTGCTTCTAGACCCCTACCACCATAGAGCCTGGCTGCAGCTGCATCCTCTCGCTCTCTCTCTCTCTCTCTCTCTCTCTCTCTCTCTCTCTCTCTCTCTCTCTCTCTCTCTCTCTCTCTCACACACACACACACTGCTCTCCTCTCCCTCCGACCAGCTGTCATGACCAGCAGTGAAGGTATCCCCTTTCTCTTCAAGAATTTGGCTCTAACTTTAAATCGTGAGCATGCATTGATAATAGATGCAGCAAATTCTTCCATCTTCTTGACCTCCCTAAAGACTCACTGGCAGCAGATAAATGAGAACTTTAATGGGTCTATGTTTCTGATTTATCAGAAATCCCATGAAAAGAGCAAAGCCAATGATGATTAGTTTCAACTAACAAATTTTGCCTGTAGTCAAAGCCTGACTTATCATACTTTTTAGTGATACGCTGCTCAGTTGTTGCCTATAAAGCTATTAAAAACATAACAGTGAGCCAGATTGTTGCTAAGAATGATGTGGAATTGCATCTTGATAAAAACTGCCACATCACTAACGTCACGCCCTGAAGTCAGGATTTGATTGCCAGCCCTAAATTCATGACGCCACTGTATCATGATTATTTTAAAAGGTGCAAGCAACCCAGATTATGTTGAAATTCAGCGGAGAAGTTTCCTTGTAAAACTTTTTTTCAGTGATGCTTTCATTTTTCCTTTTTTTGCCTCGTCTCTAACTTTATTCCCTGTTTTAAGTACACACATGCTTTTATTTTGAAAGGACATAAAGGGTTCTTGCAGCAGATCATAACCCAAATGAAAACAGCCAATAAACCAATTAACATCAGACCGTCTTAATGTTTTATTGGGATAGTCAAGAAATTGGAGATGCCTGTGTATCCTGAGTTAGAAAAACAACTCTGCTCCTTTTTCATGTTTGCTGTGTCAGAACTTGGATCAATTTTAGCTCATAAATGCCTCACAGCCAAAGAAGAGCCTGTTGTAAAAAATAAGAATAAATCCAGTCCCATATCAAAGCCAACAGAGATGAGAGACTCTGTGAGTAAATGTGAATCCTACACTGTCTGCCTGCCACCCTTGAACCTCATCCTCAATCTCTCTCTGTCTGTCCGTCCGTCTGATGGATGCAGGCGGTGAATTTCTCATGGAGGCAGCTCTATGCGGGTATGCAGCTGCTGGTAGACTGAAGTTACAGGTTGAATGAGTCATTAGTGGCAGGAGAAGGGGATGCTACCACCTGATTCTGTCTTGTTCAAAGGAGTGGGATTTGTTTGTAGTGTGTAAAGTCACTTCAAAAAGGACGGACTGAGACTTTGTGGAGACATTTGAACTTGAGTGGAATTCAGCTGAGGTAAAAAAATGGAAAAATCCATGCAGGCTTCACTATCCCTCCTCAAACACTGAGTAATAACTGTAATATCTAAATAACTACACCCAAAAGCACTCAAATTTTCTTCATCAAAGAAACATCTTTTTATTTTTACATTTGCTTTAATTTATAATTTCAAACATCACATTGCAGATTCATTCTGACAAACAGTGTTTAATCACAGTTTTGCTTTCATATCAGAAGGGTAAGATGTGACTTTTACCAGGCATGTCACCAAAAAAAAAAACTGTATATGAGTGCAGTTTAAAACTATTCATAGTCAACAAAAGCTTGTACTTGTATTGCAAATACACATATTAATTACATGATTTACATGCCTGAAGAGACCAAAGTACCACCACAAAGACCAACATTAAGAATCCTGTGGCAATTGATCTAGCTGAAAACACGTGTTTGTAGCTCTTTGTTTTGGTGTACATGGTAAAAAGTGAGCCTTGTGTGGAGTCTGTGATTATGGACAAACATATGTAAGTTCTGTAACCAGCGTATATGCATCAGATTATATAAAAATCCAAAAGTGATCCTTTCCCTGAACTTGAGTAGTTTCAGCACTTTGACAAAGTAATTTTGGTGCCCCAAGTAAAACTGTGACCATTTACAATGTGGACCACTTTTTAACAACTTGTTAATGATTCTCGTCCAAAAGTCATAAAATTAGAAATGTAACCAGGTGGTGCAAACTTGTCAGAAGTGCCTCACCAAGCCAATGTGATGCCGACTTCATTTACAAGTTTTGGAACTTGGGACGAAAGACCCAACTAAACAAGTGTGTAAGAGCATGTTGCAATAGCGTGATTGTGTCATTTAGTATCATGTATCATTGAGACGATCACCTAGGACACAACTCCACAATCCAACCACTAATGTTGAATCCAATTCATCAGTTTCCAGAGAAAACCACAAGATTAAACAGCGAGCTCGAATGGAAGAGCTTTGTTTTTGTGTGCCAAGAAACCACTTACTGCAGCTTAGAGGTAGTTCTGATCTGCTGAGATTTCTGGACTGGTTGAGGGTTCAGCTCAAAGATTCCCCAAGTTTAAAGGGAACAAGAAGTCAGTCAGTCAGAGGAAATCTGAGAACATTAAAATACTTAAATCTGTTTTTTCCTCTCTTATCCCACGACAGTGTGTTTAATGTCAGAGAGGCTGGAGGTGTTCTCACATGAAAGTTAGAGCTACGCTATGATGCAACATATTGGACTTTGGTGCCACCTTGTCTGCATGTTATTACGTGTGTTACTACGTGTGTGTGTGTATGTGTGTGTGTTACTGTGTGTGTGTTTGTGCTTTGTTTTCATAGTAATTTACCCAGCATTTAAAGCAAATGAGTTTCCCATAGCAGCTGAGATTGTAATCAAAGCATGGGTGACACGGTGAGAGCATGACTGCAAAAGACTGATGCTTCAATCGCAATACTCCATATTTCAACATGTAAATATCTTGTGTTGTAAGAAAAGCATTACATGAAGGATTACTCGCACCCATGTTCGCAGCCATCTCCAGCGTATAAAGTGAGACACTGGTTGAGCAAGTGCCAAATTTGGCTTTTCTAGTCACCCGTAATCGAAAACCAGCTTTTGCTTTCACTATGAGAAAATTATGGAAAATCCAAAGTAGAAGAAAAACTGAACAATTGTACTGGCAGTAAAAGGTGAGCTGTGTAGCAGGTGTGTTAGTGAAGCAGAGGGACAGAGTGAGCATGAAAAGAAAGTGACTGTGTTCAATAATGTATGTTTACTGTTAGTACTGTTAAAGTTTTAGGGAGGTTCTCGAGTTTAAAAGATGCGTTTGATTGCCAGTTCGATGAGTAATCTTGTTTTTACTGAGCAGTCCTATTGGAAGCTGAAAAAACAGTGTCTTTTTTTCAATGCAGCTGACCTTTATGGTTGTGTGGAGTCAGTGGAAAAGTTTAGAACTGCTAAAGGCAAAAATCAAGATGTTGAACTTTAACTTCAGACCAACATTTATTAGAGCTCTCACTGATAAACTTTCTTTTTTGGCTTCCCGTCTTAGAGGTCACAGGTTAGTTCAGTCAGTCATCACGAGATTCTGTGTTTTGGAAAGCTTCCTGCTCTATCTGTGCCTTATTTTATTCATTTTTTTCAAGATCTGATGAAACCGCATGTGAAACTGATGCAACAGAAAAGTTTTGGAGTTGAACCTTGTGTTGGTCCCAGCAGAAGTTCTCCCTGAACAGGCCCCTCTACTAATTTGATCCAAGCTGGAGAGAAAAGCAGACACAAATCTGCCTGCTAAAGCTGAACTGAGAAACTTTCACTGTAACTTTATAGACATCATTGTTTTAACACTTTTTCAGATGGAATCCAATTACTGGAGTATTTTAGCATTATATAAAAACTTTGCTTGCCTTTTGAGACACAAATCATTAAACTGGCATTTGTTCTTTATGGATGGAGTGTGCAGCTATGAGAAAATATGGAACAGACTCTCTCCCTTTGTTTCTTTTTTCAATATGTAAAAAAAAAATATATGCAGCTTAGATGTGTGTATGGTTTGGTTTAGGTTTGGAATTTTCCTCACTATCACAGTGACAGTGACACATTTATCTTGGAATAGCTTCATGTTGACCGAAATGTGTACCATGCCTATCTGAACATCAAAACCAGGCGCTGGAAACGATGCCAGAAGTTCCCTCGTAAATGAGTCCCATATGGTTTCAACCAAAACAACTGCTTGGCCTTGTCTGAATTTATACAACACTGCTGTATCTTTGTGGACTACACAGTAGTTTGACTACATGCTTGTTTAAATGTGTTTGTGTTTGAGTTAGCACTCCTCAGCAAAGTCATTTTTCACCAAATATCATTATACTTAATGAGTTTTTCTATGTGATTCTTTCAGTCTCATTCTCCATGAACCCAAGAAGTCTGACTTTGCTTTGTTTATCTTTGTGTCCCGTCAAAGTAACTCATAATGCAGTGACGCCACGATAGAGAAAAGGAAGGTACCATGTTTCTCATAGCGCATGCAGCTCAAATAGTGACAGCCTCCTTTGGTTTGTAGTTATGCGGTTTACCAGACACTAATTTAAATGCTCAGTTGCAGCATCCCATGTTCCTCAAAATATGATAATTGACTCAGTTGTGCTAAGTTTCTCAGGCTCATGTTTTATGCATCAGTGCTTACTGCCTGTCTGCTTTTGTCATTGATACCGAGCATGGCCTGCTGCGCTCTGCCCGGAATGGCAAGAAGGCTTGAGTTTCCTTCCAGCACATCCCCAGTCCATTACCCAGAGGGCTGTGCAGCTCATTCCTTGGCCTTAGCAAGACCTTGAGAGGCCTGCGCTGCTTTGTTTATGGGTGTGCACTGGAGGTTGGCTATGGTTGATATCAACTGAGGGTGAAAGTTAGTGACAGGGATGTTGCAGCTCCAATTCATCACCAAGTCATATATTTTTGCCCATTTCCTGCCACCACATATTGTTGTACAACTTATTCTTCTCATTTAAAAACTTAATCAGCTTTTTCTTGTTGGGTTTGATATATACAGTCCTGCAGTAGAGGGAAAGGTACATAAATCTCCTAAAGATACAAATAAAGTTAACTCAATGGAAAATGTTAAAGTAGTTTTTGTGAATAGAACCATGTTGAACACGAATATTTCAGATTATAGATGACCTCTGAGTATTGCTCTTTAGGATTTTTGTACCTTTAGATTATGATTACTATGAAATGGGAACATGTTCACAGTGTTGAATGTTAAACTTGATCCTGATCAGTAAAAATCCACAACAAAAAACGTGATTTTGTCCAGCACTTTTCACCCCTGCTCAGTTGACACTGTGGTAAAAACACGGTTTCTGTTGTTCACCCTGTCTGAATTCCTATTTGCATAACCACAGTTTTGATGCCTCATGCAGCTCCTAAATTTTATTTTTTTTTGAGAGATGCTGTGTACGATACTTGAATATATCTACTTGGCCACTTTCCACCATATTTGCATGAATTAAACATCGAGTGCGCAAACTTAGAAAGCTCAGGCGATAAAATTAGAACGTCATATTGGGTGTTGACAGAAATGCTGAGAGCAGGGCAGCACTGCAGAAATTTTGGAGATGACTTGGCCTATCAGTCATGAGGTGCAGCTGCTCCTGTCGGGTAAGGGGGAGGGGGAATGCTTGAGGATGTGTAAATCAGGTCTTGCCTGTCCCCAAACTCCAACCAGAGACTTGAGTAAAGCCTAATGGAAAAATCAGGACATGCAGAAGGAATCCTTTAGACTCTCAAGGCTGCACTCCAGAGCGTTTTTTCCCCCTCTCTGGATGCTTTAAACATGTACAACGATAAAAACGCACAAGAAACACATGAATAGAGGAATCAAGATGAACGGCACTGAAGTTTGACAAACTGGTTAATATTTTTCCATGATTTTATTATCTCCGCTGCTTCCTGTTCTGCAAATTCTAACTCCTAAATGTTCCTTATGCTGAATCGTGCTTTGATGTGAAAATGCAAATGCGTGCTCACACACCAAAATCTTTCTTCACACACACCATGTGGAAACCATGTTATCTCAAGTTCAAAGCATAGCCTGGGTGTCTTTCTTCCTCTGTGGAGAGACTTACTCAACCCGAGAAAACGCTTTAATGATAAGACCTGAGTGTGACGGATAGTTTGATATCAAAGACTCAAGGACCAGACGTGCTGAACGTTTCCACACAGGGAGCAGTTGTCCGTCTTTTTAAGCTGAACTAAGGCAGTAATTTTAAAACTAACGTACTCACTAGAAGGGTTTGCTAAATGGATCAACATTCAGTATATTAATATTCCTTAAAGTGGATTTCCTGCTTTAATTTTCAAGATGGATGGCTTTGTCTTTAGGAGAGCCGCTCGTTTACTTGTATTTTCTGACAGTCCTTTTACATAATGTCAAAAAAATTAAAACTTTATGTCAATAAATTAAATTTGACTTGTAAAATACATGCAAACATATTAGTCCATCTTAATTTGCACTAATCCAAATGTCTGTATTCAATCTTGATAATGACTTTCTTAGTCAGTTGGTAACTTCTGAATATTTTGCATCTTGAAAGTTATTGTTTTTTGTTGTTTTATATTTTTATGACGCTCAGCTTTACTTTGTGGTTTCACTGTGTGTCCACACTCTCATTATCCTTGCTCCAGAAACGGTCCACAACAGTATTCAGAGAAAAAGCTCCTACTAATGCACAGTACTCTGACTGTCCAGCAGCACCACTGTGAACAAAGACAATGTGCCTTTCATGGCTTTATTGAGAGGACAGGACAAAGAATAGAGTCAGAAACAGAGAAGAGAAAGTCGGGAATGACAAGCAGAAACCGGCTGAGAGTGGGAGTTAAACCAAAGGACTGTAGCCGATGTATGTGGAGCACTGGGCTAAGTCAGCCAGCACCTCTGAAGAAAGGCAAACCTAACCACAAGCTAATAAACACAGCAGACTATTGACCGGCTGAAGAGCCAGATTTTCCCCTTTAGAGTCACTGAAGATTAAACGGAGAGTGAATGAGACCCTAAACTCACCAACTGCATGTGAAAAGTTTGATTTTTTACTTTTACCAGCTTTTGTAATCAACTATATTAAAACATTGGTGTCAACACTTCGATCAGGATGTCTTAAAAACCACACAGACAAATGACAGCTTTGTTTGAAACTTATGTAACGTCTTTATTAGCTAAGAGAGAGAGCAGCTGTGTCTCTGGCCCTTTTCCAATTTTACCAGCTTGACCTGGGGTGCCTCATTTTTCTGACCTCAGGTCATCCTGTGTTTTTTTATAAATAGAAACAACCTTGTATGTAAAAGTTTTATCAAGAGTGCTGCTCCAATCTAAATGTGTATGGTAAGTCTAACTGCTGCGATAACAAGAAACAGAGAAAGTCTCTTTCCTTGAGCTCGCTCTCTTTGAACCTACAGGCTTATCATCAGTGCTCTGGAGTATTCTCAGGAATACGTCTGGAGGAGGGAGATAAAAGAAAGCAGCAGGGGGAGGCAGAAAGGTCCTCAAGTTGACACTATCCAGCCATCTGAGCAAGGGACTTTTCAGATAGTTCAATGTTGACTGATAAATCAGCCTCTGGTCTTCTTCTTTATCTTCATTCAGGGTGGACAGATCGGGACAGAAAGTATGCCTGCACAGGGAAGGCCAGAAGAAGGAGCAGATTGTTCGGTTGCTGTCATAGATGGATCAGAGGTCTGCTGTGTGCTGGATGGATGAGTGTGTTTGCTATGTGTTTGTGCTGTCTATATGGGTCCAGACTGCCAGGCTCCATACATAGAGTCAGTCAGGGTGCACGGCCGGGTTCAGGAAATGACTGCGATTATGCCAAATGTCCCCTTCGCCTTAGTGTCCCTTGTGGTGATGGATATGGTATGTAATAGAGTAGAGATGTGACTCCACAGAGGCTGCTCAAAAGCACCAGTCTTTGCAGCCCCATCTTGAGTTCAATCTCTGAATTTTGAGGTTTATTTTTTTCCATAGTCTTTTTACATTCTGGGGGAATTTCTTTTGTTAACATCCTAAAAAACATTCCCAGATACTTTTAGATACAGAGCAACAAGGCACTAAAGGGTCGTAAAAGGTGTCTCAAGCAAGCCGCTGCACATTCACAGTCCTCGCATTCCTCCCACTTCACAGGATGACCAGAGGCTAACAGAGTGAGGTAACACAAGGCCGTAAACCTTTAGCCATCACAGCGGGACACACCTGCCCCTTAACACAAAGAGACACAGCGAGGAACCATAGGTGCACACCTGGATGGGAAATTTGAGAGCAGCAACAAGACCAAGCTGTCAGAGGGGGGGAAACTTCAGATCAACACACTTCTCCTTAGTTAAACTTTCTTCACTTAGACTTTGCTCACACTGCAAACAAAAAGACCAAGTCTGATTTTTTATTTGTTCAGATTCAGACTCTTGAACTTTTTAAAGCAGCAGAACTCGCACTGGATCGGATCTTTTTAATTAGATGTTGTCCAACTCCTGTCCTGCTCTCCTCTCTCCATCTGAAACAGTTCATTTGTGGATATTCATGTATTTTTTATAGCATTAGACATTAGTAGCCAAAATCCCACAATACATTGGAACAAAAGTAGGAATCCAAGTAGAGGCTAGATGGATAAAAACACTTCAACATAGTGTCCTCTATTTGGCTTAGCCTCAGTTTGTGCAGCACTGGAATGAAGCTATTTTTATCCATGTTAACTAAATTCCCTCAAACCTGCGGTTATTTTAAGGTGTTTTGTGGATGTGTTGCCTGTCTGTTCCTCTCTTTTCTGCTCTTTCTTCTCCTGTTTCACTTAACAAGCCAAGACATTTCACTGTTTCAAATTTTCTCAGGAAGACTAAACACATTCCAGTGAACATTATTACTCCTGAATTAGCTTTTATGTGCTGTTTGATTTACTTTGAGTAGTCTAAATGGTTATTTTAAGAGTTCACTGACTTGATTTTAAGACTTGTTGAGTTTTGTCCCCCCAAAGGCTTGGGCCCAGTTCACTTTTTGTGCATAAAAGGCATTGTGCTCTTAATCAGACAAGGCTGGATTTGACCAAGGCTGAGAAATCAGGTCATTTCAGGCTGAGCAGTGTGGTTCATAATGATAGAAGTGATAACATAGAGTTGAACAGCCATGCTAATTGGCAGACTTATGAAGAATACTGTAACTATTCAAAACACTAGAAAAACAAATGGACAGTCTTCAAACTTTCTCAGATGTGCCCTGTGCCAAACTTGTTCATTGGCGCAGTTGGAATAAAGTAAAAATGTGTTATTTCTCATGAATCATGGTGCATGAGATAAAAGCTGAGACTTGGCCCCAAGCTGAAGTTTCCACATGATTTAATGGGAATCTGTTTCAGTAGTTTTTAAATGATCCTGCTGTGAAAACAAACAGGCAAATACCCATAACCTCCTTGGTGTACAGCACACATACACTGCAATCAGACACTTCAATTGGCTTTTTGAGAAATGGTGATTGCAGCTAAATAACTATGATATTTGGGCGACCTGGCCAATAAATATTTGTAACAACCAAGCTTAAAGTATTACCATCCCAAGCTTCCTCTTCCTGTGGATCAGTGTTAAATTATCTATAAATCCTGCTTGACTTATTGCTTGTTTATACATCATAACACAAACACACATAAACCACTCTAATGGCAAACTCAAAGTGGTTCAATATGGGATATAAAGTCATTAGTTTTCTTGGCGTGCAGATGTTTCGCAGAAATGCATAACCAGGCACATGTTTATGTTGACAATATCCCTGTAATGCAGCATTACAGATTCAATTTCTAAACTTAACAGGAGACCTCTGTGAAAAAGAATTGGATTTCTACTCTGCGGGTGTTTTGAGGATACCGCTTTTTCTGCTGCTATTGCCTGAAACTTTTGCTACTTTGGACTCACTCTTGTTGATTCATGTTGGTAATCAGTGTATATTCTGTGGTTGTGTAATTCCTTCCGTTTTCATGAACGTTTTGTTGTACCCTCCTGTTGGTGCACACCACAGGGTCAGAACATTAAAAAAAGAGCAAGTCCATCCAACTCTCACAACTCCACACACTAGGAAGAAGACATAAAATGTGCCCTAACCCTCAACCTAAACTGCAGTTGAGGAAAGAGTCACACAGATTATTTTGCTCCTGTGTGACACTGCTGAGCGCCCTGATGGATTACCTGCAGCTGACCCCGGGTGTTAGTTGTGATGAATCTGTCCAAAAGCATCTGGGGCCCCAGCAGAGTTATTGCCTGGCTGTTATCAGCTGAAAGCAGACACTGATGGCTGTGTTGGGGCAAAATATCAGCGCCAAGACCACTTTTTGTTTCACATTTTTACATTTGGATTCTTACTCTGGAGAAAAAATTGGACAGAAAGTTTTCTCTTGCAGAGAAAAATAAAACTTTTAAATCCATCTTGTCTTGGATCAGAGGATCTTCGCATTAAAATGACTCAATTGGGCACTTTTATAAATGGAAATTCCCTCCTTGACACACCTCCCACACCTTCCACTCATGGATTCCTGACATTTTTGAGATAATTTCAGGACATTCGGGCCCTCATATCTTTATATTTAACCTCACACGACAGATAGACTGGTTCGCATTTCCATGGCTTTGGATAAATTTCACATCTATCAAGACAACACTTCAGGAAGGAAAAACACTTGGTGGTTGATTAGATAAACAGGCTGTCTGTCGCGTTCATCACAGGCCATTCAGAACGACAAAATGTGTGACGTGGTAGTCGTGTACAATGGCAAGAAGTAAAGAAAGACACTGGTGCATCAGCAAATCTTCCACTGAAGAGACACCGTTACAGTGAAAGCTGTTTGGAGTCATCAGGTTTTATCCCAATCCTTAAAGGACACCACAGCTAAACCAAACCTTCAGTTACTGCATCTGTGCTGGTCAGTCAGTCATAATCTGACTGTGCACAAGTGTCGTATCTTTGAGCTTTTCCAGATAGATGACAGACTAAGAATCTGGCCAATGCATCTATTTTGTTAATTCACACATGCCTCACAGTGTACATTTTTCTTGGTCTGATGTTCTCTCACAGCTCATGACACCCTGCTTGGTTTAAGCCTGGGGAGAGCTGGATGAAGCCCTGTGTAAAGGTGACGGTCTCTGGATCGATATCACCTCAATAACACAAACACAACGGTCAAAAATGTTATGCAAGCAAGCAACTCTGTTGAGCAATATCAATTTGCACTTTTATTGGTGGGGAAATTTCTCAACTATTGCCCGAGTGGTGAAACGCAGGCTCATCGTGACTCATAGAGAAAAGTTCAGATAAAGCCAGTATGCAACTGTTTGAACACATGCAGCCCAGTCATGTAGAGTTGGAAAGCTGTCAGGGGATCTGTGTATGAATGAAAGGGGCTTTTGAAAACTTCTGAATTTCACATGTTCTCCTTACGAGTACATTTCTGAGTTTCCTGCTCTCAAAACTCTCATAATGTGATTTAATTTTTTCCCTCTAACTTTGTTCTTTAACCTTGAACAGTCATTCACTTGGCAGGCATATCCCTTTTTATCAAACTTATGTACAAGTAGCTCCAGAAACATACATATGACACTGAGGCAGGTGAAGGGAGCGTTAACTCGTGCTGAAGATCCAGGTTCAGGTCAACAGGTTTGGTTGAGTGAAGTGAGCTCTTGATCTCACTCACTTCCTCCTTTAGCTCTCGCCTGCAGTCTTGTCAGTCAACTAATCGAGCCGTCTCCAGTGAAACGTCAGCCTGAGGCTGAGGTGATCAGCATTCATACAGTCAGAAGAAACTGAAGGTGAAGGAGGGAAACCTGCAGTCAAAGAAAACAGTCCCAGTGTCCAGAACGGTGTGTCAGCAGGTCCTGTCTTTGCATGTTCAGCTGAGTATTTTTATATCGCTGTTTGATATCAAGTCCTTATGTTCCTTTACAGTAACAATGCCAAGAACAAAAACAATGCACCAAAACTTGTGTTAATAGTCCTTTAAAAGCTTACTTTAAACAGAGAAGATATTCAAATCGGGTCACAAGTTTTATAATTTAGAGCAGGGGTGCACAACCTTTTTTAAATCAAGATCTACTTTAAAAGTTTCTAGTCTGTTGAGATCTACTAGTTCACACAGTCATCCATAGTGCTTTCCGGCAGCATATCAGTGACATATTTATTTACAATGCACACAAGAAATCGACACATCTAGATGACAATCAATTTATTCTACTTTAGTGTGACTCACCAAAAAGTGCATCAGCAGCCTCGATGAAGTAACGACTTTGCCGTCCTTGATCGACTTGTGTTTTGCAAGAGCATTAGTAACACAATAAGATGCCGTTGTTGCAGCCTTACCCATGGTGTTTGGTCTAGTAAAAACAGACTGCTGTGCGGCAAGCTCACTCTTCTATTCCCGCACTTTTAGCAGGAAAGTCCTTCGCATAACTTTTGTATACTGTCTTGAAATGTCGTTCCAAATTGCCCTTCTTTGGTATGGCCACACTGGCTTTGCAGAAGAGACAGATGGGCCTTGAGTTTGAGTAGACAAAAAATGTAATCATCTTCCCACTCTAGGTGAAAATAGGAAGTTCTCTTTGGGTCTGCCATCTTCCTTCATTTAGCTGCTAACTACCGTACTAGCAAGCGCCTCTCAGCATGCGTGTGACCTGACCTGACAGCCACAACAGAGAGGGGGGCGTGGCGCTAGTGCAGCACAGCCATGAGAAAAATACTATCAAAGCGTGGAATGATTACAAGAGTTTTATTTGCCGTTGTCAAGGCTACTTCCTGCTATTGACTGAGAATTAGTCCGTGAACTACTTGTTGTTCGCAAATGACTTACACACTAGTCTAAAGGAGAACATTACAATAAATGCTCCAGCTTTCAGCACTGCATCCAGATCACATACTAATAGTGGTAACTTAGAATAGAAACCCTAGCTTCAGAAGGAACTCCAAAAGTTCATTTTCACCAACAATCAAAAACACTGAAGTCTTTCCATGTACCCGTTAGACTAATGTTTTCTGAAAGCTGATACTCCAAAATGGCGCCTGTGTTTCTTCAAAGGACACAACATGTGGATTGGTCACATCATTCTTATCCACAGTAATCCCCTCGCAGTCAAGAGTTCGCAGAGGATTGATGAATCTCTGGTACTCGGTCAGACATGTGCTTTTTATTTGGTCACCAGGCGGCCACACTGCCTTATCAGCACAACAGGACCATCCAGGAATGCACTTCTGCACTTTGTTGGGGACTGTCGTTGAAATGTTCTGACTAAAGCAAAGTTTCAGATGAAGATTTAAAACCAAATTGACCTATCTTGATCATATTTCCAGCTTTAACTTTATAACAAAACTGTAAATTCTGCTTTTCAACATTAAGATAATTTGGATTTTATATGTATTTTCACTGCAGTGTTTTAAACTTTTAAAAAAATCCAGATAAGTAAGACTGTATGAGGACTGGAAAATTCTCACTTACGTTTTGTCCTGATGGTTTTATGTTGGAACAGAAAAGCAGAACAGAAATTTGTGTACCTTTTCAAACTAGAAACCTCTGAAGTTTGAAACCAGCTCCAAGTGAGAACCAGTTTTGGATAACCAAGCCTCTTAATGACTCAGTTTTTTGCAGGGTAAAAGGCTGAGGTTTTCACTAGCTAATGTTGTATTTCAAACAAGTAACTTCTACTCTGTAAATGTATCCTTACCAGTCCTGTATGATGTGAATCTTGTCCATGGTACAACAGGGGTAGCTTCAACGTGGGCTGAGGTTACATCTGAAATAATCACACTGAAATAATCCCTCTTCCCCCTTCTTTATTTGAAAAACCCTAATAAATAATTCTTGATGTACTGCATGACATGAAACCCCAAAACTTTCGCTTTTTTCTTTTTTAGCTCGGTTTATTTCTGATCTAACTGGTTTCTGTTGGCTTCACCTTTAATAACACTCAGTTTCAGCTTTTCTTAATCAAATCATATCATAAAAAAACAACATTTTATTGCTTTTGTGCTTTTTGGCTGATGCCTGAAATCACAGATATTGTGAAATATCTTAAAAAGCGAGTCCCTTAAATTTCTTTTCATAACATTTGAGTTCCTGTGGCGGCTTGTTTTTCATTGGTAACTATTGAGTAAGCTGTTTGTTTATTACAAACACACCACAATAGTTTTTTTTTTATCCTGTAACATGGAGCACATTTCTCTCCGGTACAAAAGGATTTTTTTTTATAAGTCAGCAAACAGAAACAGTTTTGTAAGCTTTTTTGAACAGCCAGAAGTGAAAAAAGTATCTAATGTTATTACTTTAATTGTCAGTTAAGCTGCTTTTCATTAGCTCTCCTCAGAACTCATGAATTATTATCATTATTCCTATTATTTGAACTGGCCTCGGTCTTTATGAAATACCACAGTAATCTTTCATTGAGAATTAGATTTGATAGGAGTCCAGTGCCAGCAGGATTGTGGTGAGTTCATTTCCTGCATGTGCAGCGTGGGAGGAAGAAGAGGGGCTGGGGGTACTCTGGGGGGGCTGCAGAGGGGCAATGGTCTTGGAGGAGTTAAAAATGACACGCAATTAATCAGCCTGTGCAGACGACCGCTATCACTTGACTGCGGAGGCTGGAATAGAGGCCCGTCTGTGCTGAACAGCTGCAGGAGGAAACGGACTCTTTGCCTTTCTTAGACATGTGGACGGAGGGTGGAAGAGGGAGAAGCAGTGAGAGTGAGAGAGGGAGAGTGTACATGTGTGTGTGAGGCCACTTACAGATGGGATGGAGGAGGGGGAGGAGGAGTCGAAGAGGAAGAGAAAAAAATGGAGGTTTTAACAGCCTACCCACATCTGTTTATTTAGAAAAGAAACCATTGTGTCATTCAGTTATTCTAACAGCCTACACCAGGGCCAGTGTTAGTCCCACAATGACGGCTTTTTAAATACACAGTTTACACTCCTATGAAGTGGCCTCATAACTGCGTCGGAGCCTCGGGAACGTGCCAAATGGGGGAACATGCTAGGGTTTCACATTCCCTCCCTCCCGCACTACTTGACGTCTCTATAGCAGACTGTGATGCCAGAGGTTAGCCGAGGGAGATCTGGTGGGGGCGATTCGTCCTGGACTCGGGTGCTTTTTCTGGACCTAGTCTCTTAAATTGGTAGTCAAGGGTTGGAGGCCTGCCAAAAAGACTCTTGGGGGTTTTGGACACAAGTTTGAAAGCCATGCAAGAAACTGAGATGCCATTCTGCTGTGCTCTGTTGTTTACATATCCTATCAACTGTGTACTCAAAGACTGGGCCCAGCATAAATGATAAAAACACTCTGAGAGGTTCACTCCGGGTTTTAGTTTCCTTTTTTAATTTATAGTCTTATAAGACTGTATCTGACTCTGGAATTGGTCATTTGACTGGAATTTTTCTGTTCTGTTTTTCTGTCCTATGCAAAACTTATTAATTCCCACAGAGACCCACATGATCAAGTTTTCTGAATAAATAGGCTGCTGGCCTGACACAAACATTTGTAGACTTCAGTTTCTTTATGCTTTAAGCCATGCCAGTGTCTTTTTCTTCAAGATTTTAGTCAACTAGTGAGCTGAAGATTGCGGCAGCTCAGCTCTCAGCCCCCAGTTTCTTGCTGAAGATCACTGGAGGAAAAAAGCAACTTTAATCACAGAGTCTGTTTAAGACAAGGATTTCTCATCTTCTGTTAAAACTCTTTGAACTTCCTAGTTAAGGAATCAGAAACAAGACAGTGGCAGCTCAGCTTTCAGACTCTTCTGACTACCTGTGGTCACAGAGAACTGTCTGAAAGATGCTTATATGCAATGGAAAGCCATTTTACTCTGTTTTTACTTGTTTTGGGTTAGTGCTTTCCACCAAGTTAAGCTTGGTGGATAGTTTGGCTCCTGACATTTAAGGGTAATTTTGATCTTGGTTTAAAGTCACATTCACACCACACTCAAACACTGATGGAAGAGGGTGCTGTGTAAAGCATCTATTAGTATTAATTCATCCTACTTACACACTGCTGACAGGTTAGGGGTTAGTCAGTATGTTTATATATTGGTCAAGAAATTGATTTGTTGCTTTAGTGTGACTGAAACTGAAATTACTCCAAATCAAACTTCTTAAAAATGCGTATCTAGATAATACAGTTGGGGATTGAGGGTTCTGTACATGCTCAAGAGTTAACTGCTGAGCTTTGGCCCAAAAATTTAAAAAGTGCGTAAATACGTTCCTAAAAAGTCAAGTAGGAAACAAAACCTTGGCAGATGAAGAATTTGAGGGTCAAAAGTCAAATCTGTCATATCATACAAAAAAAAAGGGAACAGAGATGTTAAAGTGATGATGTTTTCATTGTTTGATGAACATCTTGTAAGCCGCTTGCCAACCGGTGCATGTAAACTGGGACATGGACAGTGGTCAAGGTCAAACCGCAGTTTGACTTAACTGTGCACGTAAAAATTCTGAGTGTTTTGACCAATAGAAACTTTGTGGACTGTGCAATGATTGAAAGACGATTGACTTTACCACTGAGCAACAGTGCACTACACCTGCAACAATTTGTGTACATCAGTGACTTGAAAAATCAAAAGTGCAGATACTTAAAGCTTCTGTAAAGAACTTTTGGTTTGCATTGATATTGGAACCTCCTGTGGAAAAAGTTATACTTCCTATATATATTCTCTTGTTCATGTGAAAGTCGTATTTTCAGACAAAAACCTTATCCTGGTGTCATTTAATAAACAAATGTGTCACCTACTGTGATTATTTGCTGTATACAAAAGTTTTTAAAAAGCTGTTTTTTTTTTTCCAGCCTGCTGTCATCATTTGATCTGACACCTCCCCCCTCACCGTGAGTGTGAACAAAGCAAAAATCACACAGGGAAATTCCCCCAATTTTGTTTGCTTTTGAAAGTCAGAAAGAGGATTTAGTGTCAAATTTCATAACCAGTTAAAACTCCTTACATTGCCTTTAATTTTCAAAATTTGAGCCTACTTTAGAATTATTTTGATTCATAGACTTTTGGAGGATGATCTGCAATCTGGTATCTGAAACTGACGATTTAAAAATAATCACAACAGTATTCAGCAGCAGTTTCTCCTGTCTTTATAAGTGATTTTATAAACATCAACTGTCTGAACCACAAATTAAACATTTTAAAACCCATTTGATATCATTGTATTCAGTCTGAGCAAACTGCAAAATTTTGTTCTGTTCACTTAAAGCTCCGAAACCGACTGTATGCTACTCACTCTACATTAATCAGAGGGAGACAGAGTCAGCAACTGGCTTCTGAAAAGGTCTCACATAAAGATGTCTGTAGCAGTTGGTAGATCCCAAAAATGGAGCCAACGAGGAGCGTTTACAGAACTTCAGGTATTATTATCAAAACTCTGAGACTGCAACAGGGGCAATGTCTGAAATTTCAAACATACCAAGAGCTGCCATATGGTACCCTGTCGTCTGCTAAACTATGTGATGAAAGCCTCACGCTTGAATTTGTCTGAAGAAATGGCTGAAGCAAGGTTTTCCATTTTGACTAGTTTGCATCAATAAAGGGCGGAGTGTCTCTGTCACTCTTTTTAACGAAGCCAAGCCTTCATCAGCAGCAGATCAGGAATGTTGAGCAGTTGTGGTCCAACTTTTAATGGGTGTGTTTGCTTTGTTGTGTTTTTATATTGTTAAATTCTTCCTCGCTGAAGTCCGTGTTTAAGGGATTAAGGTCATATGTCTGTGTCGGAGGTTAGTCCTTTATTGGTTGGTCCATATGTGCTGGTGTTTGTCTGCGGAGATCTGAAAGGCCTTCAGGCGTGCGCTAACAGCCGCTCAAGAAGGCTGACGGCTGAGCAGCATGTGTTGCAGCAGCTGCTTGAGTGATATGTGGTGTTTGGAGGCTGTGTACAGATTCATAGAGGTCTGTCAGGCTAAATACTGAAGTTACCTGAGTATAATTACAGTTCTCAAAGCAAACAGTCCAACCCTAATTGACTTAAATGTCAGTTAAGTGGCTGAGACCATGAGTCTGGGGGAAGATGTGTAGGCCTTTCTTTTTTATGGGCTGAAATGATCAGCCTTGCTGTTCCTCAGGTCTTCGTACGGCCAAGCATAATGAAGGCCACAGTAAATGTCTTTATCACTGGAGGCTTTACAGATTCGAGCAGTTAAAGCCTCTTACTGTTACTATCTATTATTGCGGCCACAAAACTTCCAACCTGATGTTTTGTTTGTAGTTAAGTGTTATGGCGGATAAGTCCATGTTGCAGGGACACCCCAAGGCATTGACTTGGGGCCACCGAACATCTGTTTGCGAGAAAAAGTTCTAAATAAAATGTCCACTTTCTAAATGTTTGACTTGAAAAAAAAAAAAGAAAGAGAAATAAAACAGATAACACAGATTTTTTTTGCAAAGTTTTAAATCACAAGCTGGACGTATGTTATCATGATTTTAGAAAATAGATGTAAACTGCTCAAATTTTTGACAAATGTGCAAAAATATGAGACCGTAGTTCATGTGCGAGGTTTGCAAAAATTCTGACGTAAAGATTATAGGCTCTCCTTACTGTGTGCTTTCAGCAAAGTGGTAAGGCCTAACTCCAACAGTGTCTCAGACGGAGGCTGAAATAATTATATTTTAATACACCCTTGTGAGAAATTTAAGGCTTTTTTTATCTGAAAATAAAGTAAAGCTATTGAAAAGGTATCATAAAGGCACTGGAAGTCAGTCAGATTTGCAGCTGCACTGTAACTTATGGAGGGCTTATGCAGCTTTGAAATGATAATTGTTATGTGTGGCACATGTAATGAAGAACTTTTCAAATCAAACATTCAGATACCTCTCTGCATAACGGAAACTCAGGGGTAGCTTTACATACACTCACACTCACAGCACTGTCCCACCCTGCCAGCTCTGTTTTACAGTGACGCCATTGAACTCCTGTTAATCCTTCGCTGTCAGCTCAGCATCAGATGTGGAGGCGGCTTCAAACTTTTTGGTTAGCACTTCTTTCCTCTTTTTATTGAAGACTAAATGTGAAGGTGGGATCAAGTTGGCCGCTGTTGCAGTTGCAGTGCAGTGGACTGTGTGTAAAAAGGTCAGCAGGATTGGTGCCTATTTGACATGATGGATGACTTCAATCTTACTGATTAAAGGAACATACCCCCCCATAACACTTCATTTAACATTTTACTCATCTGACAGGACCAAAAAAGTGGTGGGAAGCGATTTCACTGCACAACAGAAAAGTTTACTTCCCCCTAAAAAAGAAAATAATACAAAAGGATGTGTAACTCTGATTTATTTAAGAGAAAAGTTGATTGTGTTTGTTGTCTGAGAAAGAACTGAATCAAAGATTTTAATGTTTCAAACTCCATCCTATAAGCAAAACACTGTGATGGGATCAATGACTGTACCAGTGGAAAATACTGAAGAAAAACTAAAAATAGAAGATTTGTTTGCAGCTTTCCTCTATAATCTAGCAACTGTTTCACTGTTAATCACTTGTGCGTCACTCTGGAGTTTCCAGCCGAACAAATCAACGCAAATCCCCGGAAGAGGACCTCGAATCAGAGGAAATGAATCCTTAATCTTGTTTGGTTCTGTTCCAAATAACTTATCACCCCCCATTATCGCTTCTCCAAGTTCTCAAAGAGGAAGTAATTTGAATGGATAGTTCCTGCCAACTCATTTCCTGTATTCTGATATTTCCTTTTTTCAGACTGTGCCGTATTGCTGAGCTGCTCTGAGGGGACTCCGCTCGCCGGGTTCCTGATCAAATCCTCACAGTGGAGCTGTTTTTACACTTCGACAACTGCTATCCTGTGAACATTTGAGAGGTAAATATTTAAAGACAGGGCAGCAGAAATCCTTCAAGTGTTCAGAAGAGCGGATAAGGAGTAAATTTGATGTGAGTGATCCAGATTTGTTGAAGAACTGCATGCGAAAATAAAAGATTTAAACAAGTGTTTGGTTTGTTTTCTTGAAATTTCACCTCAAGTAACAAAATAATTTTTGAGTAGAAATCCAAATCATTTGTCTTGCTGTCCGGGAAGTTTATACATGAATTTCTGATCTTAAACATCTGATTAAAATATGATAAAACAGTCCTGTAGATACTCAATCGATTATGTAATGACCCAAAGACCTAACCTGATGAGATACAGAAATATCGTTGAAGTGAGCTAAACTGAAAGACTGATGCTGGATTATTTTTTTAGACTTTGTTTATATCGGGTGTTTAAGTCTTTTTTCTTTTTTAATGCCTAGTACAAAAGTACATGATGTGTAAACATATGATGCAGCCACTTCATTTGAAAGCCTCTCTCTGTTGAAATGAGTTTAAAGCTAAAATAAGATCACACATATAAACTGCTTGTACACCAAAACTCAAATCTTACACCTTTATTTTTGATCGAATATTTTCATGAGACTTAAAATACTATAAGCCAAATTAACCTCACAAATCCTGACATCTAATTTCAAGATATTTCAAACCAATAATAAGGACTTGCTTGACTTTTGAATGTTAATGAAAGGTTTCTTGAAACAACATGAACTTGTGATTTTAAGAAAATTCTCAAGAATTAACTGACTGACAAAAAGTCGTTCCTTTTAATGTCTGATTATTTGGAATGTAAAAAAGGAATTTTGTGTGAAATAAGACAGATGCCCTTGGTAAGGTTTGGGTATTTTGCAGCATACCACTAAAAACACAACTTTAGATAGTTAACACAACACCTGTAATTATGTTTTTATTTCAGTCAACTGAACTTGGTTTCCTTTTTTCAGTGTTTCTCACTAAACAAACCAGAGCCTCTCAGTGTTTCGAACACCAGCAGGGGGATGGTTTTAATATCATTATGTTTGTCCCTTAATTGGACTATTGCGGGTAGATCTGAGGTTTAATGGAGCCCTCAAAGTAACGACACTTTGCTCTCAGCGCCGCACATCTGGTTTACACGTACAGCTGCTGGCAGAGACAAAAGCGTCAGATCATTTGATCAGCTTTTCTCCATCTGTGTTTTAAGATGTTCTGTGTAGCTGATGAGTTTTTAACAACTTAATTTTGCTAGAAGTCTTAGGTTGAAATAATTTTGAAAAATGCTAACCATAATGGGCTCTAAAGGTAGAGTTTATTCCCTATTTATTCTACTAATAAAAGACAGGGGAATTCTTGGTAAAAAATAGTCTGGTTTATGTTACAGTTTTGCTGAAAGCACTTGAAACACTGAAGCTGTTGGTGTTTGGAAATCTTTTGTGGAAGTTCTTTCTGTCTCTCCTGCAGCAGAGGGTTTCCTGAGGTATCTGGTTCCCGGTATCCATCATTCTCGACGAGTTGGGACCTTGGAGCAGCGCCAACCGCATCTGCGCTAGCCAGCCGTAACTGACATTGAGTGCATTGTTTGCAGCGGGAAGCTCACGGCTGTGGCCTAAAGGTACATTCCTGAGATCAGAATGCTGTTTGAAACACAAACAGCCTTTGTGCCCTCGCTGCTCTCCTCCTCTGACTCCCTCATCCACATCAAGCCCCGAGAGCTAAACTGCCTCCTCTCGCTCATGTGTCAACATGTGGGCTATCATTTTACTCACACCCACACACACTCACACACACTCATGTGTCATTTTAATGATGAGGTCCAGGCAGATATCTAATCTCTGAGAAAGAAGCTGTCAACTGAAAGACTTTTTTTTATTCTCAAACACAGTTTTCACATTTGTTTTGACCCTTTCTTTGTTGATAGCAGAAAAAAATGACATGATGATTGGATAATAACTTTTTATAGCATCTAAAAACAAAGTGCTTTGAAATAGAAAAGTATACAGAATTTGCTGTTTTAAGAGAGGCTTCTGCTGCTGGATTACACATCATCCTGATCCATTGTGCTTTTTTCATGTGTAGCGGTATACAAAAACCAGGGCAATAATTTTAAGCAGTAAATGTCTGCAAACTGAGGTGAAACCCACCTGTGCCAATATAACAAAATGTAGCTTTTGACAGAACAAAGTTTGTTTTTTTCTGCCTCATGCGACAGTTTTCTGAATCTTTGAGTTTTTGGCAGCAGCTTAAACAAAACAAGATATTTAAGTGTGTACGCTTCATCCCAGGCTATCTTCAGTTGGGTATTTTGGCATCATTTTGACAAAAAAAAATCAACAGTAGAGCCGGGAATAATGATTGTGGACATTATTGTTAAGAGCAGGCAGAACAGGTGTTATTATGTAGTTTTGTTCGACTTATCAATATCCTCTAACTCCCTCAAAACTGGAATAGTAAAAAACTTTCAAACTTGGGACATTTTGACAAACTTTTAGTGTTTGTTTAAAACCCCAAACATTAAATTCTCTTTCAAAACTGGCAAAATATGTATAAAACCACACATATTTTAGATCTATGTTTTTTTAATTCTCAATTTTTTCATACAAATTATGTCACAGCGGAGAAAAAGAATTAGCTGTTATATTAGGAGTCTACAAGTCAGCTTTGCCATCCTTACGCTTTGTGTTTTCATATTGACCTTACTGTCACTTGATATTCGTGTGCTTTACATTGAGTTACAATGTTGCAGGAGCATAAGAGGGGAAACACACAGTAGGGGCTTTACATACTGACACTCTGCCATGCACATGCACCCACACATGCTGTTCCACCCTGATGATTCTTGATCCTGTTTTGCCTCTTTAACACCTATGTTACTACTTCTGATACTTACATTACATAGGTAATTATATGAACAGGGCTAAATACAGAAACTATATTTTACAGTCATTTATAACTAATGTTAAGTAGTGGATTTAAGATCAGTCATATACAGAAACCTCATGACTTCAGTTTATAGCGCTGCTGCATGTTGGCTTAATTTCTTGAGACCAGGAGCTACTGTTTGCAACAGTCACGTACCCTTATTTGATCTTTTATTGTACAGACTGATACAATAATATTTGAATGCTAGTTGTAGAGAGAAATCCAAATCAGTGGAAGCAGAAGGTGTCAGAATATCCCACAGTGGACCCTTCTGCAAAGCTGACTCTGGGTTTTTTGATTTCACATGCAGGGGGGACAAAACTAAAATCTTAAGCTTCTCATTCCACCTGCTCTCATTTCTAACCTTTTCATACCTGCTTTAGACAGTAAGGCTGTAAAAACAAACATCTGCAAATGACATACCACTCAGCAGATTGTGGAAAAGTCAGCAAAGTAAAATAAATGCTCAAAGTCGCTGTCTGAGTCCTGCAGGTTGAACTGATATTAAGACACTCCAGAGAAAAAGAGCCCACTCTCTGGTTGACCAGATGAACTTTTTTCAGCAGGTGATGAAGTGCAATAATTAAAGGTAGGTTAGTGTTAATCGAGATCATATGAAATCATGGGGATCATGGAGTGCCCTCTTACACCACAATTAATTTGTGCTTGACTGCTCTGCTGGGGAAGAGTTAAAAGGCTGAGGTTGATCCAGTTATTATTGAGGATGCTGCAGGTCTGAACTATGGAGCTCATGTTATTACTGTAGGTAAGGGCCAACACTGAGTCATCGTAAATTAACTACAGGGTGTTACAGTAAGGGATTATTATTTGGGTGTTATGATTATCAACACTTGAGTTTTTATAGGTAATTATCACAAAGCGAAGTGCAGACACTTAAGTGAGTCCTGCTAGGATAATTGGAATTTTAATATCAGTATCTGTATCTGTAATTTCAGATGCCAATTTGATGCTTCAAATGTAACTTTTATTTCCATCGTTTGAATAGTAATGATATTTGATTTAATAGTTAAGGTAAGATGAAAAGAAGCAAAATTTCATATTCTTTTTTGAGATCCTGGACAAAAAGAAGAGGGATTACCCGGCTTGATAACAGTACACAGCACAAAAGCCGTAATCCGTGATGGTAAGAGGATGCACAAGTGTCCGATACATGGCTAGTTTATACATCTGAACAACATTCACGGCTTTAGATTAATGTATGCTCCCAAATAGACAATACCTTTTTAGGGAAGACCGAGGACAATACTTAACCACATTCTGCACATGTTGCAACAACATGGCACTGCAGTAAAAGAGTCTGAGTGCTAGCTGGCCTATCTGCAGTCCTGACTTGTTGGGAACATTTGGCGCATTATCACTCAGAAGAATACAACAAAGTAAACCTTGAACTGTTGAGACGCTGAAATCCTGCATCAAGACAAGAATTGGAAAACATTTAATGTTTTAAACTCCAGAAACTGGTCTCCTAAATTCTTCAGCATTTAGAGTGTTAAAAGAAGAGGTCATAAGGCGTTAAAAAATGAGCACATACTTTTTATGATGAAGTAAAGCTTTTTTATGTTGTCTTTGCACTATTCTTATGTAAATGTATGATTAGGATTGTTTTCAAATCATCAACCTTTATTTTGATCAATATTAACACAGAGATTAAACTTTTTAATAGAATTGGTTTCTCTTCCAGCCCCCGTGTGACATACAAAGTGACTCCACAAAACCGTTTTAGTCTTCTCATTACATGCCACCATCATATGCTCCAGGGGTGAAAAGTGTGATTTTAAAGATCCATGAGTCTAAGAAGTTGTATCAAATGATCTCCTGAGATCATAAATGAGAAGCACTGCCCTCTGTACCAAATCCACTGTCAAACACATCCAACCCACTTCACCTTGTATTTCCCAAACCCATCTTCCTCCCACCCTCAACTCCCGCCCCTCACTACGTAAAACCCACAACAAGTGGCCAACCAATGAGATCACCTCTGTGATGTGTGGAGAGGGGGCTGAGGAACAGAAAGACAAATGCTCAAAG